CGCACCACCAGGATGTCTGTGGTCGCTTGGTACACGACACCGGACCGCATAAGCCGACGTACGGATTTTTGTCATCGGCTGGAACCGCCATTGCACATGATCCCCGGCCGGAATGACGTTTCTGGTTGATTTCTGGGAGGGGTGGCCGCGGCACGACTGCCACGATGAAAACGTGGGGATCGGCGAAAACGACATTGCCACCGGCATTGCTGCAACAGAGCGTCGTTACATCCAGGCTTCACCTGGATCATGTTTCGACAGCGTTTCCACGTGTCGTTCGGAATGCTGGAAAGGAAGGGAGGAGGAGAGAGGGGAGGAAGGGTTGACATGACGCGGTTTGTACCGCGATACAAATGGAAGGTTTTTTCCGATTCGATTCTTTGGCAAGGATTGGGGAAGGACTCGAAGAGTTTTTGCGTATACATAAAAATTTTTTTATCGGGGAAGGGAAGAGGGGAAGTGTTTCGTAATTGATAGATCATTATCGAGTTAAATTCGAAAAAGAAAATAAATCGAAGATCGATTTCGCACGCGAACAGATTAATTTGAAATAACTTTCGGATCGCTAAAATTAATCAAAAAAGCAAAAGCGCGCGATTCTATTCGAAATAGGTATGCGAAATACGTCGCGAATATTTCACGAGCAATCCTCGTCACGTTCGGATCTCTCTCTCTCTATATATATATTCAAAGAAACCTCTGCGAGTAATCGAACGATCGATTGACCCGAATCAAGTCCCCCCTCGTAAGTTCCTTTTAAAACTATCTTCTAAAACAAGAACGGGCCGCATTCCGTTCACGGCCCGCGTCACCCATAAACCGATTTAATCCCCTCGTAGCGGGCGCACGATTCCACGTTAAACGTTCCACCACCTGGACGATCCCTTAACGAGTCTCTTTGCCCGTTAAACGCAATACCGCCATTACGATCGGCCGCTTTAAAGGAGGGAAACTCGTGCCCCTAAAAGATTCATGAAAACTGCGACGCGAAGAGCTCGTTCCGCCCTCCGACCCCCTCCAACCACCGAAACTGCCGTCGTTTCCAGCATCGTTTCCCGCGGAGCGAAACAGAGGGGGCAACCCCGTTTCAAGCCGAGGCGATAAGTCAACAGCTTCGAGAGGAGGAGGTGTGTGGAAGAAGAGGGGCGATGAAAGACGCAGAATTTAATAACCATGGGGAGACGCACAGAGGGTGGCGTCGCACACCTAAGACGTGGATGTAATCTTGGCAAGGTGAGTCGTACGTGGAGGAACCGGTGTTAGAACGCATTCCTCGCGTCGCTAACAACACGGTGTCGGCATGCACGGCCTGCCCCCCCCCCCTTATTCCTTCGTCTAAGAAGAAAGGGCCGACAGGAGTTGGGGGCCGAGGCGGCGACATAATTCTAATTTTATTGCGAGCCCAACCCCCGGATTTATGGGCAATTTTTCTTATTAATTTTCATAAGTTCGACACGTGAGCCGGCGTCTACACAAAGCCTTCCCTCCTCTTCTTTAAATCCCCCCCCGTTGTAGATCCAAGAGGAGGGAGGGTTCTACCTTCGAACCCCTATCTTATATCCCCGGCCGATGGTTATATCGAGAGGCGGCGCCAAACTTCGACGATGGCATGGAACAATCTTTCGCAGCCAAGTTGGAAAGCGTGGGTGAGCGAGGGGAGAGAGGCAAGTGAGTTTCCGCGGGGGAGGTATATTAAAAAATTTTAAGGCGCGAGGTGAATTCGAGGAATTCGCAATTGACGGGTCGGTTCGAAGAAGGCAGAAGAAGTTCGAAAATTGTGGATAAAATCCACAACGGGTGTATATACAGGCGCTCGTTAAATACGCCCCGCCTTTTGAAAAGTAAGCCCGGTGGAAGAAGTACGCTTGTTCGTTTCACCCTCTTTATTTGAGGGTACGATTTAATTAATTATGGGACGTTATTTATTTCGAATTATTCGCCTCATTGTACAGAGTGGAAAGTTCGTTCAATCGTAACGTGATTTTGTATCGTGGAACTGGTTACAGATCCGTGTAATTGGTTTTTTAATGCAATACTCCCTTGTTGCTCGAAAAACGGAATAGTCGGGGGGGGGGGGGGGAACTTCTCCGATCCTTACCGTGACGATAAAACTTTTAACGCGAGCACGTCTTCTGATCGATCGATCGAGCCTCGAATTTAATTCCTCGGATTCCTAATTCCTCGGATCGATCACACTGAATACTTATCAATTGTGTATTTCGCAAATTTCTAGAGTGCAAAAAAATCGTCGTCGATTCGTTCCTCGTTTATGAATAGAAGAAATCGCGAAGCGATTCGCCCCAGAAATTTTTCCGGCGCAACGAAGCGGAAAAGAAGCATCTACGACGTTTCGAAGTAGTAAATAATGGAGAGTGACGAAGGGACGGCTGCGAAAGATGAGCAAAGAGTGGAGAAGGGGGAGGGAAGAAAGAGAATAGAAAATTGCACGGTAAACTCGTGCCACCGTTTCCACCTTGGTGTGGTAAATTGAGAATAAACAGGGGGCGAAGGTCCCCCCTCCCCCAAGAAAAATATTTCGTAGCGGCGGAAATCTCGAGTGGAAATCCGTCGTGAATGAGTACCATCTTTGAAATCGTACCGTAATCGAATCGGAACTCGATTTAATTATTAACCCTCGGTTCCCCAAGAATAAAATTTCATCTCTCCCCAGCAATCTCTATCCCAGTATAGAACAAAGATTTCGCTCTTATTGCACTCGTCGTAGCAGTCACGATGCCTTTTAATTTTCAACGTTTCGATTATTGCATTATACGTGACAAGACTTCGATCGAATTTCATTGGAATCAGGAATTATACATATTGTAAAAATTTATAATTGTTTTAAGATAAAAAGAATAGGAATATTGATTTTTAAAACAAAAATAACTTAGTATAATTATACAATCATTTCATATATAGTTTTTATTTATTGTTTTAATGAGCCTGAATCAATTTAATCAGTTGATAGATTGATAAATTTAGAAAAATAACATGAAAATACGATATGCATGTTTACATACAATGTGAAAAGGAAATTTTAAAAAAGTGTAACTAATAACAAAAACTAACACACTTTTATAATTCCGCGCGAAAAACTGTAATATCAACGGTCAATTCAATTCATACTTGTGAAGATAAAGATGTTTTTTATCCGTTGAAACTTGACATATTTTCGAGTAAAATAATTTTATTCCTGTTTTTTGCAATTTATAAAATGAATATTATATAATGGATATTTTATTTATTTATTATTCTCTAATTCGTCTATCTAACTTAACTTTTGCTAACTTATCTACTTCGATTTTCGTAATTCTTACATCTCTGTTTTACCAACATGAATAGATCTATATACATCTGAACACTCCTATCTTATCATCTATTTAATTTTTTTCTTTTTTTAAACTACCAATTTTATTTTCCAAAAAATAGTTTATTTTATTTTTCAATTAATCCATGTGATTTATAACACTTCTAACCGTATCGAGCTAATATTTTAGTGATAGTGATTAAAAGAACAACCTGTTGAATTCTATTCTGTTGTCTAAATTGTAAGCTTTCATTTGTTTCGTTTTCCAATTTATACGATATAACAAAAAGTTAATATGAATATAAATTGAAAACTATAAAATCAGGTTTATTATTTTATTATTATTGATGTTATTTAAAAATATATATTTGTCTCTTGCATTTAAAATTACAAATGTTACAGCCAATCCTTCTATTTATATCCATTAATCAATAAAAAGAGATCAATGTCATAGAAGATAAAAATTAAAGAAGATGAAATTTGTGCGATTTTTTCTAATTTCTCGAATAAATTTTGAGATTTAAAATACTTTTGATGACAAAATTTCTTGAAAAATTGAACATAGAAAGTCGAAAATCACATCGTTTACGCACAATTTCAAATTTGGATTCGATCGCACTTCAACTCGAATTCCGACAACGAATGAAACGGAAAAGTATCTTGTTCGTCTAATTCAATCTCTCGATACTTTTCATAAAACTTTCTTAGAATCGACAAAAAAAAACTTTTTCTAGAAACTTGGAAAAATCTTTGAATGGAATTGAAGATTGAATCGAGAAAATATATCTCATCGTATGCCCGTATATATGATTTAATAAATATTAAATATGGCCATAAAAAAAAGAAAAAATTATATTTATTAAGCTGAAATGAAATATTGGAAAATAATAATGATGAATTATTTATTTGATATTATGAATATAAAAATAAAAAAATATAATATAATATTAAGAGTTAAAAATTATAATATGAAAATATTATTAAAATAAGAATATTAAAATAAGAATTCTAATATAAGAGAAAATATATCTATTATTTGCAAATTTGAAAATTAAATTAAACAATTAAAATAAGAATTGCTAAATTGAATTAAATCGATCATTACTGAATTATTTGACTTTAAAATTTCTTTAATAGAAATAAATTTTATTATAATTTTTATTATAAATAATAAAATATATTATAAATAAATATAAAATTATTAAATAATTAATAATTATTAATAAAATGTATGAAATTATTTTTAAAATTAATAATATTAATAAATTTATATTATTATATAATAAATTTATATAATAATATTAATAAATTTATATAATTAATATTTATAGAATATTAAAAATTATATTTAAATATTTAAAATTGAAATTTTCATTTGTATTCTATCGATAGTTATCTAAATTACCAACTGTATATACAGCGCGGCGCGCTCGACCTCAGTTCGATCGATACTGTTATACCGTGCAGTCGTGTCGAAAATACGCTCGTTTGATTTCATATATAATTTAAAATTATTCGTGTATTTTACGTGCAATACTAACATGCTTTGTTTCATGATTGTTTAAAATACACACAATTTATTCACGAGTACGCGTATGTTTTATTCGCGAAAATTTAAAGTTCGCGTTTTATTTGCAAAAAAAAAAAGCAATTCTATATATATTTTGATAAATTGAATATTTTGTACACTTACTTTGTCGATGCGAGGCTTTTTGACAATTCTAGCGATTACAATTTTTTCGCATTGTGATGTCGTCGTATAAATACAAATTGGAGAGGGGATATATTCGAGAGTTTAGCAACAGATCGAGGCACATTGAAACACATCGGGCATGGAACGAGTGTAAACATCAATTCCTTGAAAAAGTATATATAACAAACATTTTTAACTTTAAGTAAAATAAAATAAATATATAATATATAAATTGAATGCATAAATAGACACGTTTAGAAAAAATATATATATATATATGTTAAATAATTTAATTTTAAAAATAAAATTAGACGTCATAAATCAAAAATAGTTTATAATTTTTTACACAATACGAACAATGATACAATGATCCTAATATAAATTCTAAATATTTCAATAGAAAGGAAAAGAAAGGAAAAAATAATATTACATACCTGTCCCAGATGTATACCGGCAAATTTAACACTCAAATAATTGATCAACAAAGAAGTAAAAAAACTTCAAAAAAATTGTTTAATAATAATATCTTGTGAATAAATAACCAAAATCTGTGTATTAATTAACCAAAATTTAATAATTGTAACACAAATATCGTTTATATTTGATACGAACTGACGCGTACTATTACGATTGAGTTTCGATACCAGACTGACGCCATATGCCATAGATTCATATTAGTAGTTTTCTGATTGGCTAAGATGACATAATCTTTTTTCCATCCAGGCGCGCGAAAAATTTAAATATTTAAAACTTCTGGAAAACACACAAGGATTAAATAGAAAAAATATTCAATTTTTTAATTATTTTTATATAAAATATAAATATACATGCATATAATAGAATATAAATATACATGATTAATTATTTTGCACTTCATCTATTTAATATGATCATATGAAAAATTGTAAATTATTTTTTAAGAAATTATATTATTTCTTTATAAATATTATCGAAAATTTTTATATATTTCTAATGTTATACTTTTTTATTATTAAAATAAAAAATAAAAAAAATATAAATTCTTTCTATCATTTATTCTTATAAGTATATTTATAAGTTTTTAAAGGTTTTAAAATTGAAATATTTTTTTTATTAAAATATACATCAGTATAAAATTTGTATCTTATTTACATTATACATCTAGAAAAATTATTAAGTAAATTTGCACTATTATATTTTCATATATTTTGGGAAATAAAATAAGGTTTCCGCTGTGAGCAATTCAAAACACAGTTTTCCATTTGTTCTACCAATGGTGAAGACCACAATGGTTCTACAGTTTCTAAATCAATTTCCTCGTTTATATTTTGCTTTAACATTGAAAATGATTCCAATTTTTCGAAAATATATTTAAAACCCGTCAATAATTGACTTTCATTACATGCCTTAGAGGAAATACAATTTAGCATAAAAACTTATTTTTTAGATCATTTAAGCGAAACGATATTCTTTGCAATTCATTCTCTATTTTTGATCTTTGTTCTACTTCTGAATTCAATAACTCTTTATTACTTGAAAGTTCCTCTTTTAATTTAGAATTAGATTCAATTAAATTTAATAATTGTAATTCCAAATCATTAATTTTCTTTCTTCTATAATAATCTTCTTTTGTAATTCCTTTCGCTTGTTTTTCTCGAATAAATCTTCTCTCAAACCTTTGAGTCTTTTTCCAATGATGTTTTTGTAATGAAGATTTCCTAGGGCGTTCCTAAAAAAATTAGTGCATTTTTAAAATAATAGATACATATAAATTTTTTTACTTCATTTAAATTATAGAGAAGTGAAATAATAAAAAACTTACTGCTCGATTTTGTGAATATTTTCTCTGTTTTTTTGCAAATTTAATAATTTCATTCTTTATATTTTTTCTCCAATCTAAACAGAATTTTTTATTCAATATAGTTTTTTCAGTTATTTCTTGTCTCTTTTTCAATATGCTCAACATCATTTGAAGAGTATTAATAGGTATATGATTTTTGGTTAGATCTAGCCTCATAATTCTATTATTTGATTGTAATAATCGAATTAGCATTTCTGCTCCCAATTTACTGATTCCACAGCGTTTCAAACTCAATGATTTCAACCAGACATCATTTTTTAATGCATAAATTAACTGTTTCAAACCAGTGTCTTCAATTTTTGGATTCTGATTTAGAATCAATGTGTGCAATCCTTGTAGCTGAAAAAAAATCAACAATTTAATATAAATCTTTTATTTTTAACAATAAAATTTACATAATGATCAATAAAATTAATCCTTACCTTTTCATTATTATCTTCAGAAGATTGTTCCCAAATATTTTGTATTAGATCAGCTTTTCTTCTTTTTAAGAACAATGATAGACTCATAGCACTTCTACCTGACAGCTTACAAGATGATAAATTTAAGATAGAAAGTTTTGGATTGTTTCTCAAGCAGTTCAATAACAGGTCACAGCCTGGAGCAGGAAAGAGGAAAAAGAAAAGAAAGACAATAATTAAAAATATTACATAAGGGATGAACAAATAATGCAAAAGAGATTCGAAAAAAAAGAATGTAAATTTTGTTTGAAAATATTATTATTGGGATAATACTAAATTAAATAATAAAATAAAATAATAAAATAAAAATAAACATTAGAAAATAATACTAACCGGTGTCTCCTATGCGACATTTCTTCAGAGATAAACTTATCAGCTTTTCATTGGTCTTCAAACCGGAACACAGGATATTCAGGTACTTCAGCGTCAGAGGAATTCCATCAATAGAGATAGAGGTTATGGCTGGTGAATCTCTCACGCAAACGGCGATGGAATCGATGAGACAGCGCAACAGGAAATTCGTGTAGATGATTGGCCTTACTTGATTCTTTCCCTTGCATCGCCTGGACGTGACATCAAATGCCGGTCTAGGGTTTTTACATTCTTTCTGCTTTTCTTTTTTAATTTTCTCTGTCAAGTGTGACAGTCTATTATTTGGGACATTCTGGCCTTTCCTTTCGTTATTCCATCCTCCTGTCTCTTCCCCCTCATTCATGCAGTCCTTTCCGCTCGATATATACCTCCAAATCGCTCCTCATCATTTCAATCTCCCTCTCTCCCTTTTGCTCTCTCCCTTTCCATTTTCTTCCAAGAGATGCGACCTGCAAGCTTAAACTTTCTGGGAGTAGTATCCGCGAGGAAAATAAAAATGATGCTAATTGAGCATTAATTCATTTTTAGTATTATTTTTTTTTTTTTAAATTCAAGGAAAAAGGTTCATGCGGATTCTATATTTTCGATAGAAATCTGTAATCATATCATATTCAGATAATTTCTTGTGTTTAATATTTTAATTATATAGAAATTGAATAATAAATTTCAAGAAATTGAGAAAAAAACAACAAGAATTTAAAATTGAAAAATAATTAAGAATAGCTGCACAAAAGAGTGATGTTGAGGATTAAAGCAAAACTTGGGAAGTTTAAGCTTGGGAATGCAAAATCAAATAGTTTTTTTAACAAGTACTTTAAAGTTTAAAAAATATTTGGATTTCTAAGACAATTTTTAATTTCTTATATGATAATTTCTTAATAATTTTTCTGTCTTTATATAATGTTAGTTACAAATATCACTATAAAAATCTGTCAATAAATCTGTTTATAAAAATTCGATTGAATTTTCAGATATTTTTTTATAGTTACATTAATTACCATAATTTTTCAAGTTTCTCTTCCGTATTCACTTTCTCACGTACTCGTTTGCATTGGCTGCGACTGTAGATATCAATTTTCATCAGATTTCGATTCTGAGCTATACTTTTAAGTATTGGTGACCAATCTTTCAAAGCCACGCGATCGACACAAAATCGCAAACAACCCTCTGGTAAATACATTTGTATGGCGGATAATGGTTTAATATTCTTTTCTTGACATAGAACCTTTTTAAGAAATATTATCTGTATTTTATCAAAAGTAATTTTGTTTTATAAAAACATCAATTTATTATCTTTGGACAACCAAATTATTAGTCTTCTGTGAAAAAAGTTTATTTAAAGTGATAAATGATTCTTAATAATTTAATTTTTCATTATTTTTTTTTTCTATTTCTGTATAATTTTATTCCTTATACTTAATTATTTAGTTACATGTATTATGTTATTGATATTATAATTAATATCATTTTGGAATATAGTAATTAGAATTGCAAATAATTACTTAAGCTTATTAACGAACCTTGTATAACCAACCAAAATGCCCGCGATTGGTTTTTTGCATCTCAGTCTTATCTTGCATAATATTAAAAGCTTGACACATAATTGTTATTATTTCCTCTATTTATCATTATACAAATTTAATAAATGATATACTTGAGCACGTTCTTATAAAAAATTAATATTAAAAATATCTGTCATTAAAAGTTCATAAAAAGGAAAAACTATTTTAAAATATATTGAACATTTGAACTATTAGTTTTCTTTGTTGGCAACTTCATATCATTAAATTGAAAAAAGTTTACTTACATACTTATTCCTGGAGAATTAAAAACATTTTCAAAAATGAAATAAAAGAATACTTAGTTATATATGTTATATTATTAGTTATATATGTATAATTGAAACACAGAATAAACTTACTATCTTACGATTTTTTTTCTTTTTTTTTTTTTTCTTGAAATTAAGAACTGTATTTTTTTTTTTTTTTTAATTACTATTTTAACATTTTATTTCAGAAAACATATAATTTTATTGGATCAGTTCTATATCAGTTTTATCGTTTGATCATCAAGATGTGTTCATTTATTTTTAATTTATTGTTACATTATATATTTTTATTATAATGACCGCGTTAACTGCATCTGACATTAATATGTGTTTCTTAGAATTTAATTATTATATAGATATCCTGTGAAGTTAAAATTAATAATATATTTTCTACAAATACTAATTATAATGAATTTTATCAATACTCTACCTTTAATAATAATATACTATAATGATAATATTTAATATTTAATGATATTTTCATATATAAATAATAATAATAATATTAATATTTTTATAAAATTTTATAATAAGATTTAATAACATATAATAATATTTAATGATAGATGAATCGGACTTACGTTTAAAAATAGAAGAGCAATCATAAATGATTGTATAATCAATTCATTGTCATTTATACATATATTTAAATATTTATATATTGATCATTTTTAATTTTTATGTTCTTTATTATCATTATTAATACTACTAATCTCAGGTATTATTTCCTATTTATCTTTTTTTTTTCAACTATGAAGATTAAAATTTGACTTATATTTCCTTTCACGTTGGAATAAATAATATCCTTTTAAAATTTTAAATATCATTCTTTCTGCAAATTGGTCCTAATTCTTCGAATATTTATCATATATAGGGATCATCTTTAAATTTGTGTTTATTTAAAAAAATATATATTTAAATATATATTTGGATTTTATTTATTTTTTTTATCGAATAATAATAAAGGATAATTATTATAGATAAATAAACAATAACTTGTTTATTTCTTATTTATCATTTAATAATAACTACGGAAAAATTAAATTATAAGTAAACATTTTAAAAGTAAGTATAACAATAAAAAGGTAATAAGAAAATTTTCTTACTTGATTTATTATTTTTATTTTATTTTTAAAATATCACATACTGAACATTTTATTTGTTTATTAATTTTTCTCGTTTTTTTTTTTTTTTTTTTTGATGAATTTTTTATCTTCTTCGATAATTTTTCTTATCTTCGAGTATTATTCTTCGTTGTATTCTCAATTGTTGTAGTAATTATTATTAAGATTATAAAACTATTTTTTAATATATATGACTTATTTTTAATAATTACAATTCTTCATATATTATTTTAATATAGTTTTTTAACAATATCATTTATTTTTTTATTTTTTTTTTGTTTTATCGTTTTTACAAATAAATTCATTTAAATTATAATAGTTATCAATTAATTACGTAATGTATTACTTACAAGTAAAATATTTTAATCAATAAATTGATTACAAAATGAAGAATTTTCATTTACAATCTATTTTACAATTATTAATTTATATTTAAGTTAAGTTATCTAACTGTCGATTAAACGCAAAAAAGTCTTAATTTAAATATTTATATAAGTCTTAATTTATAATATTTCTTAAATTTTTTAAGAAAGTTTTTAGTTATTATATCTATTTTTATTAAATTTTAGTACCATGGTGTCAAATGATAACATATTTTCTTAATATATTATCATGGGTAGAGAGATTTATTACTTTCTTCATTATCCTTTATCATTTTTTTTTAACATTTTAATAACTTTTTTATATATTTAGATTCCAAATAATGAAATCAAATTTAAAATTCAATTCTAATTCCATGGGCCATTCTCTGTTTACCAAATTTCCTTCAAATTTGCAAAAGCTTGCTAAAATATAGGGAGTTTATTTTGAACCTAGTTAAAAGAAAGAAGGTAAGAAAAATGGAACAAAAATTTCGATCAAAAATTAATGGTCGTCACTCACCCGTGAATAACAGTTACTTCAGCCGTATATACGCATCTGGAGAGGTGTGGTATATAAAATTTAAACGTCATATGCAAGATATAGATTCCACGATGAAGTTGCAACGAGCGAGACAATTAGAAATGCATTTACGATGAGCTCACAGGCAAAGATAATTTCCGTCGAGAAAATTAAAGCGCCCCTGTATAAATAATCGCTTTGCGCGACCGCTGAGTAAACTTGCAATAACAATTGGTCGAATAATCTTGATATTTGCTACGCGCAAATTTTAAATATTCGGTAATTTTATTTGACTTTTATCGAGCATAAAATCTCCTTCCTTTGAATTAATTTTCTTTCAAATTTAACATAAAAAATTCTCGAATAGTTGATTTTTGTTTTTTAAAATTTTCAGTTATTATTAATGATAAAAATTTATTTGTATATTTTGTTTTGATATGAATTTTGTTGGACGTTAAATTGTATATATTAAATTAAATTGAGCAAATTTAGTTTTTTTTTTTTTGGAATTCTATGAAAATTGTTATGCATCGATCTATGGCTTTATTAATAATATTTGATTATATAGTTTTTATTTTGTGCGAATATTATTTTTTTTCTGTAAACTTTTTGAAAGAGAAAAAAATGAAAATATGAACTTTTTCGTTACTAAAGATTCGAAAACTAAAGCAGACTAAAAGATTTCAAGTTTAAAAAAAATCGTATCAACTTTTTCTTTTCTCTTCGCTACGTGTTAAAATACTTAATCGAATACGTTTTGCATTTAGGATTTTTTTTGTAGCTTTTGCAAGCTAAACTAACCAGGCCGTGATGTGCAATTGCTATTCGCCATTCGAACAGTGTGCAGTATTAGCCTTTCAAATCGAATAATACCTTCAAGGAGATTCCATTGAATGTTTCATAACGTGTTGTTCAGTATCGAATTGCGAACGTATTCACATTGTCTTATGCTACTATTTCTATCATTATTCTATCTATATTATTGTTTTGCTATCATAAACATTCCATTCTGTTTTCTCAATTAGACAAATACGATCAAATTATGAATTATTGAATACTATTGAAGTAATTTTAATTTTATTATTTTTTTTTTTTCTTTTCTTTTACTTTTCCTTCTTAATCATTTCATTTCAGATTTTAAAACATTTTTGATAAAAAGTTTGTTGATAAAAAAAAAATTTAGAAAACATTGCTCAGTTAAAGAACCTACACTAGTTACTGAAACATCATCGCAATGAATCTTATTAATAAATCTGTATTTTCATCACTATTTACTTATTCGATATCGCCATCAATAATTAAATAAACATTTGTCTTTCAAGTAATTTCACTAAAAGGCTCGTTTTAATGATCTATTTCATTTAATTAATTCTACTAATTTTTAGCCTACACATATTTTTTAAAACATACACTTATATTAATTTTCAAGCTACCAAGAAACTTTTTATATGTATACTCATAATACTGGCCAGTTGGATAGGATTTTATTCGATTTGAAGGGATCAAATACTAATATTTTCCTTCTTTATTACTGTATACTAATAATTTATAAAAGTAGGTTTGCTCTAGCCAAATTCATCTATCTCACCTGCTCACAGTGTTGGCTAGGATCCCTGGCTAGGATTACGTGATTTATTTATTTTTTTTGCGATACAAAAGATAAACAACGTGCTTTGATTTTCTTTTAAACAAAGGTAGCAAAATCTGTTTGAGCAACATCAATAAAAGATATTCTTACGAATCAGTCAGAAGTTTTTAGGAGGCCTTCGCTTCTCTTGCATTTAAATCTTCCACAGGTGTGATACTGGTCGTTTTCCAACATATACTATGATAATCTACCATCTAAACTCAATATACAATATGATCCAATATACAATATACAATATACAATAATCGTGGGTACAATATTTTCTGAATTATCTCTAATAGATTTTTGTTTTTATCTGGAGGATATATTTGCCAAAAAATATGTTTCTTCTCTTGCTCATCAAAACTCTCTAATAAACGAATAAATCAGGCGTCACGTAATCCATCGACGCAATTGCAAACAGCAAACAAAATATTTGGCTAGACGATCGAGAAAAAGAGGGGTTCAAGCATCCCGATCCATATGATCCCCCTTCTCGTATCGAAAAGTCAGTGGATTCGAGGCCATCATGCCTTCTGCAACTGGGTCTAGCTTTATTAAAACGTGGCACATATCTCGGGACATCGCGTTGCCTAACAATGGATCCTCGATCGATCGACTCGAGGATCGTCGATGATAATCGTGATTCCGTAGTCAGTCAATCGTCATCATGTTGAACTATTTTGTCGTGTACACGCAATCGAGTAATCGAGTGTAGATTGTGTACGAGAAAAATTTTTGGAAAAATTGTTGCTGTAATTTTGATTTTAGAGATGTGAATTTTTTTTTTAACGATTCGGTGATTATTTTATGGAATTTTTAAAAAATAGTTGTTTCTGTTCGTAAACTGTTGTTTATCCAGGTTTGAAAACTCATTTTGATTGGTATTGTATGTATGATGGTGTTTGTATGTATTTATAGTATTCATAGATTTATCGTTTTTTAATTTGGATATCTGAATTGAATATTTCAAATTGAATATTTCAAATTCTGAATCGATGATTTCAGTAAGGTTCAGGTATTTAATTTTGATTTTTTAAAAACTGTGTTTCGAATTTTAAATTATTATAGGATTTTCGAGAAATTTGTACTTTGATTTAGAATCTGGTTTTTAAAATCTCAACAATGATTCGAATTTCGATTGGACAGGCTTTATATCGAATTTTCAAAGAATTTTTGTTATTATAATTTATAATTTTAATTTTAACACTTCTCAGTAGAACAAAATCTTTCTCAAATTTCAATCAGAGATGAATCAGAATGAATTTTTATAGATGGCTTTACTTTCGATCTGGAAATTCGGTGACAACTTTTTTCTTTAACATTTAAATAAATGTTTGCTTTCCTCTACACTTTCTACATACTCATATTTCTTTTTTTTCGTCGTTATAAAAGTAATCCCTTATACAAAATCACGTTTACAATTCATCTTCCACCAAAAACTCGACAACTCATTTCCATCAATTCTGATCGACAATAGATTTATATACCATTACACCGATTTACCGATCCATGAATTCCAAATTCGCATCTCGAAATCCAAACGGTCGCGACGTTAATTATTCCCAAGTGAAAACTAGCAGACAACGATAAAAGTGAAGCAGTGGAGGAGGAACGGGCGAGCTCGGCGCGTAAATCTCTCTGGGAAGCATCAAGAGTCGAAGTTGAAACGGGATCTCGATCAGAATCGAGCTGGCGATCGACATCATCCGACGATTTGTTTGGTCCACGTCGAAACCGATCGATCATTCAGACACTGTTTCCTCTTCTTAACGTTTTACAACAAGACATTCGATTACGTTGTTCTCTGCGTATCTTTCGTATCTATCTTTCTCCCTCTCTCACTCTCAAACAAGCAAATGTAAATTTGCACACGCGACACGTTTTTATCATGTTTGTTTTTAACAACAATCCTCGGTGTTACGTTACTCAAGGTTGATGGAAGAAGCGAAATAAACGGGGATCGGGTGGGATTGTTCGAGTGATTTTTGGATGTAGAAATATTTCGAATTGATCTGGCGAGGCTGGTGTGATAAGATAAAGCGGAAGAGAATGTCGGGAGCAGAAAGCGTGTACCAGTGTGATTTCAAAGCTTGGTGTCGCATGATTCAGTGTCAAGATCGAACGAGCCTTTGCGATTTCTGTTTATCTGGTGGAAAATAAATTTTCTTGTTTCTCGTGCTCGTGAATAATTGGGGAGGGGGAGGCCTCGATCAATTTAGGCGTTGGGATATCGATCGGTGCGTGCTGGTATTTGTGCGTGCATATAAGATATGCATGTTTCGGTCGATTAATTGGCAAATTAATTTTTCCAATGGCTCAATTTTCTGATAATCTTGCGGCGATTGCTTTGTCATTACGTATGTTTGGAAGAACAGTTGAAAGGATAAACAAGAAGTTGATAATATATTCCGTTTGAAATTTGAATGAACGAGGAGAGGAACATTATCTCGAAAAATATCATAAATTGTCGCGTATCTGTGACGATAACTGGTTTATGAGTTTTTGTTCGGGGAACAAAAGTAGTGGCTGTGCATTGTTTGAGAATACGGATTTGATTTCGAATCTTTTTGAGCGGCCATTGGTGTATCGCGGAGATGTACAAGGAAATATTAGATTATTTTTTTATTTATTATTATTCAGAGTTAAATTAATTCCTTTTATCATTCTTATTCTATTGATTCTACGTTATTGTTCTTTCTATCGTTAGGATGATTTTTTTACATCTTTGAGAAAAAGATAGAGGGTTTTCATTCTTCAAAGTATGCGATTGTATTTCTAATCTATAAGTAATTTTCTTAAAATACTTATATTATCATGTTAATTTTATTAGCTCGTACTACTTAATACTTTTCATACTTCTATGTTGTCTATATTATTAATTTTCTTTAAACAATCTATAAACATATTCATCTACATATCACACGGAATTTTAGTAATGAATTTACTTTTTAATTTTTAAAATTCTTTAAAATTTTAATTTTTAATTTTTTTTTTTTTCCTTTTTAAGTTAGATATTTTGAATAATTATATTAAAAAAAAATCTATAGCAATCTCTTAAAAATCTATTAAGCTCTATATCTACTAACTCTTTCTCTCTGGATGGATCTTATTTTTCTTTATCATAGAGAGAGGAAAGCCATCATAAAGGAACTGATCACCTCAGAGAAACTCGATACGTTTTCAAAAAATTTTAATTTTGGAAACAATTTTGAAATAAATCAAGAAAAAAACTTGTGTATCCAATATGTTCAGTGTAATCAGTGTCGAACAGTGTTAAACAGTTTTTCAAGTGCTCGATCCATGCAAGAATCTTTCCAATGATCATGCACTCTTCAAGATACAAAACATTCATCTTGTACATGTCTGAATGGTGAGCCTCGTTTAAAAAAATTTACAAATGCGATTTTCAATGTCGAATAACAAACACCACACGAATATTCATTATCTCTTGCCTTAACCACTCTCCACTCTCTCGATACTTCCTGCAATATCGAGTTTAATATGCATCGTTCCACGACATTGCAGACAGCCTTTCAACCTCTTTACACATCTCGAACAAGCCGAAATTCTCGTTGTCGAATCAATTATGCGTGCTCACAATCACATTTCCCATCACGTCACAAATCGTTATTATCTCTCGTTATGCATCACGTCACATTTGCACAAAATAATCTCGTGGCATTTTTCATAATGTTATTCCCTTGGATAATTTAATTTTTTTCTTTCTGTATTTCTTTTTTTTTAAAGTTCAACGACGATAACAGATATAGGAGAAATTATTTTTCATTTCTTTTATTTATTTTTAGAATCCAGTTGATGAAGTTTGGACGATATGTTCAAAGGGAAAGGATTGCGTGTCGAAGTGAGAAGCTGCTTCGAGAATGGGTTGCAAGAATAGTATTTTAGAATGTATAGAGGATACAGAGGAGGAAAAGAGGAAAGAGTCGGATGTGATGGAGCAAGGATTCCTATATGGTAATTTCTCTTCTTTAACTTTATGGAATTTTAATCTGTACAGTTTCATATTGTAAAGTTTCGAATGTTTAGCTTTCTTAGTAGTAGCAAATACGTCATTTATTCTTTTTTTGAGCATGTATATTTTTTCCTTATGAATGACTTTCTTAACTTTCTTAACTTTTTAACTTATCGATAGACCTTAAACTTTTAAGCAAATTTTTTTTTTTTTGTTCTTACGAACATTTATTCAATAAATTGTTTTTTCTTATAAATGACTTTCTATCTTTACTTTTTAAATAATTATTTTTATTTCTTACATTTATTTAATATGATAAATATAATCTATAATTTGCAGGGATCAATGTTGCAATATTTCTACAATTTATTCGGCTAATTTTTTCTTTCTATTCTCCGAATATAATCAATTTCTCACATCTGTCGCTCCTCTCTCAAAAACTCGAAATATTTCTTTCTCTCTCAGTCTTACAAGAACGCAAATCGATCACACGAATACTCCACTTTCCTCGATAATAATCAATTCCAGTAAATTGTTAGTACGGCTTAACCAACGTGATACCAGATCGAACCATTTAAAACAGTGATCTCTCGCAATAATCTCGATGAGATTACATAGGCTAAGTTCGACTGGAAAATGGGATTAACTTAATTAGCGATAAAGAAAAAGGGGGGAAAAAATTGATACTGCATTCTATCCTACTTCTCACTCCTGGGCCCTCTTGCACAATAATTTATCAACTAACAATATTAGTAAAAGTTAGAGTTAAATAAAGCCCTCTCTTCTACAATTTCATCAATTATAATCGAAGCAGAATAATCAGAATTTTAATTGTCAATATTTACTTACAGTAATCATCGTATCGTTCGTTTTATAATTTTGTTATTGTCAATCAAATTATGGATTATTTTAAACGTTTTGTTTTTCTGTGAGAAAAGAACTTTAGAATTAAAGAGAAAATTAGAAGACAAGATGTTCTGTAAAAAAAAAAAAAGAAGATTTAATCTCTATACTCATTCTATCATCGTTATTATGCATCCAATACGAAGTTAAAAAGAGGAGAAAAGAAGGGGAAAAAATTACTGGCAACTTGTGATTCTAAAATTTCACTAATAACATTAGTTTTATTAACAGTATTGTACGAGAGGGCCCCGACAGTTGTGAAACTATCGAGAACTAATGCATTAAAGAACAGGCTAATATCTCTGTATCTATAACTAATTTCTTATTATTAATTGAATACTCTATTTTATTCAATTCAACCTTTTATCTAGCTAATATTTTGTTAACAATTATAGTAATCGAATTTTCTATTTTATCCTATGTTAATTCATATTTTATCTCACATTCATTTGATCTCAAATCTTTGAAATATACTTCAAGAAAAAAAAAAGAAAGAAAAGAAAGAAAGAAAATAAAAAAAGAAACTATGATCCTACTTATATCTATTCGAATTCATTATTGATACCAAGATAATCAATCCAATGATTGCGAGACGTCAAATGAACTCGATTCGATTTTAAGGCACGAACAATCGAAAATATTACGATCAACCAAGAAGAGTTTTGCGAAAGAATGACTCGAGAGAGGAAATTACACGAGTGATTCGCCTTGACCTAGCCTTATAGCCAGCTAATTCAACATTTGAGACATGAATTAATTAGAGGTTTCGGTATGGTTTCTATTGGATTTCGATAAAATTTAACTTCTTTAACTGTCATTTGCAACCAACAATGTTTCTTGCGTCGATGATGAAGTCGATCGTAACTCGAATCCAATTAGATCGCGTTTCAAAAGAAAGATAAATTAATGATGCACAGGAAATTGATTCGATCGAAGTATAGAGAAAATTTCATGAAATTTTAAATAAATAGAAAGAGATTTTCGTCTTTTAATTTTTTAAAGGGATCTTTTCACAAAATGGAGGAACGAAAAATTGAATTGATTTAGATTATAGATTTAAAAATGGATATTTGTAGGTAAAAGTTTTTATCCTTTGATTCGTTTAAATTTTTTATCAATATATTTCACAATCTAATTTTGCTGTCTAATTTGAATTGATGTATTATAAAAAAGAACCGGATAGAAATTCTTGTCTTTTGATTTTTTTAATTTTTCAGAAAATCTTTTATAACTTAATTTTATTGAGATGGATTAATAATATTAACTGAATCGTAGAGGAGCACAAAATAGATAAGAAACAAAATTGATTTGGTTATTAAATTCGTAGAATATTCTTGGCGAATCAATTCTAGAGATCAAATGCATAATCGACAATTTGTGAAAGGAGCGTTTTTACACAGAGATATTTGTATTCTGATTTATTTTCATTATTTTTTCAGAACCTTTTTTCAATTAAGAAATCGTAGATTTGGTATGTAATATCGATCGAGAGATGAATCGTAATTTTTTTCTTGAGAGGAGAAGCAAAATGGATGGATCGAAAATCGATTTCATTCGAGTGAACATTTTTAATTTCCTTCGAATTCAGCACTTGACAAGGGAAATAACCATTTAGGTTAAATTTGAAAACTTTTTTATAAAATTTGTAAGAATTTAATTTTTCTTCATTTAATTGATTTCATTTGAATTTTGGCAATCCTCGAATATTGTGTCTACCTTACTTTTTGTATGGTGTAATAATTGAAAAGGAAATGCAATAATTTTTTTTGCATTATTATATTTTATATTATTTAAATTGGTTAATTCGGCTCCTATTATCATCTAATAAAAATTTCCAGTATGTCATTCGGATTTATATATTTATAATACCAAAATTGTGTTTTTTATTATTTTTATTAATAAATTTCAATTATCGTATATACAAATCTATGAAACAATCCAGTGATAATGAATATTTGCTTTTCAAATGGAACTTAATATAGATCGTAAAACTCGCTCACAAAATACCATTTGAATTCATTTCTATTGATTGGATCAGAATTTTCTCATCAATTATATTCAAATTTCAATTAATCTTTAATTGTCAATACTCGTGTCTCTGATTAAAATTCGTTTTTAATATAACTCACAAGCAGATCAAATTACTTCAATTGTTTCTTAATTGCTTTAAGCAAGAAGCTCGATGGCACGATGGTGCAGAGGTATAATGTCGAAACGCTATATTGATTCTTTGATAAAGAGTCACACATATTTGGATACGAATGCAAATCAGACACAGATAATGCCGGATGGCAATTCCACACGGAGTTTCTTTTGCGAGCGTGCAAGCAAAATTAGCTACGTACGTTACTCGTCATTGTACTCGTGAATTTATTGAAACTCAAAAAAAAAAAGATACCAAAGCTCACTATTTATTAGAGATTTTCGTTCTAGCGTTTCGAAAGAGAAAAATCAATCAAAGAGTAAGGCATCATTTTTTTAAGAGACATTTAACACAATAGCCAGTTATATACAAGTTAAGTGCGAATAGATTCGAATATGGAAAAATATTGTAGACGACGATACATGAATTGCTCGAAACTGATAATGTAATCTTGCGGGAGATATTTATTTCTGATCCAAAAGTTGATCCGTAGAAATACGACATTTTTATCTTTTTATCCAAAGTTTAACATGTTTGAACCAAAAGCAATTCAGATAGAATTAATCACAATGCCTTTGTTCGTTTTTGGGAAGCAATGAGATGATATTTTGTTCAGATAATTTGAAATGCAATTGCTATTGTAATTAAATCGTATGCTAGATTCAGTCTCGACTATGTTTCAATATATTCTTTTCAACTATTCGTGAAATTGAACTATCTTTGCTTCGCACATCATTGGCTGGCGCATAGTTTCATCGAGTATTCTATTGAATTTGTGTGATCTGTTCAAAAAAAAAAATTTCTAACGTTTTTTTTTTCTTCTCCTTCAACAATTTTAATAATTTTCAATAATTATAAAATCTTTCGGTAATTTTTCTCAAAGCATAGTAGACTTTCTTCTAGAAATTCTTCTATAAATTCATCAAAAGAATAAACATCATCTTGATTTCTATACATACCAAAACCAGCGAAGAACACATTTTCGATCACATTTACTCAAACATAGGCTTCCATTTAATTATTCTACAAGCGCTAATATCTTACAACTACACGCTTTTTACAATTATGAGAAGGAAACTAATCTCCATGATAACTTCATTTCGATCCATTTAATAATCTAAATTCTTCAGCCAATCGACATTCAAATTTGAGAAAATGAAACAATAGGCACAAACGGTATATATTTATATATCAAGCAAATATTATTAAAACAGCCAAAGGAAAATGTTATTAGCACCAATATATAATTCTTTGCCTCGCATCAAAGTGATACTTTCAAAGCTGTCTATGGAGTGACAAAATAATTCAATACAAATATCAGCCATAACTCGAAGCACTTTTGCTTTGCCAGAAACGAGTCTCTAATTGCAATGAAAATTCTTCTTTTAATATTTTTTTTTTTTATTTTATTCGTGTTCCCTTGAACGTGCTCGCGTTTAACGAACATTGTCATCAACGAGTTTCTCCAACGTCAATCCTATCTCGTTCATGAGGCCACTCACTCACGCGTAGAATTTTAATCTGCACAATTTGGTTTTGTCGATCAGTCGTTGCGTTTGAGTCGCTTACAGCACATCGTAATCCAAATTAACTGTCTATATCTGTCAATTTTTGTTTTCTGAACTTTTACATTTGAAACGGATTTCAAAATTCTTATTGTCGATTTTTACGAATATTTTTCTATTCATTTTTTCTTTTTTTTTTTTCGAGTGCATCGTGAGTAATAGATAAGTACGATCAGTGTAGAAATGGAAGATATTGGAGGAGGGAAAGGAAAATTTGGTGGAATGTGTTGATTTTTAAATTTTTCAGACTTGTTTTTCTTTTTTTCTTTTCCTATTTTTGAATTGAATTCTTTTTAGACTTATCTAGTGAATATGATTCAATCGATAAACAGCCGATACGAATATCAATATGATGTAAGATCGAGATTGCGACGTAATCAAAGCTTATATTTTTAGTTTGAAAAAAATTCATATTTTCCATAGAATAATTTTGCACTAATATTGTTATTCGTGTGTATTAGATTGGTTTTTAAATATGTATCGATATTTCCAATTATTGAATCAATTTAATCTTTTGTATACATTTTAATAAATAATCGTATCACGTATTATAATCTCATCTGTTTGTAAATTCACATGGCATCTCCTTCGAACAATTATTATTTTCCAAACGAGGAACAGAATATTTTGGATGACACAGTATTTGACAATGGTATGTAATCCATGTTGATATTTCAATTTCTCTTGAAAAAAAAAAAAAATTCTGCAACGATTTTATGATCCTTTTATAATTAATAATATTTTAATAACGTATAGTTGAAATATAAAGTCATAAAATTTTGAAGGCAAACCAAGAAGTCATAATATTTATTCTTCTGATAAAAAAAAATTGTTTTCCTCATCTTTTTTACTTTTCGGGATAAAAACTATCTAATCTTTTAAGCAAATATTTTTTAAAAAATGTGCATTGTAACGAAGAAATTTTCTTTAAAAACCAACAACAACAGGACAGAAAATTGGAGATCGATTTAAGGATTAATAAAAATTTGTATCGCTGCTCGAACAATTTACAATTCTCTATATTTCTTTGCTTCGATTTAAACTATTTAACGCTTGTTTCGTACCTATTAACTCTCAGGTTGTCCAATTAAGGTGTCCCACTTTCGATCAATTATCTTTAAATTCTGATTCCATTCGAATCGAACGGATAAATACTGAATGATCCTGCCGTAAAAGGTGTAAGATAAGGATCGACCTCGTTCATACATACACAGACATCCTCTTTCGATTTCTTTTTAGATAAAGTTTCTCGTCCGAGTTCTTTCTTAATTAACCATTTCAATTAAACATTATCAAAAAAAAAAAATCATCATCATCGAAAACTTTTAATTCAATAACACGAAGAGCTAATTGAGAGATTAAAATTGTTTTTTTTTTTTTACTAGACGACTCATTTAAGAAATTGGTCCAATGAATTCTCTCTCGATATCAAAAGATGAATCGATTAACTTGTTTTGCAATTTATTATTTTTCCAATTGTCCGCCTCAGCGTTTATTCATTGACTCAGAACTGTGACGATTCATCCGATTGTTAAACGATTTCCACTATTGCAAAGATATCGATTAATTGCTGCAATCGATTTAAGAAAGTCTCGTTTTATTGCAACACAATGACATATTATATAAATATTACTGTATAAATACTTCGTTCGTTATTAATTTCTTTATCTTTGGAATTTTTTTTTTTTAATGTCATCGTCTAACTGTATATTTATTTATTTTTTTTCAGGAAAGACAGAGTACGATATTTTGAGGAGAAAATCGTCGTTCGAGGATGTTGGCGATGAAAAAAATGCAGATTATTCAACGTTGGTAAGTAAATTTTCGTTATATATCTCTTTTATCTCTATATCGAGAGAATAGATAATCTTTTTATTAAAAAAAAAAAAAGAGGTCGTTAAATATATTTTCCATTGCTTGCAACCTCGTTAATGTATAAAAATAGCAATGTTCTTGATGCGAAAGCAAACTATAATTATTGGATGGATTATCGGTAATCGGTAACAACGTTGTAAAACGACAAATGACAATTTAAAAGTGTCTCGGCGTATCGCGATATATTGGTTTCTCATGATTTCAATCGAAGATAAAAATTGACAAACAATGTACCACTTTTGAATTTTTCATAAGAATATATAAGAGGCAATTGAATAGACGCAATTCATCGCTACTTCTCGCATGTTATGAATATGTATATCCAATGAAATTAAATTTAATCCAAATTCAATGAAATCTTGGTAAATGATTAATATTAGATTCAGATATACTTGCTATTTCTATTGTTTCGATCATATTTATTTTATGTATCGTTAATTTATTTTTCCTTCAATAGATGATCCATTTACAGACGACTCATTTAAGAAATTGGTCCAATGAATTCTCTCTCGATATCAAAAGATGAATCGATTAACTTGTTTTGCAATTTATTATTTTTCCAATTGTCCGCCTCAGCGTTTATTCATTGACTCAGAACTGTGACGATTCATCCGATTGTTAAACGATTTCCACTATTGCAAAGATATCGATTAATTGCTGCAATCGATTTAAGAAAGTCTCGTTTTATTGCAACACAATGACATATTATATAAATATTACTGTATAAATACTTCGTTCGTTATTAATTTCTTTATCTTTGGAATTTTTTTTTTTTTAATGTCATCGTCTAACTGTATATTTATTATTTTTTTTTCAGGAAAGACAGAGTACGATATTTTGAGGAGAAAATCGTCGTTCGAGGATGTTGGCGATGAAAAAAATGCAGATTATTCAACGTTGGTAAGTAAATTTTCGTTATATATCTCTTTTATCTCTATATCGAGAGAATAGATAATCTTTTTATTAAAAAAAAAAAAGAGGTCGTTAAATATATTTTCCATTGCTTGCAACCTCGTTAATGTATAAAAATAGCAATGTTCTTGATGCGAAAGCAAACTATAATTATTGGATGGATTATCGGTAATCGGTAACAACGTTGTAAAACGACAAATGACAATTTAAAAGTGTCTCGGCGTATCGCGATATATTGGTTTCTCATGATTTCAATCGAAGATAAAAATTGACAAACAATGTACCACTTTTGAATTTTTCATAAGAATATATAAGAGGCAATTGAATAGACGCAATTCATCGCTACTTCTCGCATGTTATGAATATGTATATCCAATGAAATTAAATTTAATCCAAATTCAATGAAATCTTGGTAAATGATTAATATTAGATTCAGATATACTTGCTATTTCTATTGTTTCGATCATATTTATTTTATGTATCGTTAATTTATTTTTCCTTCAATAGATGATCCATTTACGTTCATTTCCTTTAACGATTTCTTTTTATTCATTCGTTTTGCTACTATTTCAAGCTACTTTGAATAACGATGTTATCTGATCGATTGCTATTCTTCGACTCTAAACCTTCCATCTGTGTCCTCTTTTTCTTTTCCTGCTCGCTTTTATTAAAATATACATCACTCTAAATCTTTTTTAATTACTTCGGATAAATATACTTTTGACCTCTATTTTTTTTGTAATGCTACGATTTTTCTTGTTCTCTGATTTAATTAAAAAAAAAAAAAACTATTGATCAATTCAATTATCGAACGACAACATTTTATAATCAAATTCAATACTTTTTAATTCCTATTTTTATTCTATTAAATTTTTCTATTAAATTCTTCCTTTATTAATCAACACCAATCTTATCGATTCTTTCCTTAAACTACTTCTTACTATCTTCATATTCTCCAAAAAAAAAGTTTAGCTTATCGATCTCCGGAGTAGGAAATAGGAAGGGAAAACTAGTTCAAAGATTTGTTATTAGATGGAACAAAAAGAGGGGAGAAGCGAAAGAAGCGAAATTGGAGGAGGAATCGATTTCGAGGGTGTCAGTCTTTTTCTTTCTCACGAGCATTCGTTCACGATCACCGATAATTAACCCTTTCAAGTAATTGTGATGAAGTAATTGCATACTGTTTTCTTTTTTTCTTTTTTCCCTCCTCGAACACGTGGCTTGTTCACAATGTGATCTCATCAAACTTGCATCAAATGTTTTCATGGAATTTTCAGAAGGGGCTTGACTAGTAAGTAAAGTATCATCACCACACTGCTAACTAAACCTGTCCTAAATATTTGAACAGGCTACCGATTCTCCACTCGTGACGAATTATTAAACGCCATTCCGTTTCACTCTTTCTTCTCTCTCTCTCTCTCTCGCCTTTCTTCTCATCCTTCTCTTATGCAACGCCAGGTTCGGACTTCTCTTGCTTGAGCAAACAGATCGATCATAGACAGGGTATAAGCTGTTGTCTATAGACTGTCTATAGACACGAGCAGCGCAGGAAAAGCGACTGGAACGAGCGACTAAAAGTAGGAGGAAGAAGTCGTATCTTGCACAATTTGTGGAGAAATTTGGAGAAGTTGGTTCGCGCTTGTTTCCTGGTAAAATTAATATGTATATGTATATTTTTCGTGAAAATTTGAATAATTAATTCAAACGTGAGTATTTGATTCAAATTCTTCTATTATAAGAATGGAAATTAGCTTTTCGCGTTTTATCATTTACCTTTTAATTTCTTTTGGTGTAAATCAATATCCGATTTGTCAAGATTTAAACACGGTTGAAGTCTGTTGTTAAAGTGACCGCTTTTTTAAAATAGATTTCTGTGAAGTATCAAGTTTTATCCCGTGTAATAGTTCAGTTTATATCGTGCGAATTAATGAAAGGTTCGATTCAGCGAGGGAAAGTTTCTCGTTTGATATACCTTTTCTCTTGTCTGAGAAGTTTGTTATTATTACGTTCTCTATCGAATCGAAATCTGTTTTTTATCATGGCCAACGAAGGGTAATCTTTCAATAGAGAGTTTTTTTTTTTTTTTCCTCGTACTTCGGGAGCATGCACTATTCATCAAGGAAATTCACTTCAACGAGGGGAGAGGGTTCGTTGTATCTACACGGCTATACTTTTTTTTCTTCGAAAATTAAAAAAATTAATCCATAATATTTTGATAAAATGGCACTTCTTCTTTTTTTCTAATTGCATTTCTTTCTCTAAAAATAACGTAAAATTTTTACAGATCGACAATGTTATCGTGAAAAATTGACAATGATATCGTAATTTTTTAATAAACGTTTCGATAAGCGAGAAAAAAAGAAAAGAAAAAAGAAAAACGATATCGCTTATTTATTAATTAATCGCTTGTTACGAGCAAGTTATCATCTACCGTGTGTAATTCACTATAATCTGACGGAGATGATCTCTTCGTCGAAAGAAATTTCTTATCGTTCGACAAGTTTTGCTGCCAATAGATAGTAACAGAGAAATAATCTTCCAACTATGATAATATAGATTCAGTATCGCGATGGACGTTTATCTGTAAACTTATCAAATTGTCATTTCTTTCATCCAAGTTTCAAGTTCAATCTAAATCCAATGAACAATGAAGAACGAATCGAGAAGGAACGATCGATGGGACGCGATTTTTAACGATTTTTTTTCAAAAAATATCGAACGTAATCGATCCATGCGCGTTTATTAATTATGCTTGATCATCGAATCGATCTATTAATGCCTCGCGTCCACTGTCATCTGCTTGTGCTAATTAATTTTAATTATCTTCGTAATAATAATAATAATAATAATAATAATAATAATAATGGATAAGCAAGAGGAGGAAGCGATTAAGAGGAGATCGACGCAGAAACCGATCTACATCTCGATCGAAGAGGAGGAGGAATCTGTATCGTGGTACAATTGGATCTCCAACATATTGTGCAAACCGTTTCGAAGGAAATGGAAGACTAACAGGATACACGTAAACGAGATACCTCCGTCGCTTGTGTCGCTGACACAGGTACCAGAAAAGTTGTGTGAAACGTAATTGAAAGTTTCTTTCGTCCTAGTACGATCCGCTAACTTTCCAAATCGATAAATATCCATTTGTATAAAAAAATCGGTCGCAATATCGATACCGTGAAATTTATTATTCGTTTGTAAATTTGTTTCGTCCATTCGTAAATTTCGCTCGATATTTAATATTATTACAACATATCTTTTCGTTAATTACGAATAATAATTTTTTTTCTTTTTTTACTGGTCCTGGAAAAAATTTTAAACGACAAAAACACGATTTAATTAATCTCTCGTCTCTCGTGAAGATAAACGAAATGTGAAATTGAAAGAAATATTATTATATTATAACACAGGATGTTGCACTTACTGAGAATTTCGTTTTGCTGCAGTTGACTTATTCAGAATTCGGAAGAAGATCATTGCCGATGAAGTGTGCTGCTCGCCTCGTACTAGTCTTTCTCTTTATATCGTATTTTGTATCATGTAGGATACAATAAATTGCATTACGAAACGGTAAACTAGTATAGATTAATTATATAGATCTTTTTATCGATTTATCGTTTTCGAAACGTTCTTTTTTTTTTTTTTTTTCATGGCAGTAAATGATACAATCGTACAACAACAATTTTTATTGTGATCACAAGATTTGTATACAATATTTACAAACTGGAATATTTGCAAAATTGATCTTTCCAATCCAATTGATAATATTTTTTCTTCCTTCTTTTTAAATGATAATGATGATTATGAAAAAGTTTCCCTCTCCACAAAGTTTCTTCGTGTTTCATCATTGCGCAAGCATGCCCCTTCGTTCAAGACACACGTTCACAAGAGATGTTGAGGATGATTCGAGATTCATTTCAACATATCTTGATCAAACTGTATCTCTGTACTCGGAACGTTTCATGCGCTCAGAATAAAAGGCACGATAGTGATTGTATATCCAAATAGAATAGAACTGAAACAAATACCCCCCCCCAAAAAAAACAAAAAAAAAAAAAAATAAATAAGAAAGAATAAAAAGAAAGAAAGAAAGAAAGAAAAAAAAAGAAGAAAAAATCTTCCACGATTCTTCCTTTTAAACTGAATTTAGAAAATTATCGTGTGTTAATCTCGAAAATCGAGATTGAAATAACGTACAATTCTATTAAAAGGGAATAAATTCATCTTATAATTTCGCTGTTACGCCTCAACTTCAGATTCGTTTGCCGTGATTCCTAACATGTATAGGTTATACAACAATTCCACGCCGTATAAAATCAAGCGATACTTAGTCAAGTACGAATGCAAAACTCGAAATATCAAGATGGGAATATAAAAAATTTAAAAGATTCGGCCCGTGCACGTCGGCGGGCTAAGATTCAGCGAGAATACGCTGAATTTCACAAGCCATTGTCACGTTTTGAAAGTGATAACGAAACAGTAGTACGTGCAAAATTGAACGAATTAGCAATATTGTTAAAAAATGGAGGGAAGAGGGGAGGGAGAAAATAGAAATAATGAAAAAAGAAGAAAATTTAGATCAAAGAATAATAAGATTCACGTTCATTGAGAACCTCAATATTTCAAAATTTATCATTTGCACGTCATTTGATTTCAGGTAGGATCCCACATTACTGAACCCCATCCGTTAACGAACAGTGTTCCTAGTCTCATAAAAGTAAGTAACGTACACACGATCTATCAATGCGATTCAACATGAATTATTATTATTAGATAGAGTAAAAATATCTTATCGATTTGCAATTATTATATATTCAGATATTATTGGTCTTCCCCAAAGATGATCAACAAATGGATATCCTTGCCACTACTTCGAGGCGTTTGGGATGGAGCGTGTCAGTTGCAAAAGACGCGGAAAAAGCACTCGAATTCTTCCAGGCTCGAGGCCACGAGTTAGTGATCATCGATCATCGGGGACAACGCGCTGCAGAAGCTGACAGTATTTGTAGGTATGGAAAATTATTATAATAAAAAAAAAAAAAATTAATCGCATCGATTGAAAGTAACAAATAAAAATGTTAAGAATTGAATACATTCGTTTTCAGAGCAATCAGGGCTAGTCCTTTTTATTATAATTCCATAATTATAGCTCTTGTAAAAAAATCGTAAGTTGAACCGAATATCTTTTATATTAATTACTTTTCTTTCTTTTCAATCGATCTTCGAGCCTATTTAATAAACTGTATAATGTATATGTAAAAGGTATCTCATGCATAGCGAAAGTGAAAAAATCGTAACATTGGATTTAATGGAAATAGGATACACTAAAGTAAGTTTTCTAAAATAACTTTGGAAGATTCTGATTAAATTTGATTGTATATTTATCTTGGGCTCATTTTCAGACTTTAATGGAATGCGCTCACGAAAGAATCTTAATAAACGAATTAGTAGGAATTTATACTAGCGGAATATTACCAAGGACACAACTGGTTGCTGCCAACACGCTGTATATCGCTCTTGACAGATGTCGTGACATGATACATGTGACGGACGATAAATATATTATACAGGTAAACTCATTACTATTGCAACTATTGAAGGATAAATAATTAACATCTGTGATATTTGAAATATATTCGTCACGATATTTCTATCAAAATTCTTTTATTATAATTTAAATATATTCTTCTTTGCTTTTAAAATTTTAACCGATTATTTTTAAAAATAATTGTATGTAATTTTATTTATTACGTATCTCTTATTTCTTTTTACTTTTGCAGTTTGCTAATAAAATTAGTGACAAAATATTAGGCTACAGGATCAATGAACTTTGGGGCAAAGCCATTACAGAGTTAATTTTGTATGATAATTTTATTCAAATGGAGCAACATATAATCAAAGGCCGAGAATATGATGGGAATATAAATTGTATTCGAAGAAACAATCAAATGATAACAGTTAATTGCAGGGCGATACCTTTCACCTTTTTCAAGTGAGTCAAATCGGATTTATCATTCTCAAAAAAAAAAAAAAAAAAAGAAAAAAAAAGAAAAAAGACATTTTTGTCTTTCTTTTACTTGTTTTCTTCCCGTGTTTTCGAACATTTTCTTTCAGAAAACCGACTCATTATATTTTCATATACGATACAACATATTTGTCAGAAACTATTCAACCTCTGCTTCCGCCCATTCATCCAAAAACTGTCGTTATAGCTCAAAAAAAAATGTCTGAAGTCAATTTCAAAGGAATTCACGAAGGTAATTGTTTCAATTCAATCGAACTGTTCGTATTTTATTTTTTATTTCGATAAACTACTCGAGGCTAGAAATTAGGTTATCTGAAAACTACACTTGCAATTTTTTTTATCAACTTCTCACTTTAATAGTGCTTATATTCGATATCACGATAAAGAAAATAGGACATCTGCATCATGTTATAAATTTTTCTTATTCTCTTTTATTTACCATCGAAATGATAAGTTAAAATTTCAATTCGTCATATTTTAATAATTATAAAATTAATTTGCAGTTCGCAGACGGCTCAGTAAACGTGATTTACAAACTTTGCAATTAGAAGCACCCATTACAAAAGTGATCAGCCTCCTTACGAGCTCGATTAAAGAAGATACATCGTCCGAGACGAGACTACAAATCGAGAAGGTATCGCACCAATTATTTCCATTTCTTTTAACCAATTCTATTTCCACATATATTTTGTTTTTAATATTAATCGATTAATTACAATGCAGGCGATTGATATTCTCAAAACTACCGAACTTTATTCACCAGTTTTTAAAGAACAAGGTGATCCAGCGACCAATTTCATCGAGGCCTTAATTACAGTAATGTTGAAAAGAAAAAAAATTCTCTCTTTACAATTACCAATTCATCTATGGTTTCGATTTTATTTTTAACGTTATTCGATATAGCCAAAAAAATCATGGGATATTAGGAAACCATCGGTAGAATCAATTCGAGATACCCCTTCAAAGACATTAGCTGCCTCCACGCGTATGCAGATCAAAGGTTACAGGACTCCTCAAGAAATTGCAGAAATTCTAGAGAAGTGTTTGAAATGGGACTTCGATATATTCAAATTAGAAATATTAACGGAAAAAAGGTATTCGATTCCAAAGAAAAATTTATATAACTTGTTATTTTTTCTTTTTTTTCTTTTTCTTAGCGAATTGACAAGTGTTTAAACACACACAATTGATTGATCTCTCTCTCTCTCTCGTTTTAGAGCGTTACTCTTTTTGGGAATGACTATCATGAATCTGTTTCGCGTCCCAGCTAGACTTGGTTGTGAGGAAAAAATTGTACAAAATTGGTTAATTGTAATAGAAGCGAATTACGACAGTAATAATCGTTATCATAATTCAACACACGCTGCAGACGTATTGCAAGCTACTGCTATGTTCATGCAAACGGAAAGGCTGAAACAGGTTTTAGAACCTTTAGACGAAGTCGCAACTTTGATTGCAGCTGCTGCTCACGATATTGATCATCCTGGTAGATCGAGGTAAATCCAACTAATTCGACTGATCAATACTAGAATAATTATTCACAATTATCCAAAATTTGCCTGTTTTATATTGTATTCTTTAGAATTTTTAATATCAAATAATTATTTAATCGATTCCAGTCAATTTCTGTGCAATTCTGACAACAAACTAGCGATTCTTTACAACGATCTGACCGTTCTTGAATCACATCATGCAGCACTAACATTTAAATTAACGCTATCAGACGATAATGTGAACATATTTAAAGTGAGTTTTAAAAAATTTTCGTCATAAATCATGAATTAATAAATTAATAAATCGTGAAAAGAATAAAATAAAATAAAATAAAATAAAATAAAATTTTGTAGAATCTGGAAAGAGATACTTATAAACAACTTCGCCAAAGTGTGATAGACATGATTCTAGCCACCGAGATGACAAAACATTTTGAACATCTCGCAAAGTTTATGAATGCTTTCAGCACAAGGATTCCAGAGATGTATATCGAAGTAATTATTTTTATATTTTTTCCTCTATTTATTATTAAATAATTTTCAAATTCACGAAGTTATCTTGGCTTTTTTTTTTTTTTTTAAATAAATCTATTACAAAGTTATCTATACTTGACATTAAACCATGAATCCTTATAAATCCTTCTCTCTCTAAAAACCTGAGTACAGGGTTCTCCGGATATGGATATATCAGCTGCGATACTACCAGAGAACATAATATTGTTGAAGAGAATGATAATCAAGTGTGCGGATGTGTCGAATCCTACTCGACCGTTGAAATATTGCGTCGAATGGGCCAGACGAATTGCAGAAGAGTATTTTAGTCAAGTAATAACACATACGTTTGGATTTTTTTTTTAGAATTAACAATTATTCTTTCTTTCACTTGGCTAGGTTACTGTGAGTTTACATATGTAGAAAATTGTTCAGCACATATACTTCAGGACGAGATAGAGTTTAAATTATTTTGATGCGTTTGATAATTTATTTCAGACTGACGAAGAAAAACAATTGCATCTTCCAGTAATGATGCCAATGTTCGACAGAATAACGTGCTCGATACCAAGAGCGCAAATCGGTTTTATCGATTTCATTATCAATGACATGGTCGAGGCATGGGATGGTCAGTAACTTTTATATCTTGAATGCTTATAAACGCATGTATTGTTATCATGAATGCATAATTTTATTTACAGTATTCATCAATATGCCGGAGATAGTGGGATTTATGAGACAAAATTATGATAAATGGAAAGAATATAACGTAAGTAATGATCAAATCTTGAATTTTATTTCTAATTTTTTTTTTTTTTTTAGTATTCTCTCCACTTTTTACTTCTAGAAATTTAATTATTAAAAATTTATTAAAAACTTATTAAATTTAGTTATATTCTGAGAATAAAACACTACTTTTTTTATCAATAATTAAAATAATTAAAAAATATTACCATAATCACCATAAACATTCACTATAAGAGAATTTTCTTTCTTTACAAACAAATTTTACTCACGCATTATAAATTGTCTTGTAGTCTTCTTTCTTCTTTCACTATTCTTCGAAAACTTCTAAATTCAATTATATTTAAAAAAAAACGGATTATTTTTATATTAACAATTTAAAAAGTTACACAAAGTTGTAACCATGAATATTTATTATAAAAATTTTTTCTTTGAATATGATTGAATTTTACTTTAATTTCTTGAAACATTTTATATTCTTCGTATTTTCTTCAATTTAGTAAATTATAAATAATATTTCTAGAATGAAATTGATTACTTTTTACTAAGAATTACATGAAAAACATTCTAATCACGATATTTCACACTTCATTTAATAAAATTTAATTTTACACTCACTTCTTGAATTTTTATCTTGATTCTTGGATTCTTCTTACTTCTTTCGCTAATCTTTGTGAATTATTGAATTCAGATATATTCTAAGAATAATAAATTATTTTCTTTGAACAATTAACTTATGTAAATCAAAAACTATACAACCACATATTTGTTATAAAAGATTTTTCTTCGTGTTTAACTCAATTATGCACTCATTTCTTGAATTCTATTCTTGGTTCTTGAATTGTTTTATATTCTTCTTACTTCATTCACTAATCATCGAAATCTAATAAATTTGATTATGTATATGCAAGAAATAATAAACAAACTTTAAACTCTTTATGAATAGTTAGAAGAAAATTAAAAATTTCTCATAATTATGAAGATGTTATAAAAAATATTATAATATAATATTAAGAATATGTCTTTTTTGTTAATAATAGGAGAAAGGCATAACAACTCTACAGGATATCGTAAAGATACAAGAAGTAATTCCTGAACTTAAAATACATCCTGAGACTACATGACCCATGGAAAAAATCGCCTTTTTCATTTGTCCGTCCCAAAACGCAATAGTTTTGTGCAAGTGATTTGTAAAATATTCATAATATTTAAAAAATAGAGATAAATAAATACGTTGTACAGTTGAAGCTTTTTTTTTTTTTTAGAAAATACACGTAATTCAACTATCTTCATTTTATTTTATTATGTCTACCCAGTTTCATAAAAATCCATCTATTTTTAAATTCGTGACACCACGGAACAAAATGGTTCGTCGTTATAAAATTTTGCCTCTTTATTCAATTTTTTTCTAAATGACGAAAAAAACAGGCTACCGTACGTTTCCAATTATGAAATCTGAAGATCTTCAATCGTACTCGAAATTGTATATTTAATTATTTATGTTGGATATTTTTAACCGTAATATCGTCTTTTTTTCATTTTCGGTTCTATTTGATCTGTGTACTTTTTTCTCAATTCCCAAATTCCATATGCCTTTGTAGTAGAGTATTGGTTTAGACAAGATGGTGCCCACAATTTATTCTCGACCTCTAACTACGAGTCTGCTCTAAACTATAAAAAGAACGTCACGTTGAATTAAAGACTTTCACGTGGATGAGGCACATTCGTAGAAATATCAATTTGCATTTATCGACTTCAACTTCGAGGTTTCAATTCAAGGTAAATTAATATATTTGATCGAATATTTATCAAAGAAATTATAATAAAGTAATAAACAGGGGAAATTTAAAAAATAGTTAAAAATAATTAAAAATCGATAAAATTTAAAACTAACGAGTGTTCCTCATCAACATATTTTAAACAGTCGGTACTTTACGATTCTCTCAGTAGTGAGCAGACATCGTGAAAATACATTAAATTCTATTTAACATAGAAGAAATAAAAAACGATACTTTAAGTAACTGATTTGTAACTAAACTAGGATAAAGGCTAAAGTGACGCTACATTCAGTTTGATTTAAGAGAATTCTTTGAAATGTGAAATATATCAAAATTTATACGTTCAATTTAAAATATTATTTTTAACATATAATATGACATTTATATTTATATTATATTTTGAATTAAATAATTAAGTAGCGACACTGTGAGCCCTAAATGTTAATTTTCTGATCTTATATTATAACGTTAAGATTGTAGAACAATAGAAATACATCGGTTCAATAACCGCTTACCTAATATATCTCGAGATGCTCTTCTCAAATAGTTCAAAATGTATGAAGAAATTTCAAACTCTAATCAGACCATATTATAGTTGCGTTCAAGCACCGACCCCGTAGGGTGCACTATAAAAACAAATATAAAAAGCCTCGTTTCATTTGATCCCTTTTTACGATCAAATTTATTACATATCTTGTTTTTAAGTAGAAACACCTGGCGTCCGAAGGAATCATTAAAATCATGAAAACAAAAGGACCAGCGAGTAAAGCAGTTAAAATAGAAACGATTACGGAAGAAAAATAATGTTATCCCCCCAAATCTTATAATTTAAATTTTCTATAGTTTTCTATATTTAAAAATAATAGAGTTTTCATAGAGTAGTTTCATGAAATAATATTAAAACTCGAAAAATCATACATAAAATATTTTTGATAATTCATAAAAATTGTAAAAATTGTCACTTCAACATATTAAATATTATATTATTGAAAATAATATAGGTTATTCCACAATTTGTTTTAATTGCATAAATAACCATTCAAATAACCATTCACTTTATTACACTTGTTTTACTTATATGTTTCATTTATAAAATCTGCTTATTAAATTCAATTACTAAGTATTAGTTAATATAGTTGATCATTTTAATATTTCATTTGTATTTTTGTAAAACGAAAGTAATATTGTGAAGAAAATTTTCAAAAAACTCAAACCAAAAATCTACTCTCAAAAAAAAAATCCATTTAAAAAATCAAAAAAAACCAACTTATAAACTATAATACCCACCGTAAATAGTCCAACTTCGCAATCCATTCGTTTGTTTTCATGTCATGTTGTCGTAGATCGCATAATAGAAGAAATATGATCAGTTGATGAAATTGAATATTCACTGCATCCGAACGAAAGTTTCTTTATGAATGCGTCGAGCCATTCTTTTTTTCTTTCTTCAATAATTCCGTTCTTGAAAACTCATGTGTCTTCTATGGTGAAATGGAGAATTTTCAATTCTGTAGATGATATTGCAATAATGATATTATTGCCCTGAAATGCAAGAATAAAACCATCAGTAAAAACAAAAGATAAAAAAAAAGAAAACATTCATACCAATTTAATATAAAAAATTAACATATGGATTATATAAATGAATACAATGATTAGTTTTCACATTTACTTCCAATCATGTAATGATTTATAATTAATTCAAATATAATAGGTATGAATTTTAAGTAAATAATAATAATTTATAAATATACGCATGATAAGATTAAAACATTAAGCTTAAAACACTAAGATTAAACATAAGATTAAAACATCCTTTAGAAATAGAAAAATATGGAATGCTTTTTGAAAATAAAAATCAGTAAATATACTGTTTTCTTTACCGGAAATGTACTTTCGGTAAATTGATCGGAAGTAAGCGATTATCAATATTTGCACAAATATTCACAGAAACAAATAATAAAAATTAATAATATAAGAAAAAAAAATAAGATGATAAATTTTGATTTAAGTGAATTTGAATTATTACTCTTATAAAATATCAATGAAGAAATAGATTATAATAATAATAGGAATCGAAACATATTGAAGTTTAATATGAAACTTATTCAAATAATTTAATAGTAATTTTTCTTTTAATTGAAAAGCTGACCTAAAAAATATATGATATAACGCAAAAAAACAGTCATGTTAAAATATTGTATAAAATCGAAATATAATATAGCTTTATTTTAAGGTTAGGTTTGAAAACAATGGCTTCCTAGTTACCCAGATAAAAAATTTTGTGAGACTAAAGTAAATTAAGCATAGGTATGTCATCTTTAGAAATATAAAATGACAAATGTAAATCTTATATAAATAATATAAATAAAAAAAGTATTGGAGATTAGGCTAGTAAGATTATTTTCAAAATAACATGGTTAAATCAAAATTTGAAATATATTATAGAATAAACAATACTTACAAGAAATAATGACGAATTAACTGTAAACATAGTGGAGGAAGAAATTTTCACACTACTGCACACTTTGAACGCCACCTCTGACTCCTCTGGAAACTGATTTACAAATGCGTTGAGCCACGCCGAGCGATCCTCTTATATAGGCATGTGGCGTCGCAGTGCTGAAAGTTCGAGAAATCGCACCGGCACCCGGTATTTAATGCGCATTTTCTTTTGATTTATGATTTTAATACTTTTTCTATTGCTTATAGAACAGTGACCGATACAGTTGTATTCCTCATGTTACAAACTACTGTTCAATGATACTATCATTGCGATTTATTCCGTTTTTTCGAAAAAATAAGGAAAAGCAAAGTATTGATCGACGAGATTTCTGGCACGTTCTCTTACCCAACCCCACCACGTCCCAATTCATATATTTTCTTTTTGGTATATATATTTATAGTCAAATAATATATACAAGTTTAATCTTGTAATAATCTATTTATGTTTGTTGTTCACAATATGAAATATATAGTTTCCAGAATTAAAAAACAATTCAAAATTAATTATGAGCAATTTACAAATTATTTCTAAAATATTATTATTTAAAACTAAAATATAGAATTTTAAAAAATATTTGGAAATAAAAATATTGGACTTGCAATATTAATTTAACAGGCACCATATCTATATTTGAATAAAATTTAATTTCTTCAAATTGAATTTTTCTCTTGTATACTTAATAATTAAAGTTATTTTTTATTATTCTGCATATATACATATAAGATGAACATGTTTAGATAAAAATATTATTTCGATTCTTTTTTTCGATGATGTAAATTATGGAAACAAATTTCATTCTAACAATAATATAAAAAGATGAATAAGAAAGAATAAAAAAATTCATTGCTTTAATTTATTTATTGAAATAATGCAATCGAGAAACTCGATAAAAATTGTACAGCATTGATTATGAATATGTATATATAATATATTATAATATGTACATATATAAAATTTAAATATCAATTGAGATTCAAAATAATAAATTCGAGTTAAAAAAAATTATATTAATATAAATATAAAGATCTAAAATTTTATGCAAAATCGTATCATTAATATAAATGTAAAAAATAAGGAAAAAGAATATCTTGAAATAAAATTTTAAAAAATATTTATATTTTTCTCTCTCGTTTTTCAATTAATCAAAATAGCAATCAATATCTTTTAATTTTTTACTTATAAATGAAATTTGTATAATTAATATATTTTTTCTATTGTTTGGAACCCTAAAACAGAATGTAGCATACGGTCCTAAGTGGGCCTACGACAGTTCTGCGACATCTGTTGGTGTCGATACTCAATATTTATTGATGGAACAAGATATATATAATAGAATCGATGCTCAATACATTATTATAAATAAACTTTTTGCAGTAATTTTTCTTGCTAGAAAGTAGAAAACTGAATCTAATTAATATAGATGAAGGAATAATTCAAAAGTGTAATGTGTAATAAAACGTGTAATAAAAATGGATTCATATGACGCAATATCATCATGTTTGTGAATATTGTAACTGTTATATTCTTTATACAAATGAAACATTTTTATCAATATATTATTTTGATTGACAACATTTGTAAAAAAACAAAAATATATAAAGCAAATGATTCAGTTTTTTATATTTATATAAGTTTATTATAATAAATTAATATTCCAATATTTAAAATGGAAATTCTAATTATAAGTATATTAATTACATAGTAATTTTATTATATTTATGCATTTATTATATCATATAACACTAACATTATCAACGTTAAAGAAATCAATAGCATTTTTTCTTATTATGCAAGGGACACATATTATTACATAATATAGATTTCACATATTTATCGATTTTTCTTGTATGTATTTAAAGGCATCGTATTCCGTTAAAAAACATTATAACTAAGAAATGTCACATTCCCATAAATTCTGCAGAATCTTTTGTGTATTCTTCGAGCTAACTTTATGGGAACAAGAGGTCAGATAAAAGAGACAAGCTATCAAACTGGTTTATAAAACTGAATATATATATGTACATAAATACATATGTAAAATAATACGCAGATGTTCGTATTACATGTGCACATAATCTGAAAGAGGCAAGAATAGAACAGGATGTCGGTCGATACATTCAGTCAAATGCAGCCAGGTGTTTCCTAACGTTTTTAATCTCCTTTCTCAGGTACATGGAAGCATTCCAGAACAATACTTTCTATAGCTGCATACAGATTTGATATACAATAACTATCTTGCTTTAATTAGGAATGGGAACTGAATCTAATCAGAGAATAAAGAGGGATCTATATTATATATTAATGGTCAATTAAAAAAATAAAATTTTTGTTAGATTAGGTTAGATATTTTGTAATTTTGATGTCACTATAATTTAGTAAAATTTGGTATAATTTGGATCATTGCAGATTGAATATTGTGAATTTAATGATATTTATGCAATCACTAGGTCATCGAATATATTTACAAATCAGTATAATTATAGTTAAAAGGATCAACGTCTTTATATGGCTTGATACAGTTTATAGTATTTCTAAATCTTGTTTTCAAAGATCTACATTTCTAAATTATGGTTATGAATCGTTGTGTGAATGATCTAATTTTCTTCAAATATCAAGATTATGCGTGATTATATATTTATTACAAATTTGAATAATTTTTATTTCTGTTATAAGAAGAATAATTGAAAATGATTTATTAAAGAAAAAAAATCAATTAAAAACAGAGAAAACAAATTTTTTTCGATTTTTCAATTTAAAACATGTTTAAAACATTGCCATAGAACAGTTGCACTGTTCTTTCTTTTGAATAAATAAATAATATAATCACATAATTATTGTCATAATTTCTGTACAATTTTAACAAAGATTTATCTGATAATACTTTGAAAACTTTGAATATATAAAATGAAATACAAATTTTGTATTCAATTAACATGGAATTTTATTAAATTCAATTTATACAGATATGTATAATTGATTAATTTGTTAAATTGTGAATAAATTGAACTTTATATCATTGTTTTGTATTCCGTTTCCATCAAACATTCGTCAATTAATTATATATTGCAATTAAAATCCTTATATTATTTATATAAAAAAATGATAATTTATATCAAAATATATAATATTTGATAATAAATATCATTAAAGATCTTTTAATAAAATCCATAAAATAATTAAATCTTTGACAAACATTTGATTTATATAGTAATATATAAATAATTGTATGCATTAATACATATAATATGATAATAATTTTCGTTCCATCTATTATGAAGTATACATGGCAATGTATTTTTGCATTTGTCTTTTTCAAAAAAAATATCAAACCATAGAAAAGAGATAGTGATAAGTTTATTCTAAGAATTAGTCCCACGATCTATGCATTATAAAATGAAATCTGAGAGAAACAAATTTTATTTCATATTCACTTATATCAATTAGTTTCCAATTTAGATTGATATCTGATCACTCTTGTACGCTCAATCTTTGTACATAAGTAAAACAATTATAAAATCATATCATATATCGATTTCAAAAATCATCATAATACAAAAATAACTATTTAATTCTAACATCATCATTACGATTTTAAATACTATGATAATTTTAAACTTGATAATTGAATTTAAATCGTGAGGTAAAATATTTTCATAAAATTGCTGTTTTAATGAATTGAATTTATGTTTTTTAATATTATATTATATATTATATACATATCGTAATTAATTCAATTTTGAGAAATGGAATATGATCAGATTAATAAAATTCTAAAAGCCTTTATGAACTATGCCATTATTAATTCGAATTATTATCGATAATGATTTTAAGTTGTGATGCGATATTCTAGTATACTATTACAGTCATTATATTCTGATTATATTGTACATTGATTGGATTATAGTTCGTTTAATAGATTATCAATGATAATGCTGAAATTATTGAAAAGATAGAATAGTTTTAAATAGAATTTGCTTTTGTTTCATTAAAAATATTTCATTATTATAAACATCATTATAATCTAGGAAATTATCTAACTTCAATTGTTTTTAATTATAATTTAAATATATTTTTCGTCTACAAATAAATTTTTAAATTAGTAATAGAGAATTTTTACAAAATAATTTAAATATATACCATTTCCTTATATATTTTTATGTTTATATTAATAAATATAAAATAATTAAAATCATTGTATTACTTATTTCATATGCATATTTATATATATTACATGAAATAGATAATATGAAAGTCATATTTATATAATCAGATAGAATGTATAGAATAGAATGTATAATTAAAATATAAAATTTGTTCTAGAACAAATAGAAAAAAGAAACATAACATGAAATAAATGAGATACATAAGTGCGTGCCATCTTGTAGCGTGCAGCGACATCCGTGGTGGCGTCATTAACTATTTCAAATAACACGGAAACAGAGATGGAAGACTATTATTGACTATCGATAATGTATTATCATACCTTAACGATCATTAAACACCTTCTCCATTTATCATAAATAGCTTTCTTCGAGTTCGAGATTTTCCTCTTTTTTATTTTTTTTTTCGCTATAATTTATATCATCATTAATTGCTTTTAATTCCGTAAATTCGAGACAATCGTCATGTTTGTTCTCTTTCTTCTCGGCAAAAAAATATACATAAATATACGTTCCAAGAAAGGCTCCGGCACACGGTCCGAACCAGTAAATCTGGATAAAATTTTTATGGAAAAAGAAAAAAAAATCATTATCGTTACGTAATCTAATCACAGCGAGTCAATATTTACACTACTCTTTTCTTTAAATCTATTAGGTAACATCTCTAAACCGATAAGGTTAATAAGAGAAACGTAAAGTGCGGAAACTTGTGTTTCTTATCACATTCGATGAAGATTAAGCTCAAAGATGTAGAGATTATATGAAATATAATACGTTAAAAAGATTTGTGTAAATCTCTGAACGGACAAATAAATTATGTTTATAGAATTGGGCTCACCCATTGATTCGTCCAATTCCCGTTCCAAAAAGCTGGGCCGAAAGTACGCGCAGGATTCATACTACAACCGGTGTAAGGACTCTAAAAAAAAAAAACATATTTTCTACTTTTGTTCTAATTACACTGATTTTTTAATTATATATTTTTAATCCAAATTGTGTACCGCTGCAAGTGAAACTCCAACAACGGAGAAACCGAATCTGATCGCTGTAGAATCTGTAGTGTGGGCGCATCTTGGGTCCCAAGTGGCGCATGCTGCACAAAGTATAAAGGATGTGCAAAGAATCTCGACTATAATAGCCTGCGTGATACTTATTCCAGGATGTACAACGGTTACACAGTGTCCAATTGTCACGTTTGAACGTCCATCATTGAACAATTCGGGTGGAGTTATCGTCTGTTCCGTTAAAATTTCAATTAAACGTTCAATATAATATCTAACACACACACACATATATATATATATATATATATATACCAGTGGCATACTTGTGATCAGTTTATCATAAAATTTTGACGTCAAACACATATAAGTGATAATTTTTCATTTTCTAACCACACGAAGTATTTTAATTGTAAATAATAAGGAATAAATATTAATGTATAATAATATCATGTAATATTTAATTCTTCTATTTAATGCATTTTATATATGCATAGATGAAAAAGTGTCGCATATCCAATAACAAGGACAAGTAGTAACGAAGTGCGTAACACAATAAATTAAAAATTTGTACCATTAATATTCCATATCCAATAGTTGCTCCAATGAATTGCGCGATTGCGTAAAGGATTCCTGTGGGGATGGTTTTAATTCCTAGAATAACCGCTCCTATCGTGACAGCGGGGTTTAAATGTGCACCACTTATGTGTCCCAGCATCTGTGTTAATAAAAATTTTCTGTATAATCATTTTCTTTTTTTTTTAAAGTCTGACGCATATTTACCATAATCAGAAGATTGACAGTCATACCAAACGCCATGGAACTTTGTAATGGCGGCGGTATGGATCCCATCGTTCCGATAGAACCCATACAACCAACGAACAGGAGAATCCCAGTGCCTAGCACCTCGGCTATAAACATAGTCATTGTGCCCTTTTCCACCGACCATACCGACTCTGAAAACGTAAAAACGTTTAAATTCTTTCGTTCGGTGTCTTGAATAACGTCTATAAACTCATTTTGAGAATTTTTACTTTGATTGTCGTTCTCCATGGTGCACCGACGAACCTTTAACTAACAGCTACCGTAACGGTACTGTAATCAACACTCGAATTACGACAATACTAATCATCGGTGGCTATCGTGCTTTCGCAATACAGTTAAAAAGAAATTGTCTTATCGATGAGTGTCAATGATAATTGCATTCTTCGTCGAATCAGTGCTCGATTGGAAATTGCAGTTCAAGAGGATTCAACAAGAAATTTTATGTTTCTATTTATCAAGGTTATATAAAAGTTACAATATTGCTCGTGGCAAAATGACTCATAAGTTACGTTACCTCGTCGTCGAAAGTTGCATTGCTGCCCCTACCCCTGCAGATAATTTTTCTGTCTGCAAGAAGAAACAAAAAAAAAAAAAAATAAAATTGATCAAATTGTTGCGGAAATGTTGTAACAAAATCGCACGGACACTATAAGAAAATGATCAAAATATGGGTAAACTTCGAATCGCGATTTATTTATGCAAGATTAGTGTACGATCTTGCTTCAAAATGGACAGTAAATCGTAGCTTGAACTACACTTCCGGCCAATAAGCATTTCATTTCATTCCTGATAATACAGTTCAAAAGCGTGTAAATTGTTCGAATCTTTGAATTTTCTTCTTTTCCGAAAAAAATTTTTCCATTAAATTTTCACGAGACAATAACAGCCCGCTTATGATCAGTGGTTCTGACTTTCCACGCAAGCGCCAATGGCCGCCCAACACCATTCGCTTTTCGCAGTCGTTCGCAATCGCTCAAAGAATTTTCCACCGTATAATATAGTTTTTGTTATAGAAGAATCGTATTATCGGACGATATGGGCGAGGAGATCGGAAATACCACGAATTATCGTAACATTCATTACAAATCGGACGCTGAATACACGGTACACGTCGCCAAGACATTATTGACACTGATCGGAATCTGGCCTAGGAGGAACACGTTCGTAGATAACGTAAAATTTTACGTTCAGATAGGAATTGTCTTTTTTCTCATGTGTTTCCTCTTGCTACCGCACGTGATTTACACTTACTTCGATTGCGAAAATCTGACGAAATACATGAAGGTGATCGCCGCACAGATTTTCAGCCTTTTGGCGATCATTAAATTTTGGACGATTATCATTAACAGAGAGGAGATCCGATTTTGCTTGATGGAGATGGAGATACAATATAGAGACGTGGAGTGCGAAGAAGATCGGTCGGTAATGATGAACACTGCGAAAATCGGCCGATTCTTCACAATCGTATATTTGAGCCTTAGTTACACAGGCGCTTTGCCCTATCACATCATTTTGCCCCTGATATCGGAGAGGATCGTGAAGGAGGATAATACAACTCGGATACCACTGCCTTATTTGAGCGACTACGTTTTCTTCGTTATCGAGGACTCGCCGATTTACGAGATGACTTTCGTGTTGCAAATATTCATCAGCAGTATTATTCTGTCTACGAATTGCGGGACTTACAGCTTGATCGCCTCTATAACGATGCACTGCTGCGGTCTGTTCGAGGTTACCAATAGAAAGATCGAGACGCTTTGCAAGTGGGATAATCGGAATTTGCACGATCGTGTTATTGACATCGTTCAATCTCATCTGAAAGCAATCGAGTGAGTATATCACACATTATGTTATACATAATATTTTATTGAAGAAAATATAATAAAATATATTATGTTTATTAGTTTAAAAGAGTGATATGGTTTGCTCATTGGCTATTTATTTAATTTTATGTAATAACATTTTTTTATAAATACTTATCGTTTACACACGATCCTCCTGTTCTTTTTTTAAAATTTTATATCATTAAGACTCTGCTTTTTCTTTGTTATGTGATAGATTATTCGTCGTTTCGATTGGCAATTGATTTTTATAATTATATGTTTTTCTTTCGTGATAAAAAATCAATTTTAGATATTCTGCACGGGTTGGAGAATCATTGAGCATCGTATTTTTGTCGGAAATGCTTGGCTGCACAGTCATAATATGTTTCTTAGAATTTGGTGTAATTATGGTATGACAAAAATTAAATATTTAATTGAAATGTAGAGAAAAGAAGGAAAGAAGCGAATCAATAAAATCAAAAATATTTTCAGGAATTGGAAGATCATAAAACATTGAGCACAGTAACGTATTTCGTTTTAATGACGTCGATTTTCGTAAATGTGTTCATAATATCGTTTATTGGTGACCGTCTCAAACAAGAGGTATATTTTCTCATGCAATTATTCTTGTCTCGAGTAAATTTGTTAATTTTTATTTTTCTTTATAAATATCGTTTTATATAAAGAGTGAGAGAATAAGAGAAACATCATATTTCATACCATGGTACGATTTCCCAACGGAAGTGGCGAAAAATATCAAGATAATCATACTTAGAGCCAGTCGACCATCAAGTCTGTCTGGGGCCAAGATATTGGATCTTTCGCTTCAAGCATTTTGCGATGTAAATCTTGATACATATTATTTTTTTCAATTTATTCTTGTAAAAATTCTTCAAAACGAAAAAATTATTGCAGGTTTGCAAAACTTCGGCAGCCTACTTTAATTTTCTGCGTGCAATGACGGTATAAAAGTTCACGCGAAAGGGATTCCAAAGGGATTTTGAAAAAGTTGATAAATGAATGAAATGATTAAGAGTCAGTATAAACATAATGCACATGATATAATTGTTTACCATTACTTTGGGTAGAGAGAAATAGGAAGGAAATGTTTTGCTTATCTCTCTTTCATTTTTATCACTATTTTCATTTTTATTGAAATGTAATTGTCTGTAATAACTTGTTCATATTTATCGTATCTTTTTTGGGTACTGCAATTCTTTTATTCATTTTTGAAAAAAAAAAGAAGAAAAATAACAATTAGTAATTCTGTAAGATTATACAATAAATATTGAACGATTGAATTATTATCAAATTTCACGATAATCGACCTCACTTAAATACTTAAATCTCCTCTAAATACATCGATCTTATAAATATTTCAACGTATATTTTCTCAAAAAATTGTTTCGTTAAAATTTCAATTAAGTTTTCAATATAATATCTAACACGGTTCGTTACATTATGACATTTATGTAACATATTCAGTTTATCACGAAAGACTGATATCAAATACAACATATAACAGTGATAATTTCTCACCATTTTTAACCAAACAAAATATTTTAATTATAGGTTAATACAAATATTATATAATAAATAATAACTTTCTTATTCAATGTATTTTATATATGAATAAATAAACAAGTAATAAATCATGTAGAAATTTAGACAAGCAGAAATAAAGTGCAAAAATTGTGATTATATTCTATTATCGTAACGTACAATAATTTAATGAAAAAAAGAAAAATTCGTACCTTTTCATATCGAATAGTAGCGCCAATGGTTTGCAGCGCAAATGATACTAGAATAAAGATGCTTTTAATTTGTAGATAATCTATTCTACGTAATGAAATGTGCATTATTTACGTGTCCCATCTGTGGTAATACTCTATTATTATAAATACAATGAAATATGTCAGTAACAATATTACAATTTGCTCTTTGCGATTTATTTATTTCTCAAAATGTGACGTGTACTTATCACGAAAGAAAAGCAATCAAGAGGGAAACACAAAAGAAAAGTAAGAAAGAAATTGGTCAAATTACACACACAAAAAAAAAAAAAAAGAAAGAACAGTAGCATGGACATTATAGAAAATGATGAAAATACGAGAAAACTTTGAATCACGATTTATTTATGCGGAACAATGTACGATCTTACTTCAAAATGGACGTAAATCGCAACATGTGCACTGCACTTCCGCAGCAATAAGTATTTCGTCTGATAACGGTATAGCTAGTACCGTATTGAACAAATTGCTCGAATCTTTGAATCTTCTTTTGAAAATTTTTCTATTTAAATTTTCACGAGACGGTAACAACTTGTCCGTCGGTCGGTTCTTTCACCCAGCTTTCCACGCAAGCGCCAATGGCCATCATACGCCATTGCTTCTCGCAGTCGTTCTCAATCGCTCAAAGAGTTTTCTACCGTGGATTAGAAAAACTTTTCATTATATCAGACGATATGAGCGTAAAAATAGCGAGGAATTATCATAACATTCATTACAGATCGGACACTGAGTATACGGTACGCGTGGCTAAAATATTATTGACAATGGTCGGAATCTGGCCAAGGAGGAACACGTTTTCAAATAACGTTAAATTTTACGTTCAGACAACAATCGTCTTTTTTCTCATGTGTTTCCTCTTATTACCGCACGTCATTTATACTTACTTCGATTGCGAAAATCTGACCAAATACATGAAGGTGATAGCCGCCCAGGTTTTCAGCCTTTTGGCGATCATCAAGATCTGGACGATTCTGATTAACAGAAAGGAGATCCGATTTTGCTTGATGGAGATGGAGGTACAGTACAGAGACGTGGAATGCGAAGAAGATCGGTCGGTAATGATGAACACTGCGAGAATCGGTCGAATCTTCACAATCGTGTATCTGTGCCTCGGTTACGGAGGTGCCTTGCCCTATCACATTATTTTGCCCTTGATATCGGAGAGGATCGTCAAAGCGGACAACAGTACTCAGATACCTTTGCCATACTTGAGCGACTACGTTTTCTTCGTCATCGAAGACTCGCCGACTTACGAGATAACATTTGTCGTGCAAATGTTCACCAGCTTTCTCATAATGTCCTTGAATTATGGGATCTACAGCTTGATCGCCTCTATAACGATGCACTGTTGCGGTCTGTTCGAGGTCACCAACAGAAGGATCGAGACGATTTTAAAATGCCGAGATTTGCGTGGTCGCATCGCTGGCATTATTCAATCTCATCTGAAAGCAATCGAGTAAGATTATATCATATAATATGTGTTTGATGTTTGTTTTTATATATTTAACAGGATAACAATGGTTTATTTATTTGTGTAATTGTATTGTTTATACAAATTTTATATAAGTATCTTTATTATTTTTACGTCTATTTAACGTAATTTTCCTTTTTCCTGAATAAAAATCCGTGTTATCAGGATCCTGCTTTTATGGATCTTGATAATGTCATATGTGTGATGAAGAGTTACGTCGCTTGGACGCCAAATCTTTGAGACTAACTCTAAATTATCTATTTAAAAATAATAATATTTTTTATAATTATAATTTAAATTTTTGTTCTTCCAATTTTATTGCATATACGAATAAATTTTAGATATTCTGCACTGGTTGGAAAATCACTGAGCATCGTATTTTTATCGGAAATGCTTGGCTGTACTATCATAATATGTTTCTTAGAATTTGGAGTGATTGTGGTATAACAGAAAATTATATATAATCAAAAAAGAAAGAAGAAGAAAAAATAAACGAATAAATATTTTTTAGGAATGGGAAGATCATAAAACATTCAGCATGGTAACATACTTTGTTTTGGTGACGTCGATGTTCGTAAATGTTTTCATATTATCATTCATTGGTGATCGTCTCAAACAAGAGGTACATTTCTTCATACAATTTTTTCGAACAAATTTCGTATATTAAATTGTATTCTTCTTAAAATATCATTTTATGTATCGAAAAGAGCGAAAGAATAGGACAAACATCATATTTCCTACCATGGTATGATTTTCCAACAGAAGAAGCAAAAAATATAAAGATAATCATACTCAGAGCCAGTCGACCATCAAGCCTATCTGGCGCCAAGATATTAGATCTTTCGCTTCGAGTATTTTGCGATGTAAATTCCGATATATTTTTCTCATTACATTATTTTCAACATATTTTTGCAAAAATTCTTGAAAACGAAAAAATTATTTTAGGTGTTTAAAACTTCGGCAGCATATCTAAATTTTCTGCGAACAATGACAGTTTAAAAATGAGGAAAAGGAGAATTTTCCAAATGTTTTTTAAAAAAAAGGTGATAAATAAATAAAATTGATTAAGTAAGTATTAATATAAAATACATGATATAATTGTAATAAATTTTAATTACTTTGAACGAAGAGAAGTAAGAAAGTGTTTTGAGACTGTTAATAAATGTTTTTAGCTTGTAACATTTCTTTATCGTATTTTCCTATTTTATTGAAACATAATTAGCTATATGTCTTATCGTAAACTGGAAACTTCATGTTTGGAAAATTTGATGACAAATATAAAATAACAAATATTCTCTGCAACATAAACAAAGAAATATCACAACTGAAATATTATCAAATCTCACAATTGCTCAATACTTAATAAATAATTAAATCTCTTATATTATAACCGTACAAACATTACAACCAATGTTATATTTTTTCAAAAATATGGACGTAAAAGAGATCCGTACCATCTATGACCAGTAAACACAGAAAACTAATCTGAATTGCGCATGCAAGGTATAAGTTCATAATTTGAAGCATTTTCTGCGCATCTGTCGATTCCTACATGAACCTAAACATATAATTCTGTAACATTGTTGAAATAACTGCCATTCCATGCTAAATTCTATATTATATATTTTATAAACGCACGCGTAATGTAAAGGATACAGTTTTATCACAGACATACGGTAATGTTCACAAACTCTTAGTCTTCGGAATGAAACAATGGAAACGAAACACGCGGAAAAAGATCTGAAGCAAGCGTTCTACGCGCAATCGTTCCTGAAGATAATCGGTGCTTGGCCAATCGCTATCGAATCTCCTTTGAGCTCGAAAATACAGAAATGGTTTATAATTTCTTTCTGCATTTGCTTGCAAATATGTATCGTGACTCCGTGCATTTTTGAGGCGCTCCTGAAAGAAAAGAATGGAAAGAGAAGGATAAATCTGTTCATGCTGCTCATCAACACTCTGAGTCAGGTGTTCAAGTACGTGATCACACTGAATAGAGCGAACGAATTGAGGATAGCTATACACGAGATAAAAAAAGATTGGTTGACCACCACGTCCGAAGATCGATTTATCTTTGTCACGAATTCAAGGATCGGTCAACGAATGATGCTGATAATGGCTGTCATCATGTATAGCAGTGGTCTCGGTTATCGAATGGTTCTTCCACTTTTGAAGGGAAAAATTATCCTACCGAATAACGTTACCATAAGATTACTCCCTTGTCCAACTTACTTTACCTTTTTTAACGAATTAGTTAGCCCATACTACGAGATGATCTTTATACTGCAACTTCTGGCTAGATTTTTCATTTATACAATTCTCAATGGCACCGTTGGAATTTCCTTGATGCTCTCTCTCCATATGTGTAGTTTATTGAAGATTTTAACGAGAAAAATGATCGATCTCGCGGATGGATCAATTATCAGCGAGAAAATTATGCAGCAGAAGGTAGTGGATATCATCGAATATCAAATAAAAATCAAAAGGTAGAAAAAAATTTGGAATATAACATCGGCTGATGGAAAATGAGAAGTGTCGAATGTGATATACAACGTGTTTTCATCACTCTCTTTCAGATTTTTGAGTAACACAGAATTGATCACGCAATATTTTTGTTTTTACGATATTGGTAGTAGCACGTGTCTTATATGTTTCATAGGATACAGCGTTATTGTGGTTTGTATATAGCGAACAAAGATGAAAAAGATGAAGCAAAATGGAATATTTTTATGACGAACCAATATTTTTTTTATTCAGGAATGGGAAAACAATAATATTGCTGCTATAATGATTTACTTTTCGGGATTAGTGACTTGCATTTTTATGATATATATAATCTGTTATATCGGTCAACTTCTTCTTGACGAAGTATAAATTGCATTATTATCGTTATTCATTTTGATATGAATTTGTCTTGAACATTCTTTTCAGAGTAATAATTTAGCACAAACATGCATTACTTTGAACTGGTATCGTTTTCCAAAAAAGAAGGCCCGGTATTTGATATTGATGATTATTATGTCCAATTATCCTGTAAAACTGACAGCAGCAAAAGTGGTGGACGTATCTTTAACTACCTTCACCGATGTAAGTATGAAGAAAGTTACTTTTTATCTTCAAATTTCCTATATCCTGCGAAATATATTTTCTAGGTGATGAAGGCGGCAGTGAGTTATTTAAATATATTACGAGAAGTTACTTAATGTTACTGTTAATTTTCATATTTTTGAAATATATTTTGAGATATATTTTCGATCACAACACATAACAAAAACAATGTTTCGTCTATCACATTTTTTTCACATTTATTTAAATTGGTATTGCAAATTATATAAATCTATTGATCTTGTTTTGTATTATTTTAAAAGCAATTATATAGCATTTTATTTCCTTTTATATAAAGTTTTCTTTTACATAATTATTCACTATAATCCTTTGAAACATTGAGAGTATGAAAATAAAGTATTTTCTGAAATATCGTCAAACAAATATTACGATATCACAACTTATTATCACTTAAATCTTATTAATATTATGAGATACAAATAACATCACAACCAATATTATTCTTTTCTAAAAAAATTACACGTAAAAGAAATTCATACCACCTACAATCAGAAAACACGAGAAACTAACCTGGATTGCGCATACAAGGTATAAGTTCATCATTTTCTGCGCATCTGCGCATCTACACAAACCTAAACATATAATTCCGTAACATTGTTGTGAAATAACGGCTATTCCATGCTAAATTCTATATTATATATTTTATAAACGCAATGTAACTTGCTTGTTTTATCACAAACATGCAATAATGTAATTATTTTTTTCAAAGAGTAATTATTTTTATTATCTTGTTATTATCATGAATAATTTATACTTATTTCGATTGTGAAATCGAACCAGATACATAAGATGATATCTGCACAAATTTTCAGTATTTTGACGATTATTAAATCATAAACAAAAAGAAAATCCAATTTTGCTTGATGGAAATACAGAGATGTGGAATGCAAAAAGGACCTAATGATGAATATTGCAAATTATCGGCCGATTCCTATATATTTGAGTCTTGACTACAACGGCACTTTGCCTTATCACATTATTTTACTCCTAATAGAAAAGGATTGCCAAAGAGAACAAACATTCAGATACGATTAATTTATTTGAGCGATTATGTTTTCTTCGTTATCGAGGATTCGCCGATTTATGAGATGACTTTCGTCTTGCAAATATTCATCAGCAGTATTATTTTTTCTATGAATTCAGACTTACAATTTGATTGCCTCTATGATACATTGCTGCGATTCCAAATTACCAATAGAAGGATCGAGATGCTTTGCAAATAGTCTGGATTTGCATGATCGTGTTGGTATTATCATTTAATTTCATCTGAAAGCAATCGAGTAAAAATATTATATATATAATGTTTAATTAAGAAACATAACATTATATAATAGTGATTTGTTTTTCGTTAATTTTATGTAATAATTTTTTTTATAAAAGTACTTCTTTTTTACTATATGTTATATTCATTAATCGTGCTCTGCTTTTTAGATTATATTATGCATGCAAAGAAAATTTGCCTATGATTAGCCTTACGATATTAACTTATATATATTTTTATTTCACAATAAAAAATTTATTCTAGATACTTTGCACGAGTTGGGAAATCAATGGACATTGTGTCAGGAATGTTTGGCTATATTATTGTAATATGTTTCTTTTTGCTGTGTTATAACAAAAAATATTATTTAATATTAATCAGAAAAAAAGAAGAGAAAAAAAAGAAACAAATAAATTTATAAATGTTTTTAGAAAGATTTCAAGTCATTGAATACAATAATATCTTATTTTAACCATGTGGATTTCATCAATGTATTTTCATAATTATTGGAGATCAATATATTGTAATGAAATTTTTTGAAAAAAGGAAAAATTATTAAGATTTACAAAACTTTGGCAGCATATCTAAATTTTCTGCGAATATGATAGTATATATAGTATAATAATAATATAATAATGAGAATGAAAGATTTCAAATTAACTTTTTAAAAAAAGTTATAAAGTGATTAAGTAGTAACATAGCATATGTGATATCATTCTTATACTATTACTTTGAAAGAAATAAAAAAATGTTTTGAGAATGATAATAAAAGTGTGATTTATGACGTGTCTTTCACTATTATCGCTATTTACTATTTTATTGAAACAAACATTTTATCACAACACCATTTAATTCCTAATAATTATTCACTATAATTCTTTGAAACTTTGACAATATGAAAATAAAATATTTTCTGAAATATCATAGAAATATTACGATTCTGATATCACAACTGAATTATTATCGCTTAAGTCTTCTTATTAATATTATGATACAAATAATATCACAACCAGTGTTATTCCTTTCCACAAAAATTGCACGTAAAAGAGATCTATACTATCTATGATCAGAAAACACGAGAAACTAAGCTGGATTGCGCATGCAAGGTATAAGTTCATAATTTTCTGCGCATCTGCCGATTCCTACATGAACCCAAACATATAATTCTGCAACATTGTTGAAATAACTGCCATTCCATGCAAAATTCTATATTATATATTTTATAAACGCACGCGCAATGTAGCTGCTACCGTTTTATCACAGTAATGTTCTCGAACTCTTAACTCATTGAAAGGAAATAATGGAAACAAAGCACATGGAAAAAGATCTGAAGCAAGCCTTCTACGCGCAGTCGTTCCTGAAGATAGTCGGTGTTTGGCCAATTCCTATCGGATCCCCTTTGAGCTCGAAGATACGAAATTGGTTCATAACTTTCTTCTCCCTTCTCTTGCAAATATGTATCGTGGCTCCATGCGTTTTGGTCGTGCTCCTAAAAGAGAAGAACGGAAAGAGAAAGATAAATCTGTTCAAATTGCTCACCAACACTCTGAATCAATTGTTCAAATACGTGATCACGTTGAACAGAGCGAACGAGTTAGCGATAGCCATGAACGAGATAAAAAACGATTGGTTGACCGCCACATCGGAGGATCGGTGGATTTTCGCCACGAATTCGAAGATCGGTCAAAGAGTGATGTTGATAGTGGCAGTCACCGTGTATAGCAGCGGTCTCGGTTATCGAATGCTTCTTCCACTTTTGAAGGGAAAAATTGTCCTGCCGAATAACGTTACCATAAGACTGCTCCCCTGTCCAACTTACTTTACCTTTTTTAACGAATTAGTTAGCCCATACTACGAGATGATCTTCATGCTGCAACTATTGGCTGGATTTTTCAGTTATACCGTCCTCAATGGCACCGTTGGCATTTCCTTGATGCTATCTCTCCATATGTGTAGTTTATTGAAGATTTTAACGAGGAAAATGGCCGATCTCACGGATGGATCGATTACCAGCGAGAATATTATGCAGGAGAAGATTGTGGATATCGTGGAATATCAAACGAAGATCAAAAGGTAATTGAAATGTAATAAATAATAATAGCATTGACTGGCTGAAAATGAAAAGTATTAGATATGATGTATCTGTTCTATTCTTTTTTTTTTTGTTCTTTTCTTTTTTTTTTTTTTTCAGTATTTTTGGGTAACGCAGAACTGATCACCGAGTATTTTTGTTTTTACGATATTGGCTGTAACATGTGCCTTATGTGTTTCATAGGATACAGTGCTATTCTGGTAGGGAATAAAGTTAGAATATAAAAGGGAAATATTTTTACGATAGTTGTTTCATTTCAGGAATGGGAAAACCATAATATCGCCGCTATAGTGGTCCACTTTATGCTGTTAGGGACATGCATTTTTATTATATATATAGTTTGTTACATCGGTCAACTTCTTCTCGACGAAGTATGAATTATTACCGTTACTTACTTTAACATGAATTTGTCTTGAACATTCTTTTCAGAGCAATAACTTAGCACAAACGTGCATCACGTTAAGCTGGTACCGTTTTCCGACAAGGAAGGCCCGATGTTTGATATTGATGATTATTATGTCCAATTACCCTGTAAAACTAACGGCGGCTAAAGTGGTGGACGTATCTTTAACCACCTTCACCGATGTAAGTACGAAGAAAATTATTTTTTATTTTCAAATTTCGTACACTCTGCGAAATATATTTTTTAGGTCATGAAGGCGGCAATGGGTTATTTAAATATGTTACGAGAAGTTATTTAATATTATCACTTAAACTTATGAAATGAAATAATATGTTTCGATATATATAGAAATATTCTTGATCACAACACTTAAAAAAAACGTAAAAATATTTCCTCAATCACATTTTTTTCACACATATTCAAATTATTATTGCAAACTAATTGATCTTATTTTGTATAGATATTTTAAAAAATAGTAATTACAATATTTTAATATTGTAATCTCCTTTTATATATGATTTCTCATAATCTAATTGTATTTTTTTTGTATATGAGTATATAATTTACTATTGTGGCAATCTGTTTTCAAATACGTTTAGTATATATATGTAAAAAAAGGATCAACAAATTATATTTGTTTCAAAATATAATTATGTGATACATTGCAGTTGAAAATAATTCTGAACATACGTCTTAAATACTTTGTTGTATTTTCACTTTGTTGTAAAATTGTACAAGGTATTTTCAAATTGTTTTTACATTATTTCTATTCTTTTTTATGCGAAGTCTCAATAATTTAATTAGAAAATAATTATAATTAAAAAATAATCTTCTATGAATCTTGAGTTCTTTCATATCTGTTCACCATAATGGTAATTATCCTTCAATAATAAATTTCGCAAAAACTTTTCCAGAAAATTTTCAAAAATTACAAAAAAATGATCATGAATTCATATAATGCAATAAATTAAATATTGAATTTTTTCATAATTATTATAAATTATATTATTAAATATCACAAATTATCCTAATATTGTAAATTGGGCACAGATTATACAGAATAAGACATTATTGATGGAAATCTGATCTAGGAAGAGCATATTTCTAAATAATATAAAATTTAATCTTTTTTTAAATTTAATTTTTTAGATAGTAATTTTTTTTCTATATTATTATCACAAATAATTTATATTTATATTCGATTGCAATAATCTGACCATGTAATTTTGATAATAATTTTCAATTTTTTGGCGATCATTAAATTTTGAACGATTATTACTAACATAAATAAAATCTGATTTTGCTTGAGGAAATGAAAATACAGAGACGTGGAATGCGAAGAAGATCAGCTAATAATGATGACCAATTTTTCACAATTTCTATATATTTGAATTTTGGTTATATCATTGTTTTGCTTTATCACACTTTTTTGCTTTAGATATCAAAAAGAATTGTTAAGGGGAAATTTTTCAGATATTTCTGTCTTATTTGAGTTATATTGAAGATTTATCGATTAATAAGACGACTTTTATCATGCAAATATTCATCATAAAGTCTTATAATACGTCTACGAATTGTGGGACTTACAGTTTGATCGCCTTTCTCAATTTGATGATGCATTGTTGCGAGCAGTTAGATTACCAATAGATTATCAATAGAAAAATGGAGACACTTTGCAGTCTGGATTTACATAATCGTGTTGATGTCATTGTTCAATCTCATCTGAAAGCAATCGAGTATGAATATTATATAAAATGTTTCATTAAAAAAGTATAACACTACATTTATAAATCATATAGGATAGTATGGCTTATTCATTGTCTATTTGTTAATTTTATGAAAAAAACATTTTATAAAAGTATATTTATTGTTTTTATACATGAATTTTCATTCTTTGAGTCTACTGTCTGCTGCTAATGTTTTTCTTTTTGTAGTTTGGATCTTGATCACACTATGTCTCGATTATGACACTGATTTATAGTTGCATATTTTTATTTCATGATAAAAATCAATTCTATAAATGCTCTGCTGATTCTTTACAACTATTCAATAATTCACGAGAATATGAAAATAAAGTGTTTTCTAAAATATCAACAAATATCACGATTATTATGATTGCAATTAAATTATTATAAAATATCACAATAGTAAATACTTAAGTCTCTCTTAACAAATACTTATGTTTTTAAGTACAACAAGTCATATTTCTCCTCTATGTAAAATTGCACGTAAAAGAGATCTACCATCTATGATCAAAAAACGTGGAAATCTAATCTGTATTGCGCATGCAAGGTATAAGTATCATAATTTGAATAGTTTTCTGCGCATCTGCCGATTCCTACATGAATCTAAATGTATGATTCTGCAATCATTGAAATAACTGTTATTCCATGCTAAATTCGATATTATATATTTTATAAACGCACGCGCAATGTAGAGGATGCAATTTTATCGAAGGCATACAGTAATGTTCATGAATTGTCAACCATCGGAAAGAAATAATGGAAACAAAGTACGTGGAAAAAGATTTGAAGCAAGCGTTCTACGCGCAACCATTCTTGAAAATAATCGGTGCTTGGCCAAACGCTATCAAATCTCCTTTGAGCTCGAAAATACAGAAATGGTTTATAATTTCTTTCTTCCTTTGCTTGCAAATATGTATCGTGACTCCGTGCATTTTCGAGGCGCTCCTGAAAGAAAAGAATGCAAAGAGAAAAATACATCTGTTCATGCTGGCCACCAATACCGTGAATCAGGTGTTCAAGTACGTGATCACGCTGAATAGATCGAGCGAGTTGAAGATAGCTATACGCGAGATGAAAAACGATTGGTTGAATGCCACGCCCGAAAATCGATATATCTTTATCACGAATTCGAAGATCGGTCAACGAATAATGTTGATAATAGTTGTCACCATGTACGCCAGCGGTCTCGGTTATCGAATGGTTCTTCCACTTTTGAAGGGGAAAATTATTCTGCCGAATAACGTTACCATAAGACTACTCCCCTGTCCAACTTACTTTACCTTTTTTAACGAATTAGTTAGCCCATACTACGAGATGATCTTTATACTGCAACTTCTGGCTGGATGTTTCATTTATACAGTTCTCAGTGGCACCATCGGAATTTCCTTGATGCTTTCTCTCCATATGTGTAGTTTATTGAAGATTTTATCGAAAAAATTGGTCGATCTCGCGGATGGATCGATTACCAACGAGAATATCATGCAAGAGAAGTTTGTGGATATCGTGGAATATCAAACGAAGATCAAAAGGTAAACGAGATGTAATTGGAATGTCTACCTGAAAATGAGAAATATATCAAATATTACTAGTACTTACATCGTGCTTTATCTCTCTCTTTCAGATTTTTGAATAATACAGAATTGATCACGCAATATTTTTGTTTCTACGACATCAGCTTCAACACGTGTCTTATATGTTTCGTAGGATATTGCATTATTCTGGTAGTAGAGTAGAAAATGAAGTTGAAAATATCGAACGAAAATATAATATTTTTATGATAAAATTAATGTCTATTTTTAGGAATTGGAAAATCATAATATCGTTGCTATAGTGGTGCATTTTATGCTATTAGGGACCTGTATTTTTGTTACATACATAGTCTGTTATATTGGTCAACTACTCCTCGACGAAGTAATACAAGCATGCATTATTGCCGCATATTATTATTTATTTTAACACGAATTATCATATTTTCAGAGCAATAATTTGGCAAAAACATGCATCACGTTAAACTGGTATCATTTTCCGGCAAGGAAGGCTCGATTTTTGATATTGATGATTATTATGTCCAATTACCCTGTAAAACTGACAGCGGCCAAAGTGGTGGACGTATCTTTGACCACCTTCACCGATGTAAGTATGAAGAAAGTTACTTTTTAACTTCAAATTTCGTACATTCTGCGAAATATATTTTCTAGATCATGAAGGCAGCAATGGGTTATTTAAATATGCTACGAGAAGTTACCTAATCCTTCGTGTTATCTATAGGAATTCGTAAAATAGAGTATGATTAGAGACATAGAAATATTCTCGGTAGCAATACTTATTAATCGATACATAATAAAAATATTTTCTTGATCACATTTAAATTATTATTGATTAACTATTAATTAAATATTATGTATTAGATATATTAAATGCAGTAGATAGAGTGATTATAATATTTTATATTCTTTTACGTAAAATTTTAATAATCATAATATAATTCTTTCTTTGCATACATGACACTTGCACTTACCACTGTGACAATTTAAGCATCTGTATATATATATATATATATATTAACAAATTATTGTTACAAAATGAGGTGCATGATACACTTGAGCACTTGAATGATTGCAATATTAAGTGTTTCTTCTCAAATGTAATACACATTCACTCTTCTGTAAGATTTTTGAATCTTTTTCATTGTATTTTCCTTCAATTTTAATGTAAAGTTTCAATAATTGAACCATAATTATGAAAAAAAAAACTCATTTTCAATGAATACTAGCTTTTTCCACATCGTGCACGCTACGATCATAATCATTCACTTTATAAAGTTCGTAAAACTTTTCTGGAAAATTACAAAAAATTAGAAAAATATTACTGTAATTTCGAATAATAATAGAAGCATGTAAATATTAAATCAAATTTATTACGTACGTATAAAATATTATTTCAAATATTTTAAAAATTATTTAGTTCGATATATATTCTTAAATTATTCCAAAAGAAATTGTTCACGCACCTATTGAAAAGATGAACATTATAAAAAACCATCAATTGCTATAATGAAAGTTTTCAGCCGTGCAGGAAGTTCAGCGTTCAATTCAAAGTACACGTAAACGTACAATTTCAACCAATTTTCTCATCATTTCGTAAAAATTCAAACCGCTACTCAACAATCCCTCACTTTCGATAACATCGATTCATTTTTAAACTTGCATACATGTTTAACGTTTCATGTTACGCAAGCGCAACGAAGTTTCCTCAAAGAAGGAAGATATTGCCGTATGCAACATGATCAGTCGCAAAACAAAATTTTCATCCGATTGATGAAAAATGGTACAAATCAGAAACGCGAGAGAAGGCATAAAGCATACCTTTTGGTTCGCATATCCGCTCTCGAGAATGCTTGGCTATTGGCCATTGAGCGCCCCCTCTTCCGCGTTTTCCAAAATTTTAAACTCCTTTACAATTTTTTTCTCGTATTTGCTGCCATTGGTAGTCTTGATTCCAGGCCTTCTGTACGTATTTCTGAAAGAGAGGAATGGAAGGAGAAAGGTCAAAATGTTGATGCCACACATCAACAGTATCGCACAAATGACTAAGTACACGATTATATTACGGCGAACGAAGGAACTTGGCAAATTATTGGACGAGATAAAGAAGGATTGGTCGACAGCCACGCAGGAGAATCGACAATTTTTAGCGCGAGGGCGTCCATCGAGCACAAGCTGACGACGGTAATAGCCATCACTATATACGGTGGAGGTTTCTTTTACAGGTTGATTCTTCCACTTTCGAAAGGTAGAATCGTTTTACCTAACAACGTGACCATAAGATTGTTGCCCTGTCCGGGTTACTTTGGCTCCTTGAACGTTCAAATCACACCGAACTACGAGATAATCTTCACTCTCCAAATTCTCGGCGGATTTATCATTTACACAGCTCTGTGCGGCGTGAAGAGTTCTTGTTTGATGCTGTGCATGCACATGTGTGGTTTGTTGAGGATTTTGACGAACAAGGTGATGGAACTGACGAATGATAAAGATGAACGTGTTGTGCAGGAGAAGATCGTGTTCATTGTTCAGTATCAGACGCGGATCAAAGAGTGAGTATCTTCATCTTTTTGAAGAAAGGGGATAAAATGTGTTAAATTGTATGGATTAGAAAGAATTACAATGCAATGTGATCCAAACTTTGTTTTCAGATTTTACAATTACGTTGATCAATTCGTACCCTACGTTTATTTTATCGAAATGATCGTCGGTGTATCAATTACGTGTGTACTTGGTTACTGCATAATCGTGGTACGAATGAAAGATTCGATTCATCATATCGAAAGTGATGGTAATTTCAGTAACGTATTGTCTTTTAGGAATGGGAAGACAGCGATGCCATGGCTATAATAGCTTATATTGTCCTGCAAATAACTTGCGTCTTTGGCACATTCTCGATATGCTACGCCGGTCAACTTCTAGTCGACGAAGTAAATCATCTAATGTGTTATTGAATTGGACAAAAATATATTTAATACCCGTTTGGATATTTATCAGAAATTTTGTCTTTAATAGAGCGAGAATGTTAGACAGGCGTGCAACACATTGAAGTGGTATCGATTACCTACAAAGAAGGCTCGCAGCTTGATATTGTTGATCATTATGTCCAATTATCCGCTAAAAGTCACTGCAGGAAGAATTATAGACATGTCATTAATCACGTTTACTAGCGTAAGTGTCGAAACATTAGACTTTTATTTTTATTTTTTGCACTTATATATATTGCTGTTTACTTTTTAGATCATTAAGAGTGCAATGGGATACATGAATATACTACAACAAGTTACTTAAGATTTTGAAAACTCTATTACTCTACTGCAATAGCCAAAGATGGTCCTGAACTATGTACAAAGCACTTGTTCACCTGTTTCTTATGGAATCAAAATTTGAATAATTGAATCGCAATTACAAGAAATTTTGTATAATTTGTTTCTGTGTTGTACTCTTATATATATATATATTTGTATTTATTACAATGAAAATAATCGCATTTATCCATTGTAAAATCCATCGATATTTTACAAGATTACAAATCATTATCATTATGACTTGTGCATTAGAATTTATGAATATTAAATTCTTTTAAATATCGTAATTCCATATAAAGTATTTTTCCAAATATTTTATAATTTTTATCAAAAACAATAAATGTGATTTTAAAAAATTCAAAATAAATAATATCGCAAATATCAAATAATGAAAAAATATCAAAGTGCTATTACAATGAAATATCTTCACGAGGTACAATTTATAAAACAAACTTATATATCATTGTATCAGAATTTCATTACAAGAGTAAACATCAATTACAGAATGGCGATAAGAACATTACTATGATTTTAATGACAATTATCAAATCATGTTTTCATTTTTAAAAAACAGAATTTTTCTTTATCGGATAACGTGATAGAATTGCTAACTGAATCATGTTTGTTATGTCTGTTATATATGCTACATATTTTTATAACAATTTACACAAATTACGAAATTATTTTTACGATACAAATTCTTGATGGATTTCTCCATTTTATCACTTTGTGCAATACTACAGGATTTAATAAGATGCTTTGCAGTATAATATAATTGATTGACGATTTTACATAAATAGGAATGAATCTTACCAGTCAAATGAAACAGAGACAATTAAATCTACAAAGCTCATGAATATTGAACATCAGAAAATTAAAGGGTAAATAGAAATTCGATATATGTTATATATGATATTTTATCTGGAAAAAGATATATTTATAGATTAATGGAATGCATGATGATTGAAATATGATTTCAACTTTTAACTTACACTTTTATTTTTATTTTCACGAGAATACGTGTATGCACTTTGGACATTGTCTTATATTTCAATATTCTTCATTCACACACTTCAGTTGAATATTCCTAAAATGTAAATTATATAGTTATTCTATAACATTGATTATATTTTAGTATAAATAATTTTAATTATAAATTTTAATCATCATAATATATTTATACTTGCTTATATCCTTTGAATACACTTGCACATTATTTACTATTATGATAATCTGTTTTTAAATACGTTTGTTGTCTGTGAATATTGAAATAAATTATGTAAACTCTCTCTCCATTTCTTTACATTTATTTATATTTCGATATTTCATTTATTTTATTTATACGATATTGTCTTTATTCGGAGAAAGGTATGTCTGTGCGTTTCCGGAAACAACTTTATTAAAATGATATTATCGATATCATTGAATAAAACTGTCATTTCTTTTGTCGCATTTCACGATACCTCACACTGTAGCTATCAATGCTCCTTGCAGTATTAATAAATTACATTTCTTAAATTGATGAAAGGATACAGTAGCAGTTGAAAATAATATTATGTACAAATTTTCAAGCACTGCTATGAAATCATACTGAGAGATTTGAAATCATTTTTATCATTATTTTCTATTTCATGTGAAATTTCAATAATTGACCATAATTATGTAGAAAACTTGTCCCCCATGAATACTGGGGAGGCCCTTTCATATCTACAGCGGTAATCATCAATCCCATCAACTATAAATTTCGCAAAACTTTTCTGGAAAAATATTATCACAACTTCGAATTATGATAGAAATAATAAAATAAATATAAAATTTTTATAATTATTAAGTACGTAAAATATTTTACAATATTTTATTAAAATTGTTATAAAAAGATCATTCATTTATTCAATGAAAAGATGAATCTACAAAAATCACTATTATTGCAACTATTATTGAAATAGCAGAGGAAGTTTACCGTACAATTCAAGGATAATCCATACATATAATTTCAAACAATTTTATCATACTTTCGTAAAAATAAAATCGTTTCAATAACAGCGATTTATTTCTAAATTTGCAAACGTATTTAACATTTCATGTACGCAAGCGCAATGACGTTCTTCAATGGGTGACATTACCGTATACAACGTGATCAGTCACGAACAAACTTTCATCCTGAAAAATGGTTCAAATTAGAAACGCGAAAGAAGGGTTAAAGCATACCTTCTGGTTAGCATATCCGTTCTCAAGAATGCTCGGCCACTGGCCACTGAGCGTTTCTTCTTCCGCGTTTTCCAAAATTTTAAATTCCTTTATAATTTTTATCTCATATTTATTGCAATTGATAGTCTTGATCCCAAGCCTTCTGTATGTATTTCTGAAAGAGAAAAACCCAAGGAAGAAGATTAAATTGCTGATGCCACATGTCAACATTATCGCGCAAATGATTAAGTACACGATTTTATTACGACGAATGAAGCAAATTGGCAAATTATTGGACGAGATAAGGAAGGATTGGTCGATAGCCACAGAGGAGAATCGACAAATTTTCAGCGCGACGGCGTCCATCGAACACAAGATGACGTCGATAATAGCGGTCACTGTATATGGTGGAGGTTTTCTTTACAGAACGATTCTTCCATTTTCGAAAGGCAAACTCGTTTTATCGAACAACGTGACTATAAGATTGTTACCCTGTCCTGGTTACTTTGGCTCTTTGAACGAGCAAGTTACCCCGAATTACGAGATAATTTTCACGCTACAAGTTCTCGCAGGATTTATCATTTATACAGCTGTATGCAGCACCAAGAGTATTTGTTTGATGCTGTGTTTGCATATGTGTGGTTTGTTAAGGATCTTGACGAACAAAGTGATGGAACTGACGAATGACAATGATGAACGAGTTGTGCAGGAGAAGATCGTGCACATTGTGGAGTATCAGATGAGGATCAAAGAGTGAGTATCGAAAAAAAAAAAAAAAGAAGATGCAAAGTTAATTGAATTAAAAAGTGTAATTTTCATTTCAGATTTTTGAATCAACTTGATCAATTTATACCCGCTATTTGTCTTATCGAAGTTTTTATCCAAGTATTGATTATGTGTATAATTGGTTACTGCATAATCATGGTACGAACGATGCGTTATATTGAAATTAATGATGATTTCAGTTAACATATTGTTAGTTATATTTTAGGAATGGCAAGAAAATAATGGTATGGGTATAATTACTTATGTTCTCGTCCAAATGACTTGTTTAATTGGCGCCTTCTCGGTATGCTATGTCGGTCAACTTCTATTTGATGAAGTAAACCATCTGTTGTTTATGGATAAAAATATAATATCAAAAATTAGTTTGATGGGATATTTAACAAAAATTTTACCTGTAATAGAGCGAGAATGTTAGGCAGGCATATAATACGTTGAAGTGGTATGAATTGCCTATAAGAAAATCGCGCAGCTTGATATTATTGATCATTATGTCGAATTATCCAATAAAAATCACGGCAGGAAAAATTATAGATTTATCTTTAGTCACCTTTACTAATGTACGTATGAAAACATTAGACTCATGCACATTTTTTCCACATTTATTTGCATTTGTTTGCATTTACTTTTAGATCATAAAGACTGCAGCGAGTTACATGAATATGCTACAACAAATTACTTAAGATTATTACGTAGATTTTTTAAAGGACTCATGAAATATTACACAATTCATGCAGTTAGCAAAAAATGAACTATGTACTCAGCACATATTTATTTTTTTATTAAATCAAAATTTAATAATTGGATCGTAATTACAGAAGAAAATCGTGTATAATTCTTTCCTCCAGTGTATCCTTTTTAATTATTTTATATTTATCAAAGGATAATAATAATTGTAAACTTTATAAACGATATGATACTCTGAAGATTTACAAATCATCGTCATTATAATTTATGTTTTTGTGCTTTACGATTATTTTCATAACGGCAATTCGTATCTGAATCTGAATTCGTATTTGCGTATACATGTAACATTTCATATTCTCAAACACAATAAAATTGAAACAAGTATCGTTTCCGTAATATTATAGCAATTAGGTACGAACTTTGACTTATCGTTAAAAGTCAATAGAATAATCTTATTCCTTGAAACTGTTCATTTTTTAAAAATACGCATGGCCAAAATATACTTTCTGTTTTATCAAGAAGATGGTGTTTAGTCTTTTATTTTTTATTTCATTTAACTTTGATAAAATTTTGTAAAAGAAAAAAATTATCGTGAAAAAATTAAAATGTTGATTTTGCGTATCAATAAATAAATATTTTAGCCTGGCAAATAAAAAAATTTAGTAATAATATTGAAATTGAAGAAATATTACTTATTTATCATTATTTGAAAATCTGTGAATTTTTATCAATTTTAGGAAGATATGTATATACAATAGATAACGATTGCTGTTTTTGAATTATCAGATTCTTCCATTGTGGAAAGATAGAATCCTTAAATCGAAAAACACTGTAAAATTTGCCACACATTTTTTAAAGAATAATACACACTGAATCACGAAATTATTTTTACGATACAAATTCTTGATGTGCTTTTTATATCACAGAGTGATATAAAATTGATATTAGACAAATTATTATAATATTTTGACTACACATGTAGAGTTTAATGAATAAGATGAATGATCTTACCTCTGAGACAATTGTGCTTACGAAGCTTGTGGATATTGTTGAATATCAAATGAAGATTATAAAGTGAGTAAAAATTCAATATATGATATATATGTATATTTTATCCCGAAAAAGATTGTGTTTATAAATTAGAAATTATTAGATCAATGGAGTGTATGATGATTGAAATATGATTTCAGTTTTTAATTCACATTTTATTTTTATTTTCACGAAAATACGTATATGCAGTTTTGACATTGTCTTATCACACCACAGTTGAATGTTCCTGAAACGTAAATTACAAGATAATTATTTTTTCAGTGTACTATTGTTTATATTTTAAAAGAATAGTAATGAAACAATTTCAATAATTTATTTTTATATTGAAGTTCTTATATATTTTTTTTTTGTATATTTGTTATATTGATCAATTTTTGATCAACAAAATATAAAGTGCAATATATATTATAAATAATTTACATGTAAACATGCATCACGTTAAACTGATATACCAATAAATAAGGCAATTTGATAATTATTATATATCCAATTGTATTGTAAAATTAACTAACAGATGAACGCATTTCCTTATGTTTTGCAAAATATATTTTCTAAATCATGAAGATAGCATTATTTAATCTCTTCGATATAGTTCTCACTTAGTGCATGTCAATGAATGTATCAAAAAAGTTGCGAGAAATTACTTAATATCTTATTTAAATTATTTAATGTTATCCACAATATCATGAAATATAAATTAAGAGATATAAAAATATAAAATATTTTTTCTCTATAATATAATTGTACTCGTAACTTATACCTTTTGCATGTATGATACTTGCACATTACTTACCATTATGATAATCTGTTTTCAAATGTTTGATATCTAGATATATTGAACAAATTATGCAACAATTTGAAAACTTATTCTCCATTTGTAATTTATTTATAATTATTTACATTTTCAATATTTTATTTATATTTGTTATATAACGGATATATTATCTTTATTCGGAGATACGTTCGTTCTTCTGTGTGTTTCTGGAATAACTCTATCATCAATATCGTCGTTGACTAGAATTATCGTTTCCTGTATTTCACGATAGCTATGATGCTTCGCTATAGCGCATCAACGCATCGACAAATTATTTACAGAACGACGCATATGATACAAAATATTTAATTGGAAATAATATTGTGCTCTCAAACACATTATATTCTCCACTATCGTTTAGACGTTTAAAACCATTTTTACATTATTTTCCATCTTATGTGAAATTTCAAAAATTGACTATAATTATGTAGAAAATTGCCCTCCATGAATACTATTATTTCATCTGTTCACTAAAGTGGTAATCATCAATCCCATCAGCTATAAACTTCGCAAAAACTTTTCTTGAAAATTACAAAAATATTATTATAAACTTTTAATTACGATTAAAGGAATAAAATAAAATTAATTTTTTATAATTATCATATAAAATATTTTTTAAAATATTCAATTAAAAATTTTAGAATTGTCATAAAAAAATCATTCGTTTCTTTCCTTGAAAAGGTGAATCCTAAAAAAAAAAACCATCAGTGTTATTATAACGAAACTTTTCCGTACAGGAAATTCACCGTACAATTCGAGCATAATCCATACGTATAATTTCAACCAATTTTTTCAATCCTTCCGTAAAAGCTCAAATCGCTATTCAACAATCCCTCCGTTTCAATAATAGCGATTCGTTTCTTTTCTTGTACACGTATTTAACATTTCATGTACGCAAGCGCAATGATATTCTTCAAAGGGCGATATTATCGTAAGCAATATGGTCAGTCACGAACAAGCTTTCATCGGATTGAAAAATGGTCCAAATTAGAAACGCGAAAGAAGGGTTGAAGCATACCTTCTGGTTTGCATATCCGTTCTCGAGAACGCTCGGTTACTGGCCACTGGTCTCTCCTTCCGCGTTTACCAAATTTTTTAATTCCTTCACAATTTTCATCCTGTATTTATTGCAATTGATAGTCTTGATCCCAGGCCTTCTGTACATTCTGCAAGTGAAAAATGCCAGGACGAAGATTAAATTGTTGATGCCACATCTCAATAGCATCGCGCAAATGGCTAAATATACAATTATATTGCAACGGGCGAAGGAATTTGGCAAATTATTGGACGAGATAAAGAAGGATTGGTTGATAGCCACGGAAGAGAATCGGCAAATTTTCAGCGAGAGGGCGTCCATCGAGCATAAATTGACAACGGTAATAGTGGTCACCATGTACGGTGGAGGTTTCTTTTACAGGACGATTCTTCCACTTTCGAAAGGCAGAATCCTTTTACCGAATAACATGACAGTAAGATTATTACCTTGTCCGAGTTACTTTGGTTCGTTGAACGAGCAAGCTACCCCGAACTACGAGATAATTTTCACTCTCCAAGTCCTCGGAGGATTTATCATTTACACAGTTTTATGCGGCACCAAGAGTGCTTGTTTGATGCTGTGCTTGCATATGTGTGGCTTGCTGAAGATTTTGACGAACAAGGTGATGAATCTTACGAATGACAGTGATGAAGAAGTTGTACAGGAGAAGATCGTGCAGATCGTCGAGTATCAGACGAGGATCAAAGAGCGAGTATCGAAGATGAATACAGAGATGCATAATTAATCGTACGAATTAGAAAGTGTTATTTAATCTACGAAAAATCTTCATTTCAGATTTTTGAATCAACTCGATCAATTCGTACCCGCTATTTATCTTATCGAAGTTGTTATCCAAGTACTGATTATATGTATAATTGGTTACTGCATAATCATGGTATAACGAACGATTCGATGCGTTATATTGAAAATAGTGATGATTTCAGTGAAATATTATTAGTTGTATTTTTAGGAATGGGAAGACAGCAATGCTATGGCTATGGTGATTTATGTTGTCTTCCAAGTAACTTGCGTCATCGGCACCTTCTCGGTATGCTACGTCGGTCAACTTCTACTTGACGAGGTAAATCGTTTATTATTATTTATAGATAAAATGTATCAAGTATTAGTTCGGATATTAAACAGAATGGAATTTTATCTGTAACAGAGCGAAAATATTAGACAGGCATATAACACATTGAACTGGTATCGATTACCTGTAAAAAAGGCGCGCAGCTTGATATTACTGATCGTTATGTCACATTATCCAATAAAAGTAACTGCAGGAAGAATAATGGATTTATCTTTAGTCACCTTCACTAGTGTGAGTATCGAAATATCGAATTTATACACATTTTTTGCACATTATATTACTTATTTTTTTTTTTTTTAGATCATTAAAAGTGCAGTGGGATATATGAACATGTTACGTACAGTTACGTAAGATTTTACGTTTTTTAGAAGATTCGTGAAATCTACTAAATGATTAGCCAAAAATGATATTGAATTATGTACACAGCACTTTGTTCACTTTCCTATCAAATCAAAATTTAAATAATTGAATTGCAATTACGAGAAAATTGTGTATAATTTTGTTCCTCCAACAATACATCAACGAAATGATAATAATAATTTATTCATTTTAAATTTCATAAACGATACGATAAGGGATTACAAAAAATCTATTATTACTTACAAGTCATGCTAGAATTTATATATGTTATTTGAATATTAAATTCTCTCACAATTGTTTGTATTGCATTGTATATGTATGTAGGATATTTTTCCAAACATTTAAAATTTTTCTTATCAAAAATTTTAATTTCAATTTTAAAAAATTATCAAATTAATAATAATATTCTTTGGTGGAAAATGATATATGTAAGTTCGCGGATATTCTTGAATATCAGATGAATATCATAGAGTGAGTATAAATAATTGATTAAAAATTTGATATCGTATATGAATATTTTTTTTATATAGAAAATGATTATATTTATATTAATGGAGTGCATAACGATTGAAATTTGATTTCAGCTTTTTATTTCACGTTTTATTTTTGCGAGATTCTTGAATACGTGTATACAACTTGTGGTCATGAATATTGCCTTATGGTTGAATGATCCTAAAAAAAAAAAAGAAATTATAGAATGATCATTTCTACGTATAATGTTAATTATATTTTAAGAATGAAAAAACAATAACAATGCAGCTTTAATATTTTATTTTATATTATATAAGAATTTTTTGTATATTTTAATCATTTATTATACTAATTCAATTCTCATCGATAAAGTATAAACTGCATTTTGTCTTGAACATTCTTTTCAATGTTCAATAATTTAGCGCAAACATGCATCACGTTAAACTGATATTGCTTTTGGACGAAGAAAGCCTGGTATTTGATATTGATGATCATTATGTTCAATAAAACTAATGATGGTCAAAGTTATAGATATATATATATTTTGTCCATCATTGATGTACAAAGTATGAAAAAAATTATCATATAGCTTTCTGTTATTCATAAATCTTATGAAATAAAAAAATAATATAAATAAAGAGATAGAAATATGTTCTCTATTACAATATTTAGAAACAAAAATGTTTTCTCGATCATTTTTTTACGTATCTAAATTATTATTGCTAACTAATTAAATTATTGAACTTATTTTGTGTTAGATACTTTTAAAATACAATATCTCCTTTTGCTTTACATAGAAATTTAATATTCATCATATAAATTTTATTTTTTTGTACGTACATAACACTTGCATATTACTTTTTATCGAGATAATCTATTTTCAAATATCTTTAGTAATTGTATTGAAAAAATATTTGCAAGAATATGAAAACTGATTCTCTAATTTATTTACACGATTATTATACTTCGATTTTATTTATAATCTTTATTAAATTAGTTTTATAGATTAACTTTTCGGAGAGCAAAGAGGAGCACGTCCATTCTTCTCTATGTTTCGGAAATAATTCTATTAAATCGATATCACTAATATTGTTGACAATCGATTGTAGCTAAGCTCCGTGAATACTCGTAATAGTATCAACAAATTATATTTGCATAATAAAGCGTATGATACTGCAATTGAATGAAATTATATTGAACATAAGTGCATTTTCAAATTTACAGAGAGAGAGTTTCAAATCCGTTTTCATATTGTTCTTCTTCTATCTTACATGGAATTTTAATAATTGATTCATAATTATGTAGAAAACTTACTCCCTCACGAATATTAAACCCTTTTATATCTGTTTCACCAGAATGGTAATCAATCATCCTGCAAACTGTAAACTTTGGAAAACTTTTCTAGAAAATTACAAAAAATTATAGAAATATTATCGTAATTTTGAATTATCGCAGAATTAATAAAGTAAATATCAATTTTTTTCACATTACGTACATAAAATATTTCTTCAAATATTTTTAAAGTCATCATAAAAAAAAAAATCATTCATTTATCCAATTATCGAAAACGTAAATACCACGACAAAATATCAATCGTTATCGCAACGAAACTTTTCATCCACAAAAGAAGAAAAAAAAAAAAAATTCATCATAAAATTCAATCCATGCAAACGTATAATTTCAACTAATTTTCTTATCCTTTCGTATAAACTCAAATCTATTCTATAATTTCCTCGTGGATTAAAAACTGTTTCAATAACAGCGATTCATTTCTAAATTTGCGTATTTAATATTTCATATACGCAAGCGCGATGAAGTTCCCTAAAGGGGTGATATCATCGTGTGCAGTGGCATCAGTCACGTACAAGCTTTCATTCGATTAAAAAAAAAAAATGGCCCGTATTCGAAACGCGAAGGAGGGCATAAGGCATACCTTTTGGTTTGCATATCCGTTCTCGAGAATGCTCGGCTACTGGCCATTGAGCGTCTCATCATCCACGTTCGCCAAAATCTCGAATTACGTTATAATTGTTCTCTCGTATTTGCTCACATTGATATTCATGGTCCCAGGCCTTCTCTACATATTTCTGAAAGTGAAAAACGGCAGGTCGAGGATTAAACTGCTGATGTCGCACATTAACGGGATCGTACAAATGGCCAAGTATACGATTCTATTGCGACGAACGAAGGAAATTGGCAAATTATTGGACGAGATAAGGAAGGATTGGATGATGGCCACGGAGGAGAATCGACAAATTTTCAGCACGAGGGCGTCCATCGAGCACAAGCTGACCATGGTAGTAGTGGTCACCATGTACGGTGGAGGTTTTTTTTACAGGGCGATCCTTCCAATTTCGAAGGGCAGAATCACTTTATCGAACAACGTGACTATAAGATTGTTACCTTGTCCGGGTTACTTTGGCTCCTTGGACGAGCAGGTTAGCCCCAACTACGAGATAATCTTCATCCTGCAAGTTCTCGGCGGATTCGTCATTTATACAGCTGTGTGCGGCACCAAGAGTATTTGTTTGATGCTGTGCTTGCATATGTGCGGTTTGTTGAAGATCTTGACGAACAAGGTGACGGAACTTACGAGTGACAAGGACGAAAAAATTGTGCAAGAGAAGATCGCGCATATCGTCGAGTATCAGACCAGGATCATAGAGTGAGTTTCGATAGAGAAACTCGACGAAGAATCGTTTAATAATAAGAAAGTAACGTGATCGAAATACGTTTCATTTCAGATTTTTGAATGAGCTTAACCAATTCGTGCCCTCTGTTTATTTTTTCGAAATTATCCTTGAAGTATTGATCATATGCATAATTGGATATTGTCTTATCACGGTACGAACGAAAGATTCAATGCATTGTATGGAAAATGACTATGATTTCAATAATATATCTTTTAGGAATGGGAAGACAACAATACTATGGCTACAGTAATTTTTGTTGTCTTCCAAATAACTTGCTTCATTGGCACGTTCGCAGTATGCTACGCAGGTCAACTTCTAGTTGACGAAGTATACCTTTTTATTATTATTTATGGATAAAAATAAATCAAATATTGCTCAACTGTTAGGATATTTATGAGAAATTTTATTTTCAATAGAGCGAGAATGTTAGACAAGCATGCAGCACATTGAATTGGTATCGATTACCTGTGAAAAAGGCGCGCAGCTTGGTATTATTAATCATTATGTCGAATTATCCAATAAAAGTAACAGCAGGAAGAATTGTAGATGTGTCCTTAGTCACTTTTACTAGTGTAAGTATCAAAACTTTGGACTCGTGTTATTATTATTTTTTTTTTTTATATATTTTTTGTTACTTACTTTTTAGATCATTAAAAGTTCAGTGGGATATATGAATATATTACAACAAGTTACTTAAAATCGTACGTTTGTTGTTAGAAAACTACAATGAAATCTACTATACGATACGTTAGCCAAAAATGATATTACTATGTAGTACACAGCACTTTGTTCACTTTCCTTTCAAATCAAAATTTAAACTGCAATTACGAGAAAATTGTACAATTTTGTTCCTTCAGCATTTCACCCTTTGTATTTATTTTATATTTATCGCAACAGAGACGCAAACTTCGCAAACGATACAGTACCCTAGAAAATTATAAAAGATCATCGTTATAATTTGTGCATCATGCTAGAATTTACAATATATAATTGTAGATATTTTTCCAAATATCTTACAATTTTCTCAACCCAAACTTTAATTTCGATTTTGAAAAATTATCAGAATATATATTAATCGAAATAGTTGAAGTTTATGGAAAAATATCAAGGTACAATTACAAGTTTCTCCATGGGGTACAATTGATGCGATGCTAGGGATATACAGGGATAATTCCAATCAATTTTCTCATTCTTTCGTAAAAATTCAAATAGCCGTTTCGCAATCTTTTCATGCGTCACGATTATTCTAATAACAGCAATTCGCATTTGAATTTGCTTGAACATATTTAACATTTCATCACACGCAAGCGCAATGAAGTCTTTGGAAACGAGTATCATTTCTTCAACGTTGCCAGTCACGTACGAGCTCTGACTTGATCGTCGTTAAAAAGGGAAGTCAATGGGACAACCTTACTCCTTGAAACTCGTGTATCCGCTTTTGAAAATATTAGGCGCGTGGCCAAAATCCACGCCACCCTCCGTTTTATCAACGATACTGAAATGGTGTTTAATCTTTACCTGTTATCTCATTCAATTGATGGTCCTGATCCCAGGGATTTTGTACATTTTTTTGAAAGAAGCGAATTTGAGCGGGAAAATTAAAATGTTTGTCCCGCATATGAACGGTATCACGCAAGTGTGCAAGTATACGATTCTCCTACGACAAATAAAGGAATTTAATATAATATTAAAAGAGGTGAGGAGAGATTACTCGTTGGCCACCGACAAAAATATGTGGATTTTCACCACAAGGGCGTGCATAGGACACAAGATGATGATAGCAATAGCGATCACTATGTACACTTCTGGTGTCGGTTATCGGATGATTCTTCCATTCTTGAAAGGAAGAATTCTTCTACCGGACAACACGACTGTAAGATTGCTACCCTGTCCCGGTTACTACATGTTCTTCAACGAACAAGTTACACCGAATTACGAGATTATTTTTATCATCCAAGTTCTCGGTGGATTTCTCAACTATACTACTCTGTGCGGTACTACGGGAATTAGTACGATGCTTTGTCTACACACGTGCAGTTTATTGAAGATATTAATAAACAAGATGAACGATCTTACCTGTCAGTCTGATGATTGCGAGACAGTTGTGCGTAAGAAGCTCGCGGATATTGTTGAGTATCAGATGAAGATTATAGAGTGAGTATAGAAATGCTCGATAAAAAAAGGTTTGATATATGGGGAGAGATTGTATGTTCGCATTTATGGAGTGCATGAAATCTCATTTCAGCTTTTTAAATCACGTCGAACAGCTCACGTCTTATCTTTATTTTTGCGAAATTCTCGAATACGTGTGTGGAGCTTGCGTGATCGGATACTGCCTTATCACGGTACACGATCCTGAAACATAAATTATATAAGATAGTTATCCCTAGGGTGTAACGTTGGTCATGTTTTAGGAATGGGAGAACAGTAACGGTGCAGCTTTAATAGTTTATTTTATTTTGGAGTTTCTTTGTATATTTTGCACCTTAACGATTTGTTACATTGGTCAACTTCTCATCGACGAAGTACGTTATCGATTATTTTGTGCGAGTATAAATATAGTGAAAATATAACGTGAAATTGTGTATATCATTTTAAATCTTGTTTTTTATAGAGCGATAGAGTCAGACGGATATCTATAACATTGGATTGGTATCGGTTACCTGTGAATGAAGCGCGTGGCTTGATACTGATTATTATTATGTCGAATTATCCAATAAAAGTCACAGCTGGCAAAATTGTAGACATATCGTTGATCACGTTCACCGATGTATGTATTTATATTAAATTTTCTTTATCCTCTTCATACATTATTCTAATTATATTTTCCAGATCGTAAAGACATCTGTAGGATATTTGAACATATTACGAACAGTTGTTTAAGCTCATTTTTTGGAACAAATACATGCGATACAACAGAAAGCAGTCGACTGAGATAATTTTCATTATTATTGTCATATTTTTATTTTCTTCTACTTTTTTTACAGAACTTTGCGTGTAACTTTCCCCTCGCGTATAGAACCCTTTCACATTTACTTCTACCATTCCAGTAATTATGGTTCAGTAAACTTTGCAACTAATAAAAAAATTTTTCCGGAAAATCGTAACTTTGTGAAAATTTACATGTTTAATTTCACCACAAGTACATTTCATATTCATAATACTTTGATATGCTTTTTATCATATGTGTATATGTGAAATATTCTTTATGACGAATTATTAATTTTCATATATATTCAAGGTATATAATTATACATATGCTGAAAAGAGTTATTAATTATTTTGCTTATTATTTTATTTTTTATTTCTTTTTTTTTTCATGTTGTGAAAAATTAATATGATCAAACTATTTCTCTATATATAACAATAGCAAACGTGTTAGTTAAATATTTAAACTGTGAATTTTTACATAAACATTTATGAAAAATTCAAGTATTCAAAATTTGAATAAAATTTGTATACTTAATATATAGAAATATACACGTACAAAATATTTAAATATATAAAATATATAAAAGATTCAACGTATTAAGAAACAAATCCATTCAGATTTTATTTTATTATTACTATACACCGTTGAATTCTGAAAAATATTACCTTATTGTTGGTGAACTTTTCTAAAACCGCTTTTAGAAAAAGAAATAGCAGATACTATAAAATTTCTCTCATAGGGAGCATGCATCGCGAGCAGCGGTAATTTCATCCAATTTTCTTATCCTTTTGTAAAAATTCAAAACTTTATTCCCCACAAGCATTAAAATCGTTTCATATTTGCGGATATTTAAATTTTTATAACACGCAAGCGCAACGAACTCTCCTGAAATCATTGATGTCCTCTGCCACAACATAGACAGTTCCATTCTATCGATCATTAAAATGTCTCGAGTACGGAAAGCGGAAAATGGGATGAGGCATACCGTGTGGTTCACGTATCCACTTCTGAGAATATTGGGCGCATGGCCAAACCGCGTCTCATCTTCCACACTTTCAAAGATTCTGAATTGGTACTTGATATTTACCTGTTACACGTTGCAATTAATAGTATTGGTTCCAGGATTTTTGCACGTATTTTTGAAAGAGAAGAACGGGAGAAAGAAGATGAAGATGATGATACCGCAGGTGAACGGTTACCTGCAATTATGCAAATATTCATTAGTGTTACGATGGACTAACAAGTTGAGAGTCTTATTGGACGAGATGAAGAAGGATTGGTTGAACACCACGGAGGAAGATGAATCGATATTTCGCGCGAAAGCGAATTTTGGTCACAGAGTGATGTCGATGATCGCGATCGTCACGTATAGCGCAGGTCTGGGTTATCGAACGATTCTTCCGCTTTCGAAGGGGAGAATCCTTTTACCGAATAACACGACTAAGAGATTGCTACCATGTCCGGGTTATTTCGTCTTTTTCAACGAGCAAGTTAGCCCGATTTACGAGATTATATTCATCATCCAAGTCCTCGGTGGACTCCTTACCTATACCATTATGTGCGGCACCATTGGCATGTGCGTGATGTTTTGCCTACACTCGAGCAGTTTGCTACGCATTTTATTGAATAAAATATGCCAGTTTACGAAACAATTGGATATGAACGAGGTGGTTGTGCACGAGAAAATTGTGGACATTGTGAAATACCAGACGAAGGTGAAAGGGTGAGTGAAGAGAAAAATGAAAATAGTTTAAGGGATGATGGGTAAAAGGTGATTTTGATTTCAGATTTTTAAAGAATGTTGAACAACTCACGACGTACCTTTTTCTTCTCGAGATCATGGTCGAAACGAGTATAGGGTGCGTGATTGGATACAATGTTGTTACGGTATAGATGAATGATTATCCGTTTATACTATAAACTTGTAATCTATGAAAATTAATCTGTGAAAATTATAGTGACAATTAAATTGTGCAAAAGGATAATAATGATCTTACTTACGACAATAGTTGTAATTTTAGGAATGGGAAGACAGTAATACAGCAGCTATAATAATCCACCTTATGATGCAAGCATCTATCGTCAGTTGCACATTCATAATGTGTTATGTCGGTCAAATTCTCATTGACGAAGTATGCCACTATATACAATGTTTCTCGTACTCTCGTGGTTGCCACAGAAGTTTTGTTTTAACCATTATTTTTGTCAGGGCAATAATGTAAGAAGAATGTCCATCACGATAGATTGGTATCGGTTCCCTGTAAAAGAAGCACGGAATTTAATATTAGTGATTATTATGTCATCTTATCCAGTAAAACTCACAGCAGGAAAAGTTGTAGACATATCCTTAGCCACTTTTACCGACGTATGTATCATAATATTAAATTGTGTTTCTCATATCTCGTACATGGCTCTGATTTTATTTTCCAGATTATAAAGACAACCGTAGGATATTTGAACATGTTGCAAAAAGTTACTTAAGTTGTTATCTTTTTTAAAATAGTCAAATATCTTTGCCGTCAATATTAGCCATTGTCCACTTGTAAACTTGGAAACCGGTAAAATTTTTTTTTTAAAAGATTTGAAGTATTATCGTAAGATTTTTACATAAAAATTTCCTCATAAACAGCATATGCAATTTGTAATTTCTTTTTTTTTAATTTTGCGCTTAATTTTACCCACAGCACTGATAAAATATATCTTCCAAATCACGTTCATTTAAAAAGTCATCATTTTTATATTAAGTATAGAATAATGCTATTTTATATTTTTAATATATATAATTTTAAAAATCGATGTTACTGTCCCCGTTTTACGTAGAATTTTAATAATTGAAACACAAGAGTTCCCCTTTACTTACTATCACGGTAATAACCGTTCGTAAACCCGTGTATACTGTATGGACAGTGAAAAACGTCTGACGGAAACTAGAAATCATCGCAAACTCGAAGTCGTCAGATTTGCAAACGCTTACTTCACTTTTCCATGAAAATAATACACAATTCGATTTCTTCGAACATTATCACAACAAATATCATTTCTTTAACGATCAAAGATATCAACAGTATATCAGAAGAAAAAAAATTCTACTCTTTCGATACGCAATATCGTTTATTCATCGAAAAATCCATATTCTTTGAGGGAAGCTCAAACAGGTAATTTCGTCCAATTTTCTTATCCTTTTGTAAAAATTCAAAACCCTATTCCATAATCCCCGCATGTAAAAAAAAAAAATTAAAATCGTTTCACGGTAATTCGATTCGACGTCGAATTCGCGGATATTTAAATTTTTAAACACGCAAGCGCAATGAAGTCTCGGAAATCATCACCGTTTCCAGTTACGCAGTGGAGTTACGCTCGAACCTATCATCCGTTCGACCGATCATTAAAAAAAATGTCACGAACAAGGAACGCGGAAGATGACATGAGACACACCATATGGTTCGCTTATATGCTTCTGGGAAAGTTGGGCGCATGGCCGAATCGCGCCACATCCTCCACGTTTTCGAAAACTTGGAAGAATTGCATTTTAATTTTTATGTGTTACTCCGTGCAACTAGTTATACTGATACCAGGCCTTCTGCATTTTTTTTTGAAAGAGAAAGACAGCAGGAGAAAGGTGAAGATATTGATACCGTTGATAAACGGTTACCTGCAATTGTGCAGATACTCGTTGGTACTACGATCGACGAACAAGTTATGCTACTTGTTGAACGAGATGAAGAAGGATTGGATGAACATCTCGGAAGAGGATCGCCTGATATTTCGTAAGAAAGCGAGTATCGGGCACAAACTGATGTCAGTGGTAGCGATCACTATGTACAGTGCAGGTTTGGGTTATCGAACATTCATCCCCATTTCGAAAGGTAGAATACTTTTGCCGGATAACACGACTATAAGATTGCTACCGTGCCCCGGTTATTATATATTCTTTAATGAACAAATTACTCCGAATTACGAGATAGTTTTCACATTGCAAGTCATCGGTGGACTACTTAGTTATACAATTATGTGCGGTACGACCAGTATGTGCGCCATGCTTTGCTTGCATGCGACCAGTTTGCTGCGTATTTTAGTGAAAAAAATAACGAGCTTACGAAACAGTCGGATATCAACGAGAGTGCTGTGCATATAAAAATCACGGATATTGTTCGTTTTCAGACGAAAATCAAACAGTGAGTAAAAACGAAAAGAGAGAAAATTGATATTTTAATGTAGCTTAAGAGATTATGTGCATTGTAGCTGGAAGTTGATTTTAGATTTTTAAACGATGTTGAACACATTACCACGTATCTTTTTCTGCTCGAGATCATTGATGAGACAGGCATAGGATGCGTGATTGGATACTGCGCTATCACGGTATGAACTTTTTTTAAAGACAGAATTTCTTTCTTTTCTTTTATAAATGATCCACTGGTAATATTTCAGGAATGGGAAGATAGCGATGCCACAGCTGCGATAATCTATCTTTTGTTAGAAGCATCTGTATTCGGTGTCACTTTCACGATGTGTTACGTTGGCCAAATTCTCATTGATGAAGTATATGAGTTTTGTTACGTATTTTGCACTCTTTTATAAAAAGTGTCACACGTTTAAACTTCATTCAGGGAAATAATGTAAGAAGAATGTCCATCACGATAGATTGGTACCGGTTTCCTGCGAAAGAAGCAAGGAATTTAATATTAGTGATCATTATGTCGTCTTATCCAGTGAAACTTACAGCGGGCAAAGTTGTAGACATATCTTTATCTACTTACACCGACGTATGTATCGAGAAATTAGATTTCTTCAATTTTTACATTAATTCTCCTCGTTCTAATTTTATTTTCCAGATCATAAAGGCAACGATGGGATACCTGAACATGTTAAGAAAAGTTACCTGAATTGTTATATTTTATAAAATAGTAATATATTTTTGAATTTAAAACGATTTTTCTAGGAATTAAAGAATTATATTATCGTAAAATATTTATATATAATTTTCCCACAATTTTTACGATATTAATTCTTGCAATTGCTATTACGATAAAACTCTTGAACCATACTAATACGCGTAAATTGTTTTCTCACGAAGATGATCATTCGATTAGAGTAACAATCATTTAGTATTTCACTACGAAATTGTTTCAACTTACATTCGAAACAGACAAAAAAACCTTACCATGTTACTTTCTATGTTTTACGCAGAATTTTAATAATTGAACCATAACTGTAGAACGTAATTTGTTCCCCTTTACTTACCATAGATAATAACTGTTCGTATTTGTTCGCAAACTTTACAAACAACGTTTATTGAAAACTTCAAACTATTGCAAACGTGATATCAGATTTTTAAATATGTACCTCAATTTTCTGCAATCCCATGAAATCTTCTATAAACAATTATATATTGACAATTCTAGAATTTCCTTTTTTTTAATTTTCAAAAACAAGAAATATTCAATTTAAAAAATTCCACTCGTGGCAATACCTTCTGTCCATAGACTAACTTGCGCCATTTGCGGAAAGTTGAAACGGGTAATTTCAACCAATTTTCTATTCTTCGATAAAATTGGTTTCAATGATATGAATTCAACGTTGAATCCACATACGCAAGCGCAACGTCCCATACCAAAGCGAATCCTGTTTTGCTATACGCGCGTGATCAGTCACATCGAAGTATTCAGTCATGGAAAATATATCTGGAACAGCAAAGGCGGAAGAGGATTTGAAATACGCCACGAGATTCGTGAAACCGATTTTGGGGACGATCGGTGCATGGCCGATTTCACCTTCTACCTCTTTCTTTTCAAAAGTACTCCAAAGATTGGGGCATATATTCACATATTTCCTTTTTTTTCTGATAATGATTCCAACTCTGATGTACGTGTTCCTGAAAGAGAAGAACAACAAGGTGAGGTTGAAGCTCGTGAGCCCGATTATTAACTGCAGCATGCAGTTCTTCAAATACACTATCATTCTTTGGCGAAGAAAAAAAATCCAGGAAGGGTTACACGCGATCAGACATGATTGGATACAAGCCACGGAAGAGGAGCGATTGATTTTTCGCTCGAAAGCGAAGATCGGAAGGAGGGTTGTCTTGATCGCTGCGTTCACTATGTATGGCGGTGGTTTATGCTATCGGACGATCCTTCCCCTTCTAAAGGGAACCATTATTACTGCTGACAATGTTACTATTAGACCGTTACCTTGTCCCAGTTATTTCGTTCTTATAAACGAGCAACAATCGCCGATTTACGAGATATTGTTTGTGCTACAAGTTATGGCTGGAATGGCAATTTACGCTGTGATCAGTGGTACCTGTGGTATTTCCGCATTATTGGTCCTTCATGCGTGCAGTATGCTGAGGATCCTAGTGAATAAGATAAAGAAATTAGTGGATAAATCAGATACGTGTGAAGTGGTGCTGCAAAGAAAGATCATGGATATTGTTGAATATCAAATGAAAATAAAGAGGTGAGTGAAAATTATGTGAGATTGATAAATTTAAAGTAAGAATTGAGATAAAACGAACGAGAAAGAGAAGAAGAAGAGAGATTTTTAGTTTTAATACGATTTAAATTCATATTGTTTTTTTAACAGATTTTTAAAAAACATTGAAACAGTTACAGAATACATATGTTTAATCGAAATGATCGGTGGTACGTGTCTGATCTGTCTTGTGGGTTATTCTATTCTAATGGTATGAACACGTTAAATATTACAAATTTTTAGAAATATAGGATAAATATATTTTAGGAATTGGAGAATAGTAATACAATGGCTGTCATGGTTTATATCACGTTACAAATATCTATCATCTTCTGTGTTTTTATACTTTGTTACATTGGACAAATGCTTGTAAACGAGGTACGATATTATTTTCATTTTTCAACCTATATTTGATTTTTTTACATTTATCCTAAATAACTTTGTTAACAGAATTACATTGTAAGCCAAGCATCAAGTACAATAAATTGGTATCGCCTTTCGATCAAAAATATGCGTTGCTTGATATTAATTATCGCTATGTCTAATTATCCAATGAAACTCAAAGCTGCCAAAATGATGGAAATGTCTTTAACTACTTTCACCGATGTAGGTATCAAAAAATTAAATCTCATTGAAAAATTAAATTTATGAAATTGACATATTTTTTAAATGACTTCATAGGTTATGAAAATGTCAATGGGATACTTAAACATATTACGTGAAGTCATTTAAAATATTATTACTTACGCACAAGTTTCCCATTAAATATTATGTAGAAACAATTTTATATCACATATTCTGGCTTTTTTAATAAGAAAAGAACTCGGCAATGTCCGATGATGTGTCTTCTTCACTTTGTGTACAATTTATTTTACAATTTATTTTATTATATCTGATCCAAATACGTCTCCGACGTATAATATATTCGAAAATTATGCAACATCGAAAAGAAAAAATAATGTTTCAAATTTATCCAAAATTTAAATAACTATGAAGCGTGTCTCAAAGATCGAACTGTAACTTTATTATACTTTACTCATATCCCTTCGAAGAGAATATGGTAATCATATATTCGTACCCGTTCTATGATTTTTTCCTTCGCTTTTGAAAAATCAATTTCTAAACTTATGATTATCGTCAATGAAAATACACAAGGGGAAAACAAATAGAACACTTCTTCTTTCTACTTTCCACTTCTAGTTTCTAACCTAACTGCGCAAGCGCATGATCCAATCAAACTTTTCGAATAATTCGATCAATCGATAGAACTGTCATGAGTAATATTCTCGAATCATGAACGGGGGAAAGTTGATGTTTGAGAAAAAATGCCAATTACAAAAATGATTTAAACTTTAACATACATATGAATATTGAAATTAGCCTTTGTACGAAATCTCCAGATTATTCTTGGTTAGAAACGTTAGAATCTGTCTGAATCTTTTGCGAACAATCAACAAAGAATATGAAGAAATATCAAGAGGATCATAAAATAATATTGAAAAACGCGAGTTTCAATTATCGATTGATCGTGATCTGCTTTCATGCATGGAGGGATGATTTTCTATTATATCATTTTACCGTTCACTCGTACGAAGATCGTGGAAAAGGGTAGTAATTTAATTTAAGAGGGTAATAAAAGGGTTTGCCCTTTTCCGAAGATTCTCCTACATGCTTGTCATAGTACAATCAATGAAATTCGCTATATGATACAGTTATTGTGTAATATCATAGTCCCTGCTTGTAGCTTGGCTATGCTTTTTTGTGATACATACGTGCAGACAGTTACAGATTTTGATGTCTTGGTTTGAAAAAATATTGAACTGAAGGAAGAACAATAACGAAAACTTGGTTGTATTCGGATAATAATAAACATGTTCGGATAATCAAATGAGATAAGATTATAATTTTTGTTTTTTAATGAAAAATTTTTATGAATGAATAAGTAAATGTGTAATATTTATTTGTCTATGAAAAATATAAAAAAAAGATATTGCGTAAAGATTTTTGAAGAAAATATATTTATCGAAATATTTTACTTTCATAGCGAAGAACCTCCTGTACAAGATATCATTGATGAGAAATCGCAGGGTGCATTTTGAATATATGTTTCCTTAGATATTATTCAATGATGGTATGATATTACGAAAAATTATTTGGAAATTATGATCGTTAATTCGATTAATTTCTTCTCTAGAAATGGGACATGAAGTAAGCTGTCAGTGTGTAATATTTTTATATTTTGTCATCGATAAACTTTTAACAGAGCAAGTACTTACTTTTTTTCAAAATTTGTCACTGCTCTATATGTAATCATAAACTTATGTCATTGTTATATATTTATATGTCATATTGTTCTATTTTTAATGTATAAGAATTTAAAAAAGATTAAATTAAATACTTTACCAAACAGTGAAGATGAACGAGAAGTTCTTACATCTTTCAAATGGAATGTGCTGGAAGAAAAGTATTACCATATCATTGATAATTTCGATGTCCTATTCCACTATCAAAATGATCGTTGGCAACATCATCGAATATTATTAATAGCTTCGATATCGTAAGTGTTTCACATTTAAAATTATAATTCGTTTAGTAAATGAATATATATTTTATTAAATATTATAAATCATTAAAAATCATTTATATATTGAACATATTAAGAATATTGATAACTTAAAGCTTTCTTTTAATACTATTAAGTTTAATTAAGTATTAGTAAATTATTTGATAATAATGTAATTGCAATTTTCTAATAATAAAATAATAAAAAAAGTATAGTAAATATATGAATATTTTTTATAAAAATATATTGTATCAAAGATTAAATGAAAAAGAAAAAATTTTTATTCAATTTAATCCTTGACAATCTACTTTTCAATCTATGAATTTTATTTACTGTTTAAAAAAATGAATTTTTTATTATTACTTATTTCTATAACAATATAAAAAATATAGACATTTCACATATAAATTAAATTGCACCAATTGCTGAGAAGTTATTATATTTTAATCATTGTAATATTTAATTTATCAATAGAATTTATAGTGTAAAATATGTGGTGGAACTATTTGTCAATGCTTTCAATAATATATTAAATAATTATTATTATTATATTCATACATTATAATTATTGAAAAAAATAAAATTTAATATATTAATATATTAGTATCTTTTTCTGTTCGAGATCATTGATGAGATGATATAAAATGAATGATTGAATATGATGCTATCAGGATATATACAAAGTTTCTTCCGAAAATAGAATATTTTTTTTTCATTTTTGAATAATTTGTAATATATCATTAGTAATGTTTTAGAAATAAAACATAAAAAGACAAAATGCTGTGATAATCTACCTTTTGTTAGAAGCATCTGAATTCGGTCTTACTTTTACGAATAAAACGATGTGTTATGTTGGTCATCAATTTCTTATTAGTAAAGTATTTACTAATAATTTACTTTATTCTACATGCTTTCATGACAAATATCGCACATGTTTAAATTTCATTCAAAATAATAATATCAATTGGTTGACATACTTGTATTAATTTCCTGTAACAGAAACACAAAATTTAAAATTAGTGATTATGTCGTCTTAATGACACTCATATCAGGAAAAGTGTTTTAGCTATTTTTATTTATCTATACTGATTTATATATCAGAAATGAAATTTGAGTTTTCCATTTTGTACATTAAGTTTTTAGTTAATTTTTAAATTAATTTTCAGCTTGACATTAGTTTCCCATATAAATGCAAATGATTTTTCTGAAAAATTACAGAATTTTATTATTATAAAATACAATTTGTTATATTCAATCTGCAACAGTTGCTATTACGATAAAAATTTTTTTATCATATTAATATGCTTTTCAGTTTAAAAAACGATCGTTCGATCAGAGTAACAATTATTTTGTAATTGAAACAGACAACTTCAAAAATCGCTATCTTACTTTCTATCCTTTACGTAGAATTTTAATAATTGAAACGCAAATTGTAGAATCTCGTGGTATATTTCAGAAAATGCAACTTGTTCCCCTTTATTTACCATCCAGATAATAACTGTTCGTAATCTGTACAAACTTTACAAACAGCATTTATTGGAAACTACAAACCGCTGTGATATTGTCAGACTTTTAAATATATATCTCGATTTTCTTTGAATCCAATGAAATTTTCTATAAACAATTATTCGTTAATACTTTTTCAATTTTTTGAAATATTTTCACAATATCTAATTCAACTATCAAAGACAAGAATCGTATATCAATCACAAAATTCTCGTCGCAATACTTCAGTCCATGGAATAACTTGCATCATTCGTGGAAAATTGAAACCAGTAATTTCAATCAATTTTTTACTCTTCCATAAAATTGATTTCAATGACATGAATTTAACGCTGAATCCATATACGCAAGCGCAATATTCCATACCAAACCGAATTCCAGTTTTGCTATACACGCATGACCAGTTACATCGAAGCATTCAGTCATGAAAAATATATCTGGAATAGCAAAGGCGGAGGAGGATTTGAAATACGCCACGAGATTCGTGAAACCGATTATGGGAATGATCGGTGCCTGGCCGATTTCACCTTCTACCTCTTTTTTTTCAAAAGTACTCCAAAGATCGAAACATATATTCACATACTTCCTTTTTTTCCTGATAATGATCCCAACTCTGATGTACGTGTTCCTGAAAGAGAAGAACAACAAAATGAGATTGAAACTTATGCCACCGATTATTAACTGCAGTATACAGTTCTTCAAATACACGATCATTCTCTGGCGGAGGAAGGAGATCCAAGAAGGATTATACGCGATCAAACATGATTGGATAAAAGCCACGGAAGAGGAGCGATTGATTTTTCGCTCGAAAACGAAGATCGGAAGGAGGGTAGTTTTGATCGTGGCATTCACTATGTACGGTGGCGGTTTATGCTATCGAATGATCCTTCCCCTTCTGAAGGGAACGATCGTCACTGCTAATAACACTACGATTAGAGCATTACCTTGTCCCAGTTATTTTCTCATTTTGAACGAGCAACAGTCGCCGATTTACGAAATATTGTTCGTGCTGCAAATTATAGCCGGAATAGCGATTTATGCGGTTATCTGCGGCTTCTGCGGCATTTTTGCTCTGCTAGTTCTTCATGCATGGAGTATGCTCAGGATCCTAGTGAATAAGATAAAGAAATTAGTGGATAAATCAGATATGTCTGAAGTGGTGCTGCAAAGAAAGATCATGGATATTGTTGAATATCAAATGAAAATAAGAGGTGAGTGAAAATTATGCGAGATTGATAAATTTAAAGTAAGAATTGAGATAAAACGAACGAGGAAAAGAAGAAGAAGAGAGATTTTTAGTTTTAATACGATTTAAATTCATATTGTTTTTTTAACAGATTTTTAAAGAACATTGAAACAATTACAGAATACATATGTTTAATCGAAATGATTGGTAGTACGTGTATGATCTGTCTCGTGGGTTACTGTATTTTAATGGTATGAATACGTTAAATATTACAAATTTTTAAGAATATTGAATAAATATATTTCAGGAATGGGAGAATACTAATACAATGGCAATCGTAATCTATATCACGATACAAATATCTATCATCTTCTGTGTTTTTATACTTTGTTACATTGGACAAATGCTTGTAGACGAGGTACGATATTTCCTTTTTTTTCAACCTGTATTTAATTTTCTTAATTTAATTTATCCTGAATAATTTTGTTAACAGAACTACATTGTAAGCCAAGCATCAAGCACCGTGAATTGGTATCGTCTTTCCATTAAAAATATGCGTTGCTTGATACTAATTATCGCTATGTCTAACCATCCAATGAAACTCAAAGCTGCCAAAATGATGGAAATGTCTTTGATTACTTTTACCGATGTAAGTACGAAAAAAGAATTAAATTTACGAAAAATGAAACTTATAAAATTAACATATATTATAAATATATAATTTCATAGATCATGAAAGTTTCAATGGGATATTTAAATATACTACGTGAAATTATTTAAACAATTATACATGTACATATGTTTCTGTTGTTAAAAATTATAGAGGAATGATTTTATATTACATGGCCTGGCTTTTTTTAATAAAGAATACTCCTGTCAGTGAACGATCACGCATCTTCTTCAGTTGTGCACAATGTGTTTTACACGCAGTATCTGACCCAAGCATAATAATCGTATAATAACTATTCGTAAATTATGTTTATACGAAAAGAGAAAGTAATGTTTCGAATGTATTTAGAATTAAAATATCCATGAAGCGTGGCTGAAAGATCTAACTAAAACTTTATTCGCATCCCCTCGACGGGAACACGATAATCATACGTTCGTTCCTCGTTCTATGATCTTTTCCTCCGCTTTTGAAAAATCCATTTCTAAACTTATGATTATCGTCAACGACTAAAAATACGCAAGCGGAAAACATTTATCGGGAAAACTCTTTCATGGAAAATTGCACAAAAATCGAAACAACAACAAACAGAACTTTCCACCCCGAGTTTCTAATTTCACAGCGCAAGCGCACAATCTTACAAAACTTTTCGAACCATTCGATTAGTCGACGATGGAATTGTTATCAGTCTGCTTCTCGATATCCAACCATGAACGCGGAAAAGTTGATATTCGAGGGAAAACCTCGCAACGCCAATTACAAGAACGATTTAAGCTTTAACGTACGATTGAACGTCTGGACGTTGAGAACAATCGGCACTTGGCCAAGATCCCCCGATCATTCCTGGTTAGAAACGCTGGAACACGTCTGTGTAAATCTTTTCTGCTACGAACTACTCGCGTTCATACTGATCCCGTGCAGTATGTATATCATTCTCGAGATCAAGGACTTTTACAACCAGCTGAAACTCGGTAGCGCGCTCAGTTTCTTCTTGATGGCGGTGATGAAGTACTGCGTCTTCATTATTCGCGAGGACGATATACGTAAATGCGTGGAACTGATCGAAAACGATTGGAAGAACGTGAGATATCAAGAGGATCGTAAGATAATGTTGGAAAACGCGAGTTTCAGTCGTCGATTGATCGTAATCTGCGGCACTTTCATGTACGGAGGGGTGGTTTTTTATTATATCGCTCTGCCGCTCACTCGAGCGAAGATCGTGGAAGAGGGTGGCAATTTAACGTATAGACGGCTGGTTTACCCTTTTCCAAAGGCTCTTCTAGACGCTCGTCACAGTCCAATCAATGAAATTTGCTATATCATACAGTTGTTGTCTGGATTTGTCGCGCATAATATCACGGTGGCCGCTTGTGGTTTGGCTGCTCTTCTTGCGATACACGCGTGTGGACAGTTACAGATTTTGATGTCTTGGCTGGAAAAATTAGTGGACGGAAGGAAGAACGATAACGAGAACTTGGATCAGAGATTGGCTAATGTTGTGAAACAACATGTTCGGATAATCAAGTAAGATAAGGTTATAATTTTGTTATTGATGATTTTTGTGAACGAATAAATAGAATAAATGAGGATATTATTCAAAATTCAAAAAGGTTTTTGAAGTGAAATGTATCTTTATGAAAACATTTTAGTTTCATAGCTTTAACGGAAGATCTGCTGCACGAGATATCATTGATAGAAGTCGTGGGGTGTACTTTGAATATATGCTTTCTTGGATATTATTCCATGATGGTATGATATTACCAGAAGAATTGTTTGGAAATTGTGATCGTTATTTAAATCGATCAATTTCTTCTCTAGGAATGGGACTCGAAGCAACCTGTCAGTGGTGTCACATATATAATATTACTTATATCTGTCACGTTTAATATTTTTATATTTTGTTATATCGGTCAACTCTTAGCAGAGCAGGTACTCATTTTTTTTTTTTTTCAAAATTCGTCACTGCTCCACACATAAATTTGTATCACTTGTTGTTTCTATTTTTAATGTATAAAAGTTTATAAAAGAATTAAGCTATTTAAATACTTTACCAGACAGTGAAGGTGGGCGAGAAGTCTTACATGATCGATTGGCATCGAATGCCTTGGAAGAAAAGTCTTGCTATACCATTGATGATCTCGATGTCCCATTCGACCACCAAGATCACTGCTGGCAACATTATCGAACTTTCCATCAGCAGTTTTGGTGACGTAAGTACTTCATAAGTGAGTGATAATCTGTAAACATAAGTTTCTGTTGTAAATTTTTATCAAATACTGCAGGTCATCAAGACTTCAGTCGCGTACTTGAATATGCTACGAACATTCACAACCTAATGATTTCTTTAAAATAATGTCATAAATAAATTCTTACACTGAACATAGACAAAATATAGATATATAAAAAAAATATATCACACATACCTGCCTTTCTATAAAAATATTTTATTATAGATTAAAGAGAAAAATTTTCTTTTAAGTCAAATAATTAACAATATCGTAACTGAGTAACTTTTTATGCCGATATTTCTAAAAAAAAATTAACATAGATATTATAAAAGAATAAAATCTTATAATAAAAACAAATATATTAAGAAAAAATTCAAAATTTACTTTAAAAAAGTTACACTTAAAAATATTTTCTTTTAGAATAAAAATCAGAATTACATTTAGCACGAAATATCGGCAACGCAAAAGTAAAGATAAAAATTATAAAAAAACGATTTACCACGTCATTAAAAAAAGAAATATTCTTCCCAATATTCAATCTTCTATTCTATAGAATCAAACTTTATTTTCCCTGACGTACGCACAATAATACGGTAATAACATGTTTCTCCCTCGTTCTGTGATTTTCTCCTTGTCTTGAAAAATACATTGCGAAACTTGCGGTTATCGTCAACTGCGATGATCACAACTGAAAATATATTACTTGAGGGTAACTGAGAAAAGTACGTAGGTAATTCTATTAAATTAAACCAGTAAATATAAACATCACTTGCCTTTTCCATTTTCTAAACTAATTGCGCATGCGCAGTTAGATTCAGTCAAACGTTTTCAAACAGCCAACCATCGATAGAGTTGACTGATCAGTAACTTTCCGACATTCGATGTTCGAAGATGAACATGGAACATTTCGTTATCGAAGAGAAATCCTACAACGCAAATTACAAGAACGATTTATGCTTCAACGTACAATTAAATGTGTGGACATTGAGAACGATTGGAACCTGGCCAAAATCGCTGGATCGTTCTTGGTTAGAAACCATCGAACACGTCTGTTTATGCTTTTTCAATTACATTTTACTCGCGTTCATCCTGATACCCGGTGTTATGTACTTTCTTCTCGAGATGAAAGATTTTTACGATCAAATGAAACTCGGTAGCGCGCTCAGTTTCTTTCTGATGGCGGTGATGAAAATCTGCGTCTTCATCATTCGTGAAAACGATATACGTAAATGCGTAGAATGCATTGAAGACGATTGGAAAAATGTAAAGTATCAAGAAGATCGTAAGATTATGTTGGAAAACGCGAGTTTTAGTCGTCGATTGATCGTAATTTGCGGCGCTTTTATGTACGGAGGGGTGGTTTTCTATTATATCGCTTTGCCGTTCACTCGAGGGAAGATCGTGGAAGAGGGTGGTAATCTAACGTATAGAAGACTGGTTTACCCTTTTCCTAAGGCTCTCCTAGACGCTCGTCGCACTCCTGCCAACGAACTTCTGTACACAATACAGTTGTTGTCTGGGTTTGTCGCGCACAATATCACGGTTGCCGCTTGTGGATTGGCTGCCCTTCTTGCGATGCACGCCTGCGGACAATTGCAGATTTTGATGTCTTGGTTGGAAAAATTGGTCGATGGAAGGGAAAACGACGACGAGAATCTGGATCAGAGATTGGCTAATATCGTGGAACAACACGTTCGAATAATCAAGTAATGTGACGATTTAAATTTTATACGATATTAAAGAAATTGAAATCGAGTGTGAAATCTTTTATAATAATTTTTCAGTTTTATAGCTTTGACGGAAGATCTTCTTCAGGAGATATCGTTGGTAGAAGTTGTGGGTTGTACTATAAATATATGTTTCCTTGGGTATTATTCGATGATGGTATAATTTTACGAAGATACATATGAATTTACGAATCAAAATATTAATTTCCGATTTTTTTTCTTTAGGAGTGGGATTCTAAGCATCCTATTAGAGGTGTGACGTATATAATATTGCTTACATCCGTCACGTTTAATATTTTCATATTTTGTTATATCGGTGAACTTTTAGCAGAGCAGGTATACTTTTTGCCAAATTACATTTCGATGACAATAATTTATTAAAAAATAAATTTTTAAAAAATATATTTTACCAGACCGTGAAAGTTGGCGAAAAGTCTTATATGATTGATTGGTATAGAATGCCGTGGAAAAAAAGTTTGGCCATCCCTTTGATGATTTCTATGTCCCGTTCAACCACGAGGATCACCGCTGGCAACATTATTGAACTTTCTATTAGCAGTTTCGGTGCCGTAAGTGCCTCAAATTTAAGACAATTATTCATTCTGTAAATATATAATATTTTTATTGAATATTATATAGGTCATCAAGACTTCATTTGCATACTTGAACATGCTACGAACATTGACAAGTTAAAAGTTTCTTTTAATACGATAAACATCAATGATAATTACAATAGCAATTTTCATATTAAGTAATAGAAAAAGTATAATACGGATATATCGTATATATACTTTTTATAAAAATATATTGTATAATCAAAGATTAAATGAAAAAGAAAGAATTTTTATTTAATTTAGTTATTGACAGTACACCTACGAATTTTTTTTATTATTTAAATAGAATTTGTTACTATTAATCTGTTACTTATTATTTATAATAGTATAGAAAAATATGAGATATTTTACATATAAATTGCAAAATATTGACGAGAAGTTTTATTATACTTTGATCATCGTAATTTAATTCATCAATGGAATTTATAATCTAAAATATAAAAATACTTGTCAACACTCAATAATGTAAGTATCAAATAATAATTATTATATTTATATATTAATACTTACTATTAATAAAAAAACCTCCAACAAAAATAAATAAACGAAAGAGTGCACCGGTAAATCCGTGAAAAAATAATCATCCATAAATTGATTTCTTAAAATCATACAACTGACGTTCGCTGATATTCCAAACAATCAATTTATCGATGTTCTGCTATCATCACTTCTTCTATTCTTATAATGCATAATGTAAAAATCTGAACTTCGTGGAAGGGTTGAAACTAAACTACTTTTATTCTCCCTTCCGACGGAAATCAGAAATTAAGCGCAAGCGCAATGTTATGTTTCCTTTGAACTACCATTACCATTCCTTTTAGTATTAGACGAGCCATCGAGTATCAAAGATGCAAAAATCAAAAGACAAGGCAAACACAGCCAATCAGAAATTCTACTCGACAGACTATGAATACCAGAAAAACGTGAATCTGAGCATTGAATACAATCGTTGGTTATTAAAACCAATGGGTGTTTGGCCAAATTCGTATACATTACGATCGAAAGATTATCTGTATTGGCTTATAAATATCGTCTGTTACTCTTTAATCAGTTTCCTCTTCATTCCTTGCACGCTATATCTGTTCCTTGAAATTGAAGATTTTTACGGCAAACTGAAACAATTCGGTCCTTTGATCTTCTGTATGATGGCATTCGTAAAATATTATTATCTAATTGCCCACAAAACCGATATTCGCGAATGCGTGGAAAGGATCAAGTGGGATTGGAAGAACATCACATACGCAAAAGACAAAGAGATCATGATAACTTATGCGAATTTTGGACGAAAGCTGGTGGTCGTTTGTACGTTTTTCATGTACAGTGGCTTCGCCTTTTATTACATCGCCATACCGATCAGCGTGGGCAGAGTCAAAACGGATAATCTCACCTTCATCCCTTTGGTGTTCCCTTTCTCGAGATTCATCGTCGATACCCGTTACAGCCCGACCAACGAAATTGTATTTTCCATCCAATTGATGGCCGGTGCTTTGATGCATGGAATCACATCGGCTGCTTGCAGTTTAGTGGCTACATTTGCGGTTCATGCTTGCGGCCAGATGCAGGTGTTGATGAACTGGTTGCAACATTTGATAGACGGCCGATTGGACATGGACGAGCGTTTGGATGGTAGAATCGCGGACGTCATATGCCAACATGTTCGAGTCCTAAAGTAAATCAATTTATTGTAATTATATATACGTTTTATAATAATTTTTAACATTGCTTCGAATTGTTTGTTTTCTAATGCAATGAATTTAAAAAAGACGATCGATTATTTCAGATTTTTGGCGCTTACCGAAAAAACTCTACAGCAAATTTCTTTCACCGAGTTTTTGGGTTGTACGCTAGATATATGTCTGGTTGGATATTACGTTATTATGGTATGATTGCCTTGACAATTTAGATTTAAGTCATTATTCTTAAAAGAATTGCCGAGCTTTGTTTATTAGCTATAGATTATTTATCTATTTTAAAATTAAGGATCAATGGTCTACAGATTTAAAATTGATCTTTGATTTTAATGATCTACAATTCTGAAACGTATCGATTCTCATTTACATAAATTTAATTCAATTATAGGAATCGAAATCGAATGATGTCACGAGCGTAATAACCTACGTAATTTTACTTATATCACTTACGTTCAATATTTTTATATTTTGTTATATAGGCGAGATCGTTGCTGAAGAGGTAAGTTTTTTTGTAAGATTTTTGTAAAATGTTTTGACATTAATAATATGATATTGCGACAGTGTAGGAAAATTGGCGAAATATCGTACATGATCGAGTGGTACCGATTGATGGGGAATAAAAAGCTTTTTTGCATTTTAATCATCGCAATGTCTAATTCCTCGATAAAATTGACAGCTGGAAATATCGTGAATTTATCTATCAGCACGTTTACCGATGTGAGTATCGACTTATTTTCATAATTTTTTTTCTTTCTGTCTCTCTTTTTAGACTGATTTCCATATTTGATTTTAATAAATAGGTGGTTAAGACAGCGGTAACTTATTTAAACGTACTTCAAAAAACAACTTGAAAATTTCTAAGTATGTTTTTTTATATTCATTGATGTGCGTGTTTAAAAAATCTTTACTGTTATATACTCGTTTTATATTTGTGCTTTTTATACATGTTGTTCCAAATAATGAGTGATTGTTGATTGTCTTGAATGTTGAACATTTTTTCTATCATTTAAAAGGATGTAAAAAATCATGTTTTATAATGATGTTAATAATAAAAAAATGTTGCAGATAAATTAATTGTATTGCTATATGTTATATTTATGTTATATTCTTTCAATCTCAATTTTGCTTACCATTTTGTTTCGTGTAAGAAAGAATAATAAAATAGACAATACTTCCAAAAATTACAGAAAACTTTAAAAACTATTACAACCCAAACACTCGAACTTAAAAAAGTAAATAAATTAAATACAAAATTTATAAAACATTGAAAAAAAACGACTAATAATAAAAAAAAAGTTTGCAAAGAAAAAAAGAAGATAAACTCACTTTTTCCATGTATCAACAGTTCTGTTCTACTAATATTAAAGAAAAATCAATTTATCGATGTTCCAACTCTTTCTGCCTGTAATGCATAATAAGAGAAGTCCCAAACGGGGAAGAGTTTATTCCAGCGAGGGAGAATAACTTTTAATCTTACCCTTGCGATAGAAATTGGAAAAATATGGCGCAAGCGCATCCGTGTTTTAGAACAATTATCAATCTACAAACTTCGTCAGTACGAAGAGAGCATTCGAGCTCGAATGAAGAAACGACATGTCCTCTGTAAAAATTGATCAAGATTACAAAAGTAACGTAAATTTTAGCATTAAATACAGCCGTCGTATTTCAAAAATGATCGGCCTGTGGCCTACTTTCGATAAAATTTCAACAATACACAAATATCTTCGACGATTATATAATACCATTTGTTACTCTTTGTTAATGTTTATCATTGTACTTGGATGGATATACATAGCTTTCGAAGTGAAAAACATATACGACAGATTAAAATTCGTCAGTCTAATGAGTTTCTGCATGTTATCGATCACAAAATATCATTTGATAAACATTCACAAGGACGACGTCCGCGAGTGTGTCAAACGTATGGAATGGGACTGGAAAAATATATCTTACTCACAAGATAGAGAGATTATGCTAATGAACGCAAGTTTTGGAAAGAGATTAATCATTGTTACCACCACTGTCACGTACAGTGGTTTTGTCTTTTTTTATATAGCTGTACCGATGAAAATTGGAAAAATTCCGGCACAAGATGCTAATATTAGTTTCATACCCACGATGTTTCCTTTCCCCAAGTATATTGCTGATGTTCGATACAGTCCAATAAACGAAATTGTATTTGCCTTTCAATTTATGTGTGGTTTCTTGGTGCATGGTGTGACATCATCGGTTTGCAGTTTGGCCGCTATATTTACAGTTCACACTTGTGGCCAGATACAGGTGATGATGATCTGGCTAGAACATTTGATAGAAGGTCGGTTAGACATGTGTTATAGCATCGATCAGCGAATTGCCAAGATCGTGAGTCAACATGTTCGAATATTGAAGTGTGTAAAATTTATTTATCACGAAGTTCTTAAAAATTTGAATTTCAATTTTAACTTCTTGACTTGGAGCAATTATTAAAAATTGTGTAATGTTTGTTGTGATGCTTACAGATTTTTATCACTTATCGAAAAAATTCTTCAACAAGTATCATACATGGAATTTTTAGAATGTACAGTAAACGTGTGTCTTCTTGGATATTGTGCCATCATAGTACACAATTAAAACATATTTAAAAAATATAGTTTTTAGTAGTTTTTTTTTTTTTGACATAATACAATATAATCTTGAAATTACAGGAGTGGGAATCGAATCATCTAACAGAAGTCGTAACATATGTTATAATACTTATAACGATTATATTCAATATTTTTGTATTTTGTTACATAGGGGAGCTTTTGGCCGATCAGGTAGAAGTCTTTTGAAATGATTATATCAATCTTATATATCACAACTATTGTGACATAGTTTTGTAATAGTCTAGGAAAATAGGGGAAGTAACGTACATGATCGAATGGTACCGATTATCCGGAAAGAAAAAGCTATGCTGCGTATTGATAATCGCGATGTCCAATTCATCTATGAAATTAACAGCTGGAAATTTAATCGAATTATCAATGAGTACCTTCTCTGATGTAAGTATTAAATTATTGTAATCTCATGTGTTTTCCTATAACTGACAAAAGTATTTTATACAATAGGTGGTTAAAACATCGTTTGCTTTCTTAAATGTATTGCGAACGTTAACTTAAGAATTCTTTGAAACGTAACGTAAACTATATTTATAAACTTTATTGTATTTACTATTTCAAAAATTAATGTTCTTTTTTTGTTAAAAAACTATAGCTTTGATATATATTTATTTGTTATATTAAAATAAATAAAACAGAAAATAAATTTTGTTATATTATATTATAAAATTAAATAAAAAAAATGCAATTTATATCGGTACTTACTAATTTTTCTTTATAATATTATTTTCTTTAAGTAACAAGAAAGAAATATTTTATAAATTCCGCAAAAATGATAAAACATTATGCAGATACTAGTAATAATGAATTTTCGAATCACTATCAGTAACATTGTTTCACGAATCAATCAATCGATGGTTTCACCGTCATTCTCCACGTCTCCAATTCATAATACATAGATGAGAAAAACTTCAAGCGGGGAAAAATTTCAATCGGAACTATCGGAAAGCAAACTTTTGTTCCCCTTTATTGAAGAGAATCGAAAAACCGGCGCAAGCGCCGCATTCCTTTTCTCAGAACCTCGGATCAAAGCTGGTTAGTTTGAAAGAGACGTTCAAACTCTAACGATGGAAAAATCAAAAATCAACGGCATATCGTGCATCAGAACAGATCACGATTATAAGAGAAACGTGAATCTGAGCATTCAATGGAGTCGCTGGATTTTAAAACCGATCGGCCTCTGGCCGAATTCCTCCACCATTTCAACGACAGGAAAATATCTTTATCGATTAATAAATGTAATCTGCTACAGTCTGATAAGTTTCCTCTCGATACCATGCAGTTTGTACGTGATCCTCGAAGTGAAAGACATCTACAACAGAATAAAACTACTCGGTCCATTGAGCTTCTGCATGATGGCGTTTCTAAAGTATCACTTGTTAATCCTACACGAAGATAATATTCGCGAGTGCATCAAACGTATCGAATGGGATTGGAAGAACATCACGTATTCCAAAGACAGAGAAATCATGATAACGAATGCAAATTTTGGAAGAAGGCTGGTCGTTATTTGCACGTTTTTCATGTACAGCGGTTTCGCCTTTTACTACATCGCCGTGCCAATTAGCGTTGGAAAAATTCCTGCGGATGATGACAATATTACCTTCATTCCCTTGGTGTTTCCCTTCTCGAGATTTATCATCGACACTCGCTACAGTTTCACGAATGAGATCGTATTTTCCATTCAATTGGTCGCCGGTGCTTTGATGCATACCATAACGACTGCAGCTTGTAGCTTGGCTGCTATATTTGCGGTGCACGCTTGCGGCCAGATGCAGGTGTTGTCGAATTGGCTGAAACATTTGATAAACGGTCGGTCAGATATGTATAATAATGTGGAAGGCAGAATCGCAAGCATCGTGAGTCAACATGTTCGAATATTGAAGTGTGTAAGAATTGTGTGATTAGAAGAAATAAAATTTTATTTTGAATAAAATTATTTTACAAATTTATATAGTTAAATTTGAAATTCGAATTTTATTTTTTTCTGAATTAAAAAAATTAGAATATTAGATTTTAAAAATTTATTAATTACGTTGTAATCGAATTGAGTTTTAACGCTATTTAATCATACTAAATCATATTCTAGATTTTTAGCGCTTACAGAGAAGGCACTTCAACAAGTGTCATTCGTGGAATTTTTAGGTTGCATGTTAAACATATGTCTCCTTGGATATTATGTTATTATGGTATTACAGTATTATTAAAATTAAATGATTTAAATAAATATAAAAAAACTTTAAAACGTAATTCATTCATATTTTAGGAATGGAGTTCGAGTCATTTAACCAGTGCAATAACATTTTTCATACTGCTAATATCTCTTACGTTTAACATTTTCATATTTTGTTACATAGGCGAGTTGGTAGCCGAACAGGTTAGAATATTATTAATAATTAATAAATTAATCCTTTTTTTTTTTTTTTTGGCAATATATTTTTTCCAGTGCAAGAAAATTGGAGAAATTTCATATATGGTCGATTGGTATCGATTAGAGGGAAACAAAAAGCTTTGTTTCGTTTTAATAATTGCAATGTCTAATTCATCGATTAAATTGACTGCTGGAAATATGGTTGAATTGTGTTTGACAACTTTTAGCGATGTAAGTATGAACACGTTTGAATCTTTTTTTTAAATTTTTGTCATTGAAATATTCATTTTTTGTGCATATAGATTGTTAAGACAGCAGTCGCATTTTTGAACGTATTGCGAACATTAACAATTTAAGGATTTCTTTTATGGCGAATTGTTCGATGATAAAATTTGCAATTTTCATATCGAATAATAGAAAAAGTGTAGTTATGTTTCTTTTATAAAAATATGTTGTATTATAGATGAAATGAAAAAATAAAAATTTTTATTTAATCTAATTATTGATAATATTTTTTAGCATATGAATTTTGCATATTATTTAAAATATTATGCAAAATTTGTTATTATTAAGTTGTTACGTACTACTTTTTGCTATAAGTTATAGCGTATAAATTATATCAATTGCCAAGAAGCTTTATTAAACTTTGATTTTTAAAATTAAGTTTATCAATGAAATTTATAATTTAAAATGATAGGACTATTTTTCAACGTTTTTAATGTATTATTTAAAATTTAATATAAAATCATTTCATAAATTATGTTAAGAATCATATATCGCACAAATAAATTATCAAATAAAAATTAATTAAATTTTTTACATGCAAATCTTTATCAATATCTTTGATTATCTATCTAAATATTATCTAATTTTTCACAAAGCCAATATTCATGAATGTAGAAAAGATCAAGTGGGACTGGAAAAACACTACACAAAAGATAACGATTATGATAACGATCACGAATTTTGGACAAAAACTGATTGTTTGCATTCATGTACAGTGACTTTTATTATATTAGTACATCAATCATATAACTGTAATATATAATCTCACCTTCATTCCTTTAATATTTCCTTTCATATCCATCCATTCGGAATTCATTGTTGATATTCATCCAATCAATAAAATTATATTTTCCATTCATTTTGTAATCACTGCTTTGATGTGTGTTTCACATAAGTAGCTGTTAATTGTTTTAAATGTTAAAAATTTTTTATATCATTTAAGAGGACATAAAAAATCGTGTTTTATAATATTAATGTTAAAAATAAAAAATATTGGAAATATTGGCATAAGTTGTTGTGTGTATAGATATTTATATTATTATTATTCAGTGTCAATTTTGCTAAAATTTATATTTATTTCGTGCAAAAGAAAATGAAATAAAGAAATATTTCCAAAAATCATAGAAAATTTTACCTAAGCATTTAAATATAAGAATTAGCAGAAAATAAATAAAAATATCACAAAAAATGATTTTACAAAACATTAAAAAACATTCGTACAAAAAGTACTAACAGTGCATAAAAAAAAACTTCGGAAAGAAAAAAGAAAAAGAACTCATCTTTTACAAGTATCAACAGTTCTGTTCTACTAATATTAAAAAAAAATCAATTTATCGATGTTCCAACTCTTCCCGCCTGTAATGCATAATAAGAGAAGTCCCAAACGGGGAAGAGTTTATTCCAGCGAGGGAGAATAACTTTTAATCTTACCCTTGCGACAGAAATTGGAAAAATGGATGACGCAAGCGCATCCGTGTTTTAGAACTATTATCAATCTACAAACTCTCAGTTCGAAGAGAACTTTCGAGCTCGAACAAAGAAACGATTATGCCCTCTGTAAAAACTAATCAAGACATCAAAAATAATATAAATTTTAGCATTAAATACAGCCGTTGTATTTTAAAAATGATTGGACTGTGGCCAACTTTTGATAAAATTTCAACAATATGCAAATACCTTCGACGGTTATATAACGCTATTTGTTATTGTTTAATAATGTTTATCATTATACCTGGATGGATATACATATCCCTCGAAGTGGAAAATATATACGACAGATTAAAATTCGTCAGTCTAATGAGCTTCTGCATGTTATCGATCACGAAGTATCATTTGATAAACATTCACAAAGATGATGTCCGCGATTGTGTCAAACGTATGGAATGGGACTGGAAAAATATATCTTACTCAGAAGATAGAGAAATTATGCTAATGAACGCAAATTTTGGAAAGAGATTAATCATTGTTACCACCACTGTCACGTACAGTGGTTTTGTCTTTTTTTATATAGCTGTACCGATGAAAATTGGAAAAATTCCGGCACAAGATGCTAATATTAGTTTCATACCCACGATGTTTCCTTTCCCGAAGTACATTGCTGATGTTCGATACAGTCCAATAAACGAAATTGTATTTCTCGCTCAATTTATATGTGGTTTCTTGCTTCATGGTGTTACATCATCGGTGTGCAGTTTGGCTGCAATATTTACAGTTCACGCTTGTGGCCAGATACAAGTGATGATGGTTTGGCTGAAACATTTGATAGAAGGTCGGTTAGATATGTGTAACAGTGTCGATCAGCGAATTGCCAAGATTATAAATCAACACGTTCGAATATTAAAGTGTGTAAGACGTGCTTATCTCATGATAAAATTTTATAATACAATTATTTTGCGAAGAATTTAATTTTTTTTCGAAAGTGTAGAGTTTGAGAAAAAATAAATGGAAATTGTATTATTTAATATTGAAATAATTTTTTACTATTGTATTTGAATATTTTTGAATATTGAATTTTTATTTATTAAATTTTAAAACTGTATTCGTTTTTATTCATAAAAATTTTAAGCTTTAAAAATTTTGTAATTTGAAATCTCAAGAATATTTTGCATCTAATAGTTTGTAATATTTATATAGAATTATTGTGATAATATTTACAGATTTTTATCACTTATCGAAAAAATTCTGCAACAAGTATCATACATGGAATTTTTAGAATGTACAATAAACGTATGCCTTCTTGGATATTGTGCCATCATGGTATATAATTTAAGAGATATTTAAAAAAATATTTTTTAGCAATTATTTTTTTTTTTGACATAATATAATATAATTTTTGAAATTACAGGAATGGGAATCGAATCATCTAACGCAAGTCGTAACATATCTTATATTACTTATAACGATTATATTCAATATTTTTGTATTTTGTTACATAGGAGAGCTTTTGGCTAATCAGGTATGGTTTTTCAAATGATTATATCAATATTTTACACGCAACAGTTGTGGCATAGTTTATAATAGTCTAGGAAAATAGGAGAAGTAACGTATATGATCGAATGGTACCAATTATTCGGAAAGAAAAAGCTATGCTGCGTTTTGATAATCGCAATGTCCAATTCATCTACTAAATTAACAGCTGGGAATTTAATCGAATTATCAATGAGTACTTTTTCTGACGTAAGTATTAAATAAGTATAACTCACGAATTTTCACATATAATTAACAAAAATATTTTGTAAAAAAACAGGTAATTAAAACATCATTTGCTTTTTTGAATGTATTGCGAACATTAACTTAAATATTCTTCAGAATGCAATACAACATAAACTATTTTATTATTTATTACATTAGACTGTAAGAATTAATGTATTTTTTCTTCTATTAAAAAAATGTAATTTTTCATATGTTTTATCAAAAATGTTTTATAAAAAATCTAAGAAACAAATTTTGTTATAAATGTGAATAAAAAAAATTATAATTTATGTTAAATACTTACTAATTTTCTATGATGATTTTTTTCTTTATATAAAATAATAAAAAATGAAAGTTACTACACTTCAATAACTTCATATAATATTGAGAAATGTTGTTTTGAATGAATCTTTTATGAATGAATCGATGGCTTCACTATCATTCTCAGCACTCTGAACTCATAATGCATATATAAGAAAAGTCCAACACAACTCAACGGGGGAGAACATTTCAATTCATCGGAGAAAATAAACCTGTTCCCCCCCTACTGAAAGGAAACCGGGGAATTGGAAAACCGGCGCAAGCGCTGTATTCTCTTCTTTAGAACCTGAGATCAAACGATAGTTGATTAGTTTGAAAGAGACGTTCAAACTCTAATGGTGAAAAAATTAGAAATCGAGAGCATGTCATGTATCAGAACAGATCACGACTATAAGAGAAATATAAATCTGAGCATTCAATGGAGTCGCTGGATTTTAAAACCGATCGGTCTCTGGCCGAATTCCTCCACTATTTCAACGACAGGAAAATATCTCTATCGATTAATAAATGTAATCTGCTACAGTCTGATAAGTTTTCTCTCGATACCATGCAGTTTGTACGTGATCCTCGAAGTGAAAGATATCTACAACAGAATAAAACTATTTGGTCCATTGAGTTTCTGCGTGATGGCATTTCTAAAATACCATTTGTTAATCTTACATAAAGATAACATCAGCGAGTGCATCAAACGTATCGAATGGGATTGGAAGAATATCACGTATTCCAAAGACAGAGAAATCATGATAACGAATGCAAATTTTGGAAGAAGGCTGGTCGTTATTTGCACGTTTTTCATGTACAGCGGTTTCGCCTTTTACTACATCGCCGTGCCAATTAGCGTTGGAAAAATTCCTGCGGATGATGACAATATTACCTTCATTCCCTTGGTGTTTCCCTTCTCGAGATTTATCATTGACACGCGTTACAGTTTCACGAATGAGATCGTATTTTTCATTCAATTGGTCGCCGGTGTTTTGTTACATACCATAACGACTGCAGCTTGTAGCTTGGCTGCTATATTTGCGGTGCACGCTTGCGGCCAGATGCAGGTGTTGTCGAATTGGCTGAAACATTTGATAAACGGTCGATCAGATATGTATAATAATGTGGAAGGCAGAATCGCAAGCATCGTGAATCAACATGTTCGAATATTGAAGTGTGTACGAATTCTGAATATTTTTTATTAAAGTTTATTGATTTTGAAATCACAAAATTGGAATTTTTTATCTTAAAGATTGGAATTAAATATCGCTATAATATATCAAATCAATTTCAGATTTTTAGCGCTTACAGAGAAAGCACTTCAACAAGTGTCATTCGTGGAATTTTTAGGTTGCATGTTAGACATATGCCTCCTTGGATATTACGTTATTATGGTACTACAATATTATTGATACTAAATTATATATATATTATGTATATATACTGCTATATTAAATTAATATACTAAATGATTTAAATAAATATACAAAACATTAAAACGTAATTCATTCATATTTTAGGAATGGAGTTCGAGTCATTTAACCAGTGCAATAACGTTTTTCATATTGCTAATATCTCTTACGTTTAACATTTTCATATTTTGTTATATAGGCGAGTTGGTAGCCGAGCAGGTTAGAATATTAATAATAATTTATAAATTTTTTTTGATATTATATTTTTTTCAGAGCAAAAAAATTGGAGAAATTTCATATATGGTCGATTGGTATCGATTAGAGGGAAACAAAAAACTCTGTTTCGTTTTAATAATTGCAATGTCTAATTCATCGATTAAATTGACTGCTGGAAATATGGTTGAATTGTGTTTGACTACTTTTAGCGATGTAAGTATGAACATATTTGAATTATTTTTATAAATCTATGATTTAGATATTTATTTTTTGTTCAAGATTGTTAAGACAGCCGTTGCATTTTTAAACGTATTACGAACATTAACATGAATATTCTTTAAAGTAGAATTAACAGATTAAATATTTGCTGTATATTTAAATGATATCTATAAAAATAAAATTCAAATTTTGATAATAATTGTTTACAATATAATAAAATTCATTTGTAATATTATTAATTCTATCATTTTGTTATAATGATAAATTAATATTTTACATTAAATTTAACACATGCACAATTCCACAATTTTATATATTATTTTTTGTTTTTGCCGACAAACTTGAAACAAATAATTTTTATGCATTTTATCTGGTAATAATAATCTAATATTTGTAAAATGTTTTTTGCAAAATTAATACAATATAAATTTATGCATCCAATATTTAAATAACATAAAAAGTTTATTCGAATGAAAATTCATTCTTTAGAAATTGATTACTTCAACCTGTTGCGAAATGGTCAATACACTCGTGCACTACTAACGTTTGAAAAAATCAATTTATCGATGACTCGTCATCATCAACCCTTGTCATATTCATAATTCATAAACCGACAAACTAATAATTGAGAGGGGTCGAACTTCTTTGAAAAATATTATTTTCTTCCACCCTTTCGAATCGAAATTCGAGCGCAAGCGCAATGCGATTTTCCATTTCAATCATCATCGAACCACCGACATTTAGTATCCAGCGAGCTCTCGAGCGTCAACGATGGAAAAACAAGAGTGCGTCATCGCGCAGGATGACGATAAAAAGGCGAATTTGAGCATACAGTGGAATCGTTGGTTGTTGACACCGATCGGTGCCTGGCCAAATTTACGCAAATCAAGAATAGGAAAATGTTATTCCTTGCTGATCAGTATTATTTGTTACGGTTTGATCGGTTTTATGCTCGTGTCTTGTAGCATGTTTTTGATAGTGGAAATCAAGAAGGTATATAACAGAATCAAAATGGTTGGTCCATTGAGTTTCTTCTTGATGACATTCATGAAATATTATTTGCTATTACTCCATGAAAATAACATACGTGAAGGTATCGAATGCATCGAATGGGACTGGAAGAACGTGAAACACGAAGAAGATAGGAATATCATGATCACGTATGCGAATTATGGAAGGAAATTAGTATTCATTTGCACATTTTTCATGTATAGTGCATTTGCATTTTACTATCTAGTCTTGCCGTTTAGCGTGGGGAAAATAGAAGATGGAAATTTGACGTTTATCCAATTACCATTTCCTTCGTCGAGTTTGATCGCTGATGTGCGTTATAGTCCTTACAATGAAATCGTATTGTCCATTCAAATTCTGACAGGTGTCGTGATGCACGCTATAACATCGGCAGCTTGTAGTATAGCCGCTGTATTCGCAGTGCATGCATGTGGACAAATGCAGGTGTTGATGAACTGGTTGGATCACTTGGTGGATGGCCGATCGGATATGAGCAAGGCTGTAGATGACAGAATTGCAAATATTGTAATTCAACATGATCGAATATTAAAGTGGTAATATTATATATATATATATATATACATATATATTATGTATATTATTATTGTATTGTAATTTTACCAAAAATTCAATATTGTTGAGAAAAATCTTTTAATGTAAATATAAATGTGATTTGTTATTTCTAAGAGATTGGGTACAAGCATAAAGGGTTAAAGTTTCATGTTTATAAATACGATCGTATTTCATCGCGTGACAATAAGTTAGGGGACAAAAAACGTCGTAACTATTGCCGGCGTGGAAAAGTTTTCAACAACGTATAACAACTTAAGTATTCACCAAAGAAATCGACTGGTTGCTGTGTATAATTAAAAGTTTGCGCCTGAAATTTTTTATTCTTCGATTTATGAAAATATGATAATATAAAGATACATTTGAAAGTAGATGTTTATGAAAATTAGAAATAATTTTTAAATTTAAAACTTTGAAGTATTAAATTTAAAAATTCGATTCGTTCGATGTTTGAATCTTATATATAAATAACTTTTACCATTTTATGTTTGTCGTATTTCAGATTTTTGGCACTTACAGAAAAAGCGCTTCAGCAAATATCTTTTGTAGAATTTTTAGGCTGTACTGCGAATATGTGCCTTCTCGGATATTATTTAATAGTGGTACGCAATAACAAATTTTAATACAATAGGCACACAGAATTCTACTTTCAGAATTCTATGTATATTTTTCATTCTAATATTGCATTGTTTATATATATATTATTAATTTGTAGGAATGGAATCCGAAAGAAATAATACTTTCAGTAACTTACGTAGCTTTAATCATATCTATCACTTTCAATATCTTCATATTTTGTTATATAGGCGATCTGGTTGCCGAACAGGTAGGATGTTCTTATTGGAACAATATCTGCAACAATATTTCAATTAATTTTTTAAACGATAAATCGTTTAAGTAGAATTTAATAGAAATGAATAATGTCTCGATTCAGTGTCAGAAAGTTGGTGAAATGGCGTATATGATCGAATGGTATCGATTAACAGGCAAAAAAAAACTTTGCTGCATTTTGATCATTGCAATGTCCAATTCATCGGTAAAATTTACAGCTGGAAATATGGTTGAATTATCCATCTATACTTTTAGCGATGTAAGTATCTATATTTCTATCTTTCATTAAAATATTATAGATTATAAATTAAAATATCTTGAATGAATAGGTGGTTAAAACGTCGGTGGCTTTCTTAAACATGTTTCGAGCATTGACTTGAATATTTTTTTTTATACAAATATTTAAGTTTGGTAGTATGTAGATATTAGTCGTGAAAAATTCACATACCTGTACATATTGTATTAGAGATTCAATGAAATTGATATTTTAAATATGATGAAATTCATTATCCTGTTTCACTATTCCTCGCGTTAAAAACAATTTCAAAAAGACACATTCATCTTTCTCATTAAAGTATTAATTTAACTTGTTAATTTATTTTCATTCATAAAAATAAAAAAAACAACAAACAAACAAACAAAAATATAAATTGAAACCATGAATTTCACTTCATTGTATATCAATCCACTATATCTCGCTTTTATTGCACTACTGATTAATTCGCATATTTTCGCCAAGATGCAACCAAACATTTGTACTATAGCGATTCGTATCAAAGAAAAAAGTTCGCGCATGCGCCATTTTACCCGACTATTAAAGCTCAAACTCAAGTCACTATTCATTCGACGAACGTCCTACGTGAAGTATCTATAATGAATCAAGTAAACGAACAATCTGTATCAAACGTGTCTTATGCTCGCGATTACGAGTACAGCATTCAGGTGAATCGTTGGTTCCTAAAACCGATCGGTGCCTGGCCGAATCTCACGAAGACCTCGAGAACTGAAAAATTACTCGTCAAATTATTAAACTTTATCTGCCATTCGCTGATTATTTTCACGGTGATCCCATGCGCGATGTACATTATCTACGAAGACGAGAATTTGAAGACGAGGATGAAGGCAATCGGGCCGATAAGCCATTGGATGATGGGAGAATTGAATTATTGTTGTCTATTGATGAGAGCAAAGGAGATCGTCTATTGCATCGAGCATGTGGAACATGATTGGAAAACAGTTCGAAGGGCCAACGATCGAGAGTTGATGCTAAAGAGCGCCAAGCTCGGTCGTTTCATTGCGTGCATCGCTGCACTTTGCATGCATAGCGGAATTATGTCTTACAACTTGATCACAGGTTTCAAAAAGATAACATTTCAAATTGGAAATGACAGCTACTCAATGTATCGTTTACCTTGTCCATTCTACACGAATCTGTTAGATGTTAGGTTCAGTCCCATGAACGAGATCGTATTCGTTCTACAACTCGTCTCCGGATTCATCGTAACCTCGGTCACAGTCGGAGCTTGCGGACTGGCCGCCGTATTAGCAATGCACGCGTGCGGCCAGTTCAACGTGGTGATGGCCAGGTCGGATAACTTGGTGAAGGATAACAATGAGAAGAAACAGGACGAGCACACGCTTCACAAGAAGCTTGGTTTTATCGTTGAGCATCATCTACGAACATTAAGGTAATTGATTAGTATATTTTTTTTGTGTTTATTGATGTTTGGGAATGATAAAATATATCGTAATGAAGTATTTGTATGTTCTCTTAATTTGAGAAATTCAATAGTAAAAATGAATATTTTTTATAAGTGATATGGATATGATACAATAAATAAACGTATTACTTAAATTATTTTTCTAAACTATTATGAATATCTTGGTACTTACAGTGCTCATAATGATAAAATATAGATTTTGCTATTGAATTAAATTTTCTTTCTAAAATCTTCTAGAATTATAAATTTTATTATTTATATTATTTTTTTATTTCGAGTTAATTTATTTATATCCTGTGATGGATTTATATACGAAAATATTGGTTTCAGTCTTGTATGGTATATGGAAAAAGTTATGAATATGATTTGCTTGGTTGAATTGGTGGGATGTACAATGAACATGTGTATACTTAAATATTATTTTCTCACGGTATGTTTTAAGGCAGAATTATAGAAAAAAACATAATATAATATTTGAAAATATTTTTATAATACTTCTACTTTAAATTATTTAAATCTTTAAGTATTTTTTATACACATATACATATATTAAACGAGAAATATAACATCATGCGAAGATTTTTCTAGTTAATTTTCATTCAATTTTTTTTAATTTCTCAGGAAAAATCAAAAACAATATTAGCTATATACGCTATCGTATATGCATCTATGGTCTTTAACATATTTATATTTTGTTATATAGCAGAGATAGTTACGGAACAGGTAAAAAAATAACATTAAAGAAAAATCTTATTTAAAACTTAAAATGATTAAATGCTCAACAGGGCAAAAAAGTGGGAGAAAAATTTTATATGACTGAATGGTATCAATTACCTCATAAAACTGCTCTCGGTTTAGTATTAATCATCTCAAGATCGAGTATGGTAATTAAAATCACTGCTGGAAAATTCATACAAATTTCTATCGCGACTTTTGCCGCTGTAAGTATTGATACGAAAACATTTTCTATATAATCTTATATATGTACTTTATCTTTTAGGTATTTAAAGCATCTTTTGCATACCTCAATATGATCCGTACAATTGCGATGTGAATGGCGATATATGAAATGTGCAACTTCTAATATTGTAGATATTTTACATACCGAAAAGAGAAAAAGAAAGTAAACATTCATTATTATCCATGTTATCACTATACATGTTACTATTACTATAAAACTTCATAGTTAGGTCAAGGCCATTTCTTCTCTCTTACAGTTGAGAAGATTACCACAATCTTTTTCTGAACACGTTTGCGTGCTCTTCTGTGACAAATTCTAACGTCTAGACAAATCGATTGGATATAGAGTATTAGAAAAAGAATGTACGTCAAGCAATTTTTTATACTAACTGAAAACTTTACGCAACTTCGATGAACAGCTTAGTGAATTCCTGATCATAAAAATTATAATTTTCTTAAAATCGATCGGCATCTCACTTTTTTTCTATTTCACGATTCAAATTTTATCTCCTTAATTATAACATTAGAGAATATTTGTATCCATAATAATATTTCACAATTTTAAAATTATGGAATCTTAAAATTCGAACAAATATTAAGTAACGCAAATTATAACTATTTATAAAACTATATAATTATATAATGATGCATAATCTAGCAATTTTAACATGTATAAATTTCTATAGCACTTCGCGTATTCATACACTTCCCATATTTTCATACTTTGTTTCCCTTATACACTTCATGCACATCCTTCATTTCACACGATTACAACCTGCAATTTTCAACTTACCTGTATATTTCTCCGAAACAAATTTAACCGACTAGACGAATCGATCGAATACTAAAAAAACTTGCGCAAGCATTGAATAATCTCACGCATATCAATCCATGAATACCGCACATCATTGTCAACTTCATTTCACGATGATGAACCAAGCCGCGATCACAGAGGAAATTAAAACCAACAGTGATTACAGTCTTCAATTGAATCGATGGTTTCTAAAACCAATCGGTGCTTGGCCTTTGTTCTCTACCACCACAAAATTTGAAAAAATCGTTTCATTAATTTTAAATATCGTATGTTACGCGATTGTGATATTATGCGCGACTCCTAGTCTGATGCAAATAATCTTTGCTGAGGAAAGCTTTTATCTGAAATTGAAAACACTCGGTCCTGTGAGCCATTGGTTTGTTAGCACTGTTAATTACACAGCTTTATTAATGAAAAGTAAAGATATACGTTATTGCTTCGAGCATATGGAGGCTGATTGGCAAACAACAAAAAGAATGGAGGACCAACGGACAATGCTGAAAAATGCAAAATTTGGCCGCTATGTGGCAGCCTCGTGCGCCATCTTCATGCAAGGTGGCATTTTGTGCTTTTGCTTCGTGACTATGCTGACAACGGAGACTATTCAAGTAGGTAATGAGACGAGAGTTCTCCATGTGCTACCTTGTGCTGTGTACAAAGAACTGGTAAACGTCGAGGAGAATTCCATCAACATTTTTATGCTTTGTTTTCAATTTGTGGCAGCCGCCATCGCAAATTCCAGCACAGTTGGAATTTTCAGTCTCGCGGCTGTTCTTGCCGCTCATGCATATGGCCAATTAAGTGTGGTTATGGTATGGATCACGGAATTCGTGAATCAATCGAGAGAGCAAAAAAAAACAGATGATTTTAAAGAAATAGGAATAATCGTAGAACGACATTTGAGAGTGTTGAAGTAAGATTTTTTTATGATGGTTTTATATATTTTCTTAGATTTTTCTATTTTTTAGATTATAGTCTGATTTTAATTGCAGTTTCATAACATATCTTGAGAACATAATGAATCGGATATATTTTTTGGAATTGTTTAGGTGTACGATGATCATATGTATAGTCGGTTATTATATTCTTACGGTACAAAATGATTTTATTTTTCTTGTATTCTAATCTCGTTTTATTATTATTTTGTGTTATGTTTCTATTTTAGGAATGGGCAGAAAAGAATGTTCAAAATCTAACCACCTATTTCATGATGCTTCTCTCGATTTGTTTTAACATTTTTATTATATGTTATATCGGTGAAATATTGACAGAACAGGTATCAAAATTATATACTATAAATAGTTCATGTTATAATACATATTGAAATTCAATGAATAAAAATCATGATGATAATCAATCGATCGAATTCTCAATAGTGCATGAAAATTGGTGAAGTGATTTACATGACAGATTGGTATTATTTACCCGATAAGACAATTCTTAATTTAATTTTAATAATTCTACGATCGACTGTCGTAGTCCAAATCACTGCTGGAAAATTATTTAATATGTCTATTTATACTTTCGGTGATGTAAGTTTGATAGTTATATTTATAAATAATCATTAATGTAATCTTCATGAAATATTTTATTATTTCAGGTGTTAAAAACTGCTTTTGCATATTTAAATCTGCTACGACAAATGACGTGATAAAATAAAATTTCTCCATAAATTCATCTCATTTTACAATACAATAAAAATGCAATCGCAAGCAAAGATAAATTATTATTTTTACAATATAATTTCATGTTACGAAAAAATCAATTATATCACGATAATAAATAGGATGGATAAAATTTTTGAATTGAAATTAAGAATAAAATTATTTCGAAAATAACTTGTTATTCGAAGCATTAAATAATCGCGGTTAAAAATTAACCAAGATTATTCGAAAAGCTATATAATTATTCTATAATTGTTGATTAATTATAGTTAGGAATAGAAATTAATTATCGCAATAATTTTAATTTAAATTTATAAAGGACTTCGAATAAGTCAGAATATTTTTTTTACACCAGAAATGATAAATAAAATTAATACTATAATTATAAATAATAAATAATTTTCATTTACATAAAAATTTAATATTTATAAAAATAATTTATTATTTTTTGTTTGTTGTATAATATTGATTTTCAAAAATTAATTAAATTTTTATTTAAATAATAAATAATATAATAAAAAACGAATATTTTGACTGTAAATATATAAAGCAACTAATTTTTTTATTTACATTTAAATAATTTCAAGAATAATTTTTTTTTTTACATGCAAATAAAATTTTATTTTGATAATTATTCGAAATCGAGGAATCTTCATCGATTTTGATAATTTTTGAAAATATTAAAATTAATATTTTGAATAATTTTTTTCTATATTACTATTGTTCGATCTCAGTTTTTGAGATATTTACAAAAATAAATTGCTATTGTTTTATTTTTGACTTATTCGAATACTTTCGATAAAATTAAATTAAAGTGACAATTGCAGTAATTAACTTTTATTATAGCTATGTTTGACTTGTTCTTAATCATCTTGATTAATTATCAATCAATGTTAAAGTTAATTTATTCGAATATTTCAAATAACATTATTAATTAAAGCAATTTTTATTTGAAATTTTAATCAATTATTTTTTTAATTCATTAATGCTCAACATTACATTATTTAATATTATTATCGAAGTAAAATTACTCATTCTGAGTTAGACTTTCACATTTCTTTTCAAACATTTTATCGATTATCACGATATTTCACCATTCTTGAAATGATTAAACTTATCGAATGACACTGAAATTCTATAATATGCACGTTCATCGATCATAAACACGTTCACCACTGCAACAAGTAATAGCGACTAAACAAATCAATCAGTTCTTCCAAGAAACCTGCGCAAGCGTTAGAACTGTCACGCACGTCGTGAGAAAAATATCTTCGATTCAGTTGTGTTTATAACGTCGATGAGTAGCTACGATGTCAAACAAATCCGTGGCGATAAAGACTGATCCCGATACCAACAGCGATTATTGTCTTCAATTGAATCGTTGGTTTCTGAAACCGATTGGAGCTTGGCCCAGTTTTCCCTCTACAACTAGACATGAAAGAATCATCTCATTTCTTTTGAATGTCTCATGTTATAGTTCTTTACTATTTACCTTGATTCCTTGTCTGCTTCACATGTTACTAGAAGATGAAAGTTTTTATTTGAAAATGAAAGTACTTGGGTCACTGGCTCATTGGTTTGTTGGTACAATGAATTATACTACTCTGTTGTTAAGAGGTAGAGAAATACGATTATGTGTCGAACATATAAGAACTGATTGGCGCATAGTGACAAGGGAAGAAGATCAACAGGTAATGCTAAAAAATGCAAAATTCGGCCGCTACGTTGCAGCTCTTTCGGCGGCTATTTTGCAGAGCGGAGTTCTATGCTTCTGTTGCATGACAATTTCGAGAACAGAACTTATTCAAATCGGCAACGAAACGAGAATCGTGCATGTGTTACCCTGTGCTGTATACAAAAAAATTATAGATGTCACTCGCAGTCCTAACAGCGAATTTATCATTGCTTCGCAATTTTTATCAGGATTTATTGTAAACTCTAGCACCGCAGGAATCTTTAGTCTTGCAGCTATTTTAGGAGCACACGCTTGCGGCCAATTGAGTGTGGTTATGACATGGATCACAGAATTTGTAAATAAATCAAAGAAAAGAGAGAAAATGATTTTTAGAGAAATAGGCCTGATCGTGGAGCATCATCTAAGAACATTGAAGTAAGATTGTTGTTTGTATTTTTGTATTTTCTAAATATGTTGTGCGCACTATATGCGCACTATCATCACACAGATTATGATGACTCTCTTAACATGAAACATATAATTCTCAATAAAATTTTATATTCGTTTCACTAAAAATATTTTAAATTATAAATGTCCTTGGTAATTATAAAAATAAAAAATTAAAGATTAATATAATTTCTATTGAATTTATAAATATAAAAAATGTTCAATAGAAATTTCATCTTAATATTAACATTGCAATTATGTAATTAGAAGAATAAGATAACATGCTGATATTGTTATATGCTATATAATGAAAAATTTTTATTGATAAACATAGTAATATATATAAACACCAATTATTATGAGTATCAGTGTTTTATCTGATTTCTAATTAAGCCATATTTGTAATAAATTTTAAATAAAATTTCTTTAATTTTTTATCATATTCATTCAAATTTCATTATCAATCATTTTTATGATTACGTTTTAATTACAGTTTTATATCATATATCGAGGAAACGATAAATCGGATAATATTCTTGGAAGTATTTAGGTGCTGCCTGCATATATGTTGCCTTGGTTATTACATACTTATGGTATACATTATGTAGTGATATTATAACTGTAAAAAAAAAAATTTATTCATAATATAATTAAGATCATATTTGTTTTCAAAAATTCTTTTTTGTATATTATTTTATGCTTTTTATATTTTTTTTAGGAATGGTCTGATTATGATAAACGAAGTATGATCATCTATTTTATGTTGTTCGTTTCAGTCTGTTTTAACATTTTTATAATATGCTATATTGGTGAAATATTAGCAGAAGAGGTATCAGAGATTTGTTATGAAATGTGGAATCTGATCAATCTGTAATATAATAAATATTAATCACACAAATTTTTAACAGAGTATGAAAGTCGGTGAAGTAGTTTATATGACTGACTGGTATTATTTACCCGACAAGATAATCCTCGACCTGACTTTAATCATAGTACGATCGAGTGTAGTGGTTCAAATTACTGCAGGAAAATTAATTCATATGTCTATTCAAACATTTACCGATGTAAGTGATATTTAATTATATATTTATATATATTTTACCTTTGCTATGAAATTTACTGCTATTCCAGGTTATAAAAACCGGTTTTGCATACTTGAATCTCTTACGTCAAGTGACGTAACAAAATGTATTCTTTTAATTAATGCACAGATTTATAAAATTTGAAATATAAAGAATAGCAACAGTAGGAATTAGTAATAATATTTATTCCTATAATGTACATAAAAATCATACACACTTCACTTAATGAAATAATTTATAATCCAAAATATAATCATTTTCATTATTCTTTCATACTTTTGATGAATGCACATTAATATTAGTTTTAAAGGAAACAGATCACAGTTATATGAAAGTTTTATAAAAAAAAATTATCATATACACCATTTTAATGCACATACAATTCCACATTTCTTTTTAAATTAATTTTTCAAAACATTAATAATATTCTAATAAAAAATGAAATAGAAAAGAGACTCATTTTTCAGAAATTTATATTTTCAATTTTATTGCTATATACTAAAGTGCTGGTGTACAATACAGATTTGAAAAAATCAATTTATCGATGTCTCCTGTCGTACACTCTCATCATTGATAATATATGAACAAACAAACTAAGGACTAAGAGGGGTCGAACCCTTTGAAAAAGAATACTAATGTCATCTACTCTTTCGAATCGAAATTCAAACGCAGGCGCAACGCGATTTTTCATTTCAATTGTCATCGAACCAGTAACATTTAGTAGCCAGCGAGCTCTCGAGCGTCAACGATGAAAAATCAACAAGTCGTCATCATTCAGGATGACGATAAGAGGAAAACGAATTTGAGCATACAATGGAACCGTTGGTTGTTGACACCGATCGGTGCTTGGCCAAATTTACGCAAATCGAGAATAGGAAAATGTTATTCTTTCCTCATCAGTATTATTTGTTACAGTTTGATCAGTTTCATGCTCGTGTCTTGTAGCATATTCCTAATGGTGGAAATCAACAACATATATAACAAACTCAAAATGGTGGGTCCATTGAGTTTCTTCGTGATGACATTCATGAAATATTATTTTCTATTGCTCCATGAAAATGATATACGTGAAGGTATTGAACGTATCGAATGGGATTGGAAGAATGTTAAACACCAAGAGGATAGAAACATTATGATTATGTATGCGAATTATGGAAGAAAATTGGCGTTCATTTGCTTCTTTTTCATGTTATGTGCTTTTATATTTTATTTTCTTATTCAACCGTTCGGCGGGGGAAAAATAGTGGATGGAAATTTGACGTTTATACAATTACCATTCCCTGCATCGATTTTGATCGCCGATATGCGTGATAGTCCTTGCAACGAAATCATGTTATCTATTCAAATTCTGACAGGTATCGTGATGAACGCTATAAGATCGGCGGCTTGCAGTGTAGCCGCTGTGTTTGCAATACATGCATGTGGACAAATGCAAGTGTTGATGAATTGGTTGAATCATTTGGTGGATGGCCGATCGGACATGAGCAAGAAAATAGATGACAGAATTGCAAATATTGTGATTCAACACGACCGGATATTGAAGTGGGTAATTTATATAATTGTTTGTCGTAATTATAGTAAAAATTTAATGAAAAAATTGTTTACTATTAAAATATCATGTGTGTTTTTAAGAAAAAATTATTTTAATAAAATTATAAAATTAAATTATAATTATTGCAATAAATAGAAAGTGAATTATGCGGAGAATTTCTCTTATGAGAATTTTTCAGTAACATGTAATTTTATCAATTTGACAAAATTGGTCATTGGTATAAAATAAAAAATTCATGAACATTTTTATTTTTAATTTGTTAATCTGATAATTAAAAAATTGAAATTAAACAAAAATAAAATTTGGAAATTTAAAATTTTATTGTTGATTTAAAAAAACTGAATATTTAGAAACATTAAAAATTATTAAATTTGAAATTTTGAATTTTTTCATATTTAAATCTTTTGACAATATACATATGTATTCGTCACATTTCAGATTTTTGGCACTTACAGAAAGAGCGCTTCAACAAATATCTTTTGTAGAATTTTTAGGCTGTACAATGAATATGTGTCTTCTCGGATATTATCTAATTGTGGTACGCATGCAATAAAAAACTCTGAAACAATCGGTACACATGCATATTTAAAAATTACATATATATACATATTTTTTTGATATTAATATTACAATAATTATATATACATGATTTTATAGGAATGGAATCCGAATGAATTGATAATTTCGTTAACTTACGTAATAATAATCGCATCGATTACCTTCAATATTTTCATATTTTGTTATATAGGCGAATTGGTTGCCGAACAGGTAGGATGTTTTTATTGGAAGCATCTGCAATAATATTTCAATTAATTTTTTTAAATAAATCGTACAGATAGAAATTAACAATAAATAATGATTGAATATAGTCTGAAAAGGTTGCAGAAGTGGCATATATGATCGAATGGTACCGAATAAGAGGCAAAAAAAAGCTTTGTTGTGTTTTGATCATTGCAATGTCCAATTCATCAATAAAATTTACAGCCGGAAATATGGTTGAGTTATCTATTTATACTTTCAGTGATGTAAGTATTGAATTATTTCTATCTATCATTTAAATTTTTTTGATTGATAAAAATATTTTGTACATAGGTCGTTAAAACGTCAGTGGCTTTTTTAAACATGTTACGAGCATTGACTTAAATATTTTTTTATAACAAACATTTATGTTTCATAGTATGTAGATATTAGTTATAAAAAAATTCACACACCTATACTTATTGTATTTGAGATTCAATGAAATTGATATTTTGAATATAATGAAGAAATTCATTATCCTAATTCTATAATTATCATTCCCATTAAAAACAATTCAAATATTTATATATTTTAACATATTTTATATATACATATATTATATTTTGTATAAATGATGAATTTTTTTTTTTAGGGTATATATATATATATATATATATATATATATATAAA